GGAGGCGTAGCTTCCACTATCCTGTGTGAGTTTGAATTCCATCCAGCCAATGTAAACCCAGCATAGATATGAACTTCAATCACTTCTTGCATTGTTTTTATGGCTTCGTCTTCGGTATCAAAGCTATCTACGTAGTCATCCATATAATGATTTTTTGTTATAGCATTATAAGCGTTCGGATGTGTAGTACGGTAGCACGAAGCGTTGTAATCCCTTACGCTGTGTGCTAGAAATGGCGAGCTCTTAGCGCCAAATATCAATGAAGTCATAACGTATTCTTTAGGGGGCTTATCTCGGTTTTCACCCTGCCATAGAAACTTTTGAGCAGCTTGATCGTCTTCGTTCACTTTAATCTGCAGGAACATTTCTCTAATGTCGGCTGTTGTCGCGTATTTTCTCTCGCGAAACATAAATAATATACCAGGCAATGATTGCAATAAGTCTGGCCCATCTAGCAGCTCATCGTTCAAGCATAGTTCATTTGATCTTGCCGCTGCATCAAATACTAGACGAACTTTTGCCCGGTTTATTAGGGTTGGTTACAGCAAAATGAGGTAAGTACCACTCTTTTGATGTCAATATTCTGGTTCTTTCAACAGGGCGGGCGTAATTCTTCTCCAACAGGTTATTTATTTGTTTTGTATATGACTGTTTAAATTCATACGACTGTTCCATTTTCCGTTCAATGCTTTTAAGCCGATTAAATGCCATATTATAGCTTTCTGGGAATTTCGTGTTATCAGTCTTCCACGGCAACCCCAGGTAGTAACGCCTTTCCCGTTTCTCTATTGTTGTATTGAACAATTGAACTGCACGTGCGTCGGCACTTGTTAACCTTTTTTTATTATTTATACCCAAGGCATCTATTGCAAAACTTTGTTTTAATATCGCCTCTAGACGCTCGTCTATTGTTTCTTTGTAAACGTCGCTTTCTGCCGCCTTTTTATGCAGTGCAAAACACGTTCGTTGTCTTCCATTAAACTTCGTATAGGTGCTGTACCATGTAAAATCCAGCCTATTCGCGTTAAAGAGTCAGTCGGTTCATTTTTCTTCCCACTGTATATTTTTATTACAAACTGGTCAAATTTAACCGCTGTATATCCCGGTCTGGGTAATCGCTTAATTTCATCTAGCGCTTTATCAATTATAATCTCCGGTCGCCCATAGCACTGATCTAGTGCGTTCATAATAAGCTCGGGATCGCAAGCAGTACTCAATAATACGGCGACTGTTTCTTTAGCGGCTCCCGTAAGACATGTACGTAATCTTGCCATGTTTTCCGCTTTAGAGTATTTGTAGAGCTTCGTGGAGTCTTCATAAGCAACTTTAAAGTAAAGCCAGTCGCAGACATTCCCGTTAAACTGCGGCAGATCTTGAGCATGTCGTACAGGAGGTCTGTTTGTAGCTATTTTTTCAAAGGCTACGATGAGCCGTTCCATCCCTTGATCTTGGGATCGCGTTCTCGGCACGGAGGCCTCTTCGATAGGTGATATAGACCGTTCTATTTCACAAGACACATTCTGTATGCATGGCTTCACGCGTTCTGCGTGCACTGTGTCTTCTTCCCTATCACCCTGAGATAGATTATTAACGCCGCTATGACTTCTTAGCCATCTATCTACCATAGCAGCGGAGTTGTTTCCGTTCCGCTGTTCTGGCATGCATTCGACGATACTCTCTTCGTCGTCTGCTCTGGGTAAGTCAACAGCGATTCGCTTCTTTAACAATTTCATTTCAAGCTCCATCTCTTGTTCCATCTCCTGCTTCTTTAATTCGAACTTTTTTCTTAAATATTCTTTTTCTAATGCGACCAAGCGTTTTTGGACTTCGTATTCAGCTTGCCTTACACGGGATGCTTTCGACCTCATTGTATTTCTTGAGGTCTGTGATGCTGAACCCACAGGTAACAACTTTGAATCCACGGCTTCATTCCTCCGTATTGATTCAACTGACTCCCTGTCGTGTGTAATATCGGCTAGTCCACGTTCTAGGACTTTCGATGGTGATTCTAACGGCACGTTTTCTGTCCGTACATCTTCATCGATTTCTTCTGCCCTCTTAGCTTGTCGGCTTCTTGTGTTCATTTTGAAGTCGATTGTATTCTTCGCTTCGATGAACTGGTGGACAATGCTTTCCGTCGGCGACCCACAGCAGCAATACGTCGATGCGGCGAGTCACTTTGTACAGGCGATGAAGTCAACCCTCTGCACGTACTCCTGGGATCGCAGGTAGTACTACCAATGAAAATCTTCCTGGGATCGCAGGTAAAATCTTCCTTCTTCTCGGCGTCGATGCGTAAAGTATTATTCTTCTGGTTATCCGGCTTCTCGAAGGACCAAACTATAAGCGTACGATGTCGATCTGAACCACCGCCGCTATTCTCGAAATGAAACTCGGAGTGGAGTTATAATTGTTACCGTTTATTGGTCGAACGTTAGTGATGGTGACACAAAATAATACAGCGAAGCGAGCTTATAACTAACGTCCGTCCGGCACGGCTGCGTAAATCTATCTGCTCGTTATACAAATAATAGCTTAAAACTAAACCTAAAACTACCATGCTGGTCAAAGGGACCGACCGGCCCTTCCGCTACCTGCGTCCCGCCGACCGTTTCCTAGAAGAACATCTGGCTGGCAGCTTCGTTCGTCGGCTTTCTAAACTGTATTGTTCGTTGTCCGTAACACACCCGGAAGGCCTGATTTTGATTTTTGGGAAAAAAAATTAACTCACTTACTTGGGTAGAGTATAGATACAATATTCTAGAATATATTTGTGAATATTTTGTTCGAAATAAGAAATCTCTTAAATAACTTTAAATCCCAATTCTTTATTTATAATCAAAACGAATTACAGCTATTTTCTCCAACTTATTAAACATAGTAAAATTTGAATAAATTATCCGCAATAATTGAATTTCCTTTAGGTATTCTGCTATCAATATTTCATTGGAGGACTATTTGAAAAAAACGATTACCATTCAAATTCTCTGATGAATATTTATGGGGCTTTAATTGAAGAAATTAAATACAAAAGAAAGATATTTCAATTTAATATTTGGCTTCATAGAATTTTAGTTAAGGTTAAATACGGATTTTTCAAATAAATTATTAATGGATTGGGAATAATAAATAGTAGCAATTTCAATATAATGTTTTAACCATTCGTGTTACGATGAATTAAAAATACAAATTACATACAAAAGTTTGGTGCAATGGTCCAACGTAGCAAAACCGCTACGCCGTAGTAACAACTTAAACATCACTTCTACAGCACAGATACCCGTAGAACATATACTACACATCGTCAAAAATAATTAAATAATTATGGTTAAATAATTTCATAAGATGTTGTTGCAATTAAATTCTGAGCGAATAACTATGAAACTTTGTCGCCACTATTTGCCATACGCCCCGGTGTTGTCACAAGCAATTTACGTGTAAGCGGTCGTCCAGTGAATTACACTCGCCTACCCCTCCCGGGGTCAATGACCTATTGCGCTACACCCTAACCCCTTTGCATGACTACGTCGTGTGGTAACAGCCTCTATATAAAATGACTTCGTATATTGAGGCTTTCATTCGATGTAATGTAAATTCTTTGTGTAGTAATAAAATAGAGTTAGTAATGATTGCATGGAGAATTTACACAGCGGCAAATAAATTTATTGATTGCTAATGTTAATTATTATTTACTGTAATATACTGTGTGGTTCTCAATAAAAAAATATTATGTACTAGTAAACGGAAGATTATTTTTCCAGACCAGTTTTCCAAAATGGTTAAAATATCTTTTTTATACGCCGTGTTATAGATAATTATCTAAAAGTATTGAAATTTAGACATTAGCTTTAGAAATCATAAATATAATCTCAAATGTAGTTGTGTATTATAATTGCAATAAATTTCACGTTACGTTGGCGAGCCTTTAAGTACTAATTGGTAAATACTTCATATTCATAATTCGTTCAAATTCGTATGGAAATATATTAAAAGGATTCAAATAAAACCGGCTGCGATCGAATTCCGGCCGAGCGTCGGGAGAGAAATCCATTACACGTCAATCTGAGCATTCGTCACGTCACCATCGGGGTCGAGATTTTTTATTGTATTCGTTATTCCGCTCTGTTTACAGTTTTTAACTACATTTGCATGTCACTGCTTCACCTCAAACAAAGCTTCGACTCTACTCACTCGTTAGACCCGCAAATGTTTTGCTAAAGACCTAAAACTTCTATAACATTTTAAAAAGTTGTACCCGTAAAACTCTCGACATTGTCAATAAGTTTCTAGGCATCGTGATTGTTTATCATATTAGTCACAGTTATCATGTCCCGAAAATCTAATTACCTGTCAAAAGAGATTCATTTCGAATATTTGTGTAGCTAATTAGAAACAAAGGATGCTTAAACCCAAGTTGTTCGTTACCTAACTTTAATTCCAAGATCGTGAAATTAACTCTCAACTTTTACCCATATAAATCTCCAGCAGCATTGGTCAGACACTTTAATTATTCCAAAACAAAACATCAGTGAAACAATTCCTTGAACGCGGCTATTAATTAAACAATAGCATTAATCAAAATGCATATTATTTAAAATGATGAAATTTGATATTTGTTCAGCAACGCAAGTAGCGCAATTAGATGGTCTTTCTTTCTCCCACAAATGGTGAACGATCGAAGACTCTTGTTACCTTCTTATTGTAAACGGCTGATTATCAGTACTTAGAATAACTATGACCTCAGTGGAACTGTCTTGAATAAAATACGATCTGTATTATATTTAATCCTAAAATCTTTAATTACTCCTATGAAGAGACCGTATAAAAAACTTCATTATTAATATTGTAAGAAAGTTCGATTCATAATACTTTCTTTTACAGGCGCGGTTGGTGGTGACGGCGATGACAGCGACGACAAGGAGAAGGAAGAAGAAGCGGAACGTGAACGGCAGGAAGCCATCCGTGAAGCTGAGGAGAGACGTAAGGAGAAACATCGCAAGATGGAGGAAGAGAGGGAGAAGATGCGACAGGAGATTAGGGATAAGGTGAGTTTCGTTTTGTATAAACAAAAGTAAACTATGATATGAGCCACAATCAAAGACATAGTCATGTACAATACCTTTCCGATTTCGTAACAAAATTATACAATGCTTTCTGTATAGAATTGTCGAAAAATGAGTTTGAAAAATCACTAGTAACCGGGTTGCACCTTTTCCTTCTTTTCTAATCACACATGAATGTAGCTTTTGTGAATTAAAAACAAATATGTAGTTGAATAAATATTATCTTTATATCTTTGACTAACGGCCGCTTTCTATACTCGATCTATAATCTAAAATTATTTCCATTCCAGATTTTCGCAAATTTAGATTGATAAATGTCAAAATGCAATCTGTCAAATTTAAAGATATTTTACAAAAATGATCCATTGATCGTTTATTCAAAAGTATTTTTTGAGAAATGGATTGAAATATCAATCTCTAGCAGTAAATATTCGATTGGAATTGAGTATAGAAAGCGGCCGTTAATGCTCATCACGATTAATTCCATAATAATTTAAATTTTGCTCGCGAAAATCAATTTTAAACTAGAATTTTTACACAATTCCAGCATTTCCACATGAATATAAGCGCGTTGTAACGCCAGGCCTCTCACCGGTACTCGGGTGACGAGCAAATTGTCCGCGACAAGTGCGCTTGACCCGCTTCCTGCACTAATTGTGCCCGTCATTGGCTTTGTCACTGAACGATTCAGCTTTGCTAACTGGAATGTTTGAACGTTTTTCGGAAAGCCCATATAACAAAAGTTTAATTTTAAAACGTATTTGAAATTGAATAGAACAAAAATTTTAAACAACCAATAGTCTGTTGATTTCATTTACATTTTTAGGAACTGATATATTGTTTTTCTACTTTTATTATTTTTCTTTATATTGATTGGAATATTAAAGAGACTACCAATAGTTCTTCTTAAAAGTGATACCAGCGTTAAATAAAATATTTCAAATAGTTCTGGAATGTTCTGTTTCATTTTTTTTTAGTATACAACACTGATAAGGACAACTTTGTTATATCCAACTAAGACTGAAGGATACGAAGTATAGATAAAACTCAAGGCAATAAATAAGTAATAAATAATAAAGACGAATTTTAAATATTCAAAGTAATTTATCATTTAGCTTACAAGAGCGCAAATGGCTAAATATTTGTTTACTTTTCGAAGTAATGATTTTCTAAAGAAGCAACTTCGCGTGTAAAATTTGTAAGAACATTTCAAACACTCGTATAAGGAGCCTTAAAGTTTACTAACTTATGCAAATTGTCAGTTGACATGAATGTGATCAAGTTTAAATCACCCTTAAATGAGCTGTTTTAGTATAAATCTTGTGTATTTTACAAGACAATTTTATTTACGAAATAAAAAACACTAAAATCAGATACCAAGGTATTTCCAATTGGTGGCTACCGTAGCCTTTACTTTTTAATGTGTAGTTTAACGAATTCTATATTATGACAGTACTTGCTGTAATAAAAAGGCATGAAATTTTAATGCTTTTAAACATACATTGTTAACCAAATGGATGCTAAATTAACACGAATTACGCCTATTGTATGTTAATATATATACTAGGGAGTCAGTTTTGTAACATAATAAAAACTAACGCTAAAAAGTTTTAGCTTTTTCTCTAAATAGTTTTCCTCGTCCTGGCATTAGCACGTAAGTCGTAAACCAAAAAACAATCGAAATCCCACAAACGAAATTCAGCAAAGAGCCACTCGGAGGTAATTTCTTTCGCGGTACTTGACCAACGCCATTTTGAGGCAATTTACGACAAAATGGCAGCTGCCTAATGTCAAAGGGTGCACTAAATGACTAGCGACAAAGAAAGTGGTCCATAATAGTCGTAATTCTTCTAAATCTAGGACAAGACTTGTAATAGAAATATACAAGTGGAGGTTGGCGTGGCTTTAGGTAGCGTAAAACAGTCAGGTATTAGCATAATTACATAAATTTTACAGTTAAGAAATCACAGTTTCAGTAATGGAAACTAGATGCAAATTATTACTTACTACAAAATATCGATTAAGAGACTAAATCATAGCGTTTTTTAAACACAATAATACACAATAAATTGGTCCCTGAAATATGGACAAGAAGGTTTTATATATTCACTATATGGTATGAGAAGTGAGGCTTTTAAAACTTAGTGTCTGTAAATTAGTAGCCATTTTAGCCTCAAACGGCTTGTAACGAAATTTGTTGAGTTACGTCAAAGGACACGAAATTTCGTCAAATTAATGGTTAAGTGTTTTAGACAGTTATCAGAGTTACTTAAAAGTTAAATTACTTATTCCTTATTGGTTTTAATATTCATGCATTATAACCTAAAATTTTTACTAATGATCAAAGGTAAATCTCGAGTCAAATGGTGGCATCTGGCATTAAAATACATTTCATTTTAGAACTTATTTAAAGTCAAACATTCTAACATTGTGTTTCTAAATTCGTTTTTTAAACTTTTCTAGTTTGTATTGGAATTTACCGTAAGGCAACACTTTAAAATTGACTACATATACAAAAATATATCATAATGACCTAACTAAAGTTAGACACAAACTAGTAAATGAGCCGCACTATATCAGTAGCTAACTAACGTAGATCGTAGTTCTCTCTGAAACTTGCTAAGATCTTGTTATTTGTCGCTTCGTGATGAACTCGGAGTTATTGATTTACTCTCCACAGCTAATATTGTTACGACTTGTACTAACCACAATCTCAGTCTTATATTCACTTTGTAATAATTACGTAAAACTAGCCAGTTGTAGCACAAACATTTTTTTAATGAAGTCTATTATATTTTAATACGCAAGTATATTAATAGACAAAATAGGCCCAAACTAGTAGTAAGATATATTTTCTAAGACGTCGTTATTCTGTTGTTTGAATCCACTTGGCTATAGTATATTCAATAATCATCTAGTAAAGTATGTTTAAATGTGTGTGCTTTCAAAATCACAGTAGTAATTGCTACAATTCCTAGAATTAGAGGATCACGGCTGTCAAATGCACTTTAAATCTAAGATTCGTTACACTGGTATGTTATATATACAAAAATTCTAGCATAATACAAAAATACTCCTACCTAATTTTACCATACAGGTATAAAAATTTATCAAATTGCTACTTGACTGTGTCATTTTCAGATAATTTATAGCACAAACTTAGATTGGTCAATCGTTTAGCGGCCTAACGAAATTTGGCCCACCATTATCTTTTAGCGAGTCTATTATCGTAAAGAGTGAAATTCCAATAACCTTCCGTATATGTCGATAAACGCCATACGTAAGAAATTAGGCTTCTTTATTAGACGCCTTCGGAAATCCTCCGATGTTGCCGTTCATAGTTAATCTATCGTCGAGAATCGAACTAAGAAATTTCGTGGTTTATCAAACTGTTTGATCGTTTGACCAATATATATAAAAACTCGAAAGCACTTGAAATATTTAGTTTAGGAAATAACGTAATATGATGTATAAATTTTATTTCACAAATGTATTTCTCTTATAGGTTACGATTATGTTTCGCCTTTAAAAAAATATCGTATAAACCGGTAGTTAACGTCTCATACAAAAATTTATTATTTATGTAACTAAGTTATTTTTAATTTAAAGGTTAACACTGAAAAAAATATGACTGAAATAAACACATTAATGTATGCTCCGATGCCCTTAGATTCCACTTACAACTTGTGAAAGGCGTAGACCAAAAGATCAATTTAAAACTTAATTCGTAAAGTGCTCTATTTGTGTTGTCGAGATGGACAAACACATTAGAGACGCGAGCGCTTGACAGAAGGATGCTTAGGGACTTCACATCGTGTGAAAAGACGCAATTTATTTGCCAAAATGTACAGTAATAGGTTTTTTATTTTGACTGATGTGATTGGAGAAAATGTTTTAGGTTTTCCTAACAACAGACGCTTTTCTTTAGAATATTGATTACTTTAAAAAAAAACATATACATCGAGTTATTTGAAAGTATCTCGTTTATTTTATTTATCGTGAAGATACCTTTATAAAAAAATATTATACCATCAATCAGATATCAAGGTAAAGAAATTAATAACGTATTTTATGGTAAATTTTGTGATACAAAGTATTATATGGAGTAGTCGATACGCAAGAGGCTTCGACGGTTCGAGGTCGTCACGCTAGCACATTCTCGTCAAAATAACCTTTCCATAAACTTGTTATATAATGACACTTGCAAAAATATCCGTTTCTGTCACGGAATCGACGCTTCCCCTTAAGTTTGATAAATCATTGTTTCATACGCTTTCGTAAATATTAATACTAATATAATATACATAATAACATAGAAGCTCTTATAAAAAATGTATAATATTGTTGCAAATATTGACAACAGCATGCTAAGTGAAGAAATCTTAGGTTTTCGTTGGCTGTATTAAGATTTGAGCTCAATACACAGAACAGGAAATAACTTTATGAATTTAAACTTCAGCCTCTCAATTTAGAATTTCATAAACGGATTAAAGCCCTACCAAACACACTTACAAGAGTGTCATAATTAAGTTTACCATCATCAACTATCTAATCTGTTCATATTTCCATCACGTCTGCTTCTATGCCATAAAATTATTTATGGAATATGAAAGTTTCTCGTCGTAAAATATTTGCGTTAAGGTTGCATTAAACGTATCGATACACTTTACGTGCGCAAATAAAGTGAAAATCAATAAACCTATTCCACGCTTGTACGGATCGCAGAAAAATCACCCCGTGTTGGAATGTTTCCTTAACGTTACGCAGGGTACGGTCAGTATATTTGATAAAGTTGAACACTTTAAAGCCAAAAAATTTTCATTGCATATTTATTCTTATATTTTAATAATTTTTAGCTTAAGAAATACATTTACTAAACTATTCGGATTAAAATAATTAATAAGTTATGAAACAAATATAATGATAGTAAATAACCTTTCCATCATTATTTAACAGATAATAATCGAAATTACCACAGCGATTAACACCTGTCATCGCATTCTTCCTAAATGTAAAATTAGCTTAGAAACTCGATGATGTTTAAAAAAGATTTTGCGTTTTGCTGACGCTTAACGTGCTCACGTAATTTTCCCCGCGCCAAACAATTTTCCGGCACAAGCCAAGCGCGTGTCCAACATTATGGCCTCCCTTAGTATAACCTGTCTGCCATTTATATGTACATACATTATTCTTGATATACGTATTTTCGTTTTAATTTTTTATATCTAAACTATTATATCTCCGTCTTGATTTTAATAATACATGCGATACCGTTTCTCTACGTTATAGTACATTTTACTTAAAAGTGTTATATAAACCTAACGAATTTATACGTTCTGATTTGCACAAGTATTAGCAAGAGCTTAAAGCAATTTTTGTCTATGCCGTTGTCCATCGATAGTCTATTAGCAAGTATTAGGGTGCAATCTCCACCAGATTGCGAACTAACCACGTTACGATCTCATTCCGGATAAATTGTCGGCAGCACTCTACTTGACGGATACTTTTGAAACTAATAATCTAAGAACTTAGGTGACCGCTTAATTGTTTTCAATATACATTTTTTCAGTATAATTCAGCGCTTGTGTTATTTTAGACATTGGATGTTACTCTTAATGTATGTGCCTTCGTAACTTGTACGTTTTATTTATATATCATAAGAAATAGACTTTTATATGTGATTATAGAATAAAAGTTTATAATTTATTTTTAGAAATTAATTAAATTAAGTTTTAATTTCTATAAGGTTGCAACAGTGTTATCAGTTATACTAAAACTATGTCAGTGCACATTTTTTCTAGTTTTCAAACCAAGCTCAAGTAGAATGAGAAGAATGAAGAAGACAGAAGCAGAGCCCTTGGATGTTAAATTGACTCTAGTAGGGAGTCCGTCTCTGTGCGACTCCCTAATCGAGTCAGGTTGACTTCTTTGCGGCATAGTCGTCATGAAGAAAGAAAAATATATTAATGAATTATATTTTGCTGTACTTATAGTTTACATGTGTCTATAAAATGTTATACCAGTTCTGCGTCCATCAAAATGTTTAATATACTATAATTTTTTGCCAATGTTTATTAATTTGAAATAGTATTACAAATGTTAAAGCGAATACAAATTCTATCTATGTTAGTTGATGATTGATGTTTCGTTTTCACATGACAACTACTTAACCAACCCGTCGCTTTAGATATGTAGGTATAGGTAAGCTCCTAGCGAAGAACATTTGATGGCTTCCCTTCTAGTGTAACATGTAAAAGAGTATTATAGCTTCGTAACTTAATGCTGAAAAATAATTGAAGGCAAACTTTTTTCGAATTTAATGAAACTAATACCAGATCGTGGCGAGTTGACAAGACGTGACTCCCAATACCTCTAATGAGATCCCGGGGGAAATGATAGGGAAAAATAATAAATTAAAGTATCATGCAAATTGGAGATTTAAACCAAGAGGATTATAAAAGTTGAGAATAATGCTGATTTTGCCCCTTCACGTTTTTACGCCTATGTATTTTTCATCGTATCTATAAGTAATTACAGGATTCAGCTAGTGGCTATAGAGAGATAGGTGGAACGTATAAATTCTCTCTGCAACAATAAATTTTATTTTTATGAGCTCAATTCACACTAGCGGGTATGGTGTGGGAAGACATTGTGAAGAAAACATCATGCCTTATACCTATAATTGACAGCAAGATCACAGCTAATAAAAATTATCAAAAAACTAAAAACAAATGCAATCTGAGGTCAACGCCCATAAATCTGTAGCATACTCGTATTATGTAAACTAAAATACTAGGACGCCGCAGTGCTCGCAATTCTGCTTCGCTTCAGCACAAATTTGAGCGGAGCGAGTGTTCAACTCAATTTTTAATGATGAGTAAAAATACATAGATTCAAAACATTTAATTTAAAGATTTGATTTTGTTGAAAGGACTCTTTAGTTTTAGGTCTCCTTCGAAGTTGTTTTTCCGCTTATTTTGTGATTTATTCGTAAAAATTACTGAGTTTTTATAGCCACGGGAATTGCACGGGAAATTTTTCCATCTTTAATTTAAAAAAAGAATTTTTTAAATCGGTTAAGCCGTTCAAAAGCCTTAGTGTTTGTACAGAGTGTCATAAGAGTGGGTGCATGGGAGCTTCGCTCAATTAGTTATATTTTTTTTAAATTAAAATGCTCCTTGTTATTTCGTTCGAATTGGTACTAAATCCAGTATGATGAATTCTCACCTTCATTTCTAGTATACTCGTATATGGAAAAACTATTAAAACTTTTTCACGTAGCACGCTCTATATTTGCGAGACGTTGTAGTTACTACATTATGCCGTTCTTATTTACCTACCTCGTGATTGTTTTACGAGAGAGTACAAAGTCAAAGTTAAATAAAAATACCAAAAAAGTATTTTGAAATTCTAGCTTACCTAAAACCCTCCGGATAATTTTCTAGAAACTTTTTAAATCGTAACGAAGCGGAGATTAAAATATATTTGAGTATGGTTACTTTAACCCTTTGGGAAATTAGTGGAATTTGAGCGTAACCGATATTGCTATGAAAAGTATTGGCACAAAGTATTTTGCTGTATTCATGTACTTTGCGAGAGCGGCATTGACCAGTTTGAAATATAATTTATAGAAATTTTTGACCTGCCATTGTATTAGTTATTATAACACTGTATCTGTAATAGACATTAATAATTGTATTATTATGGTACGTAGGTTAATTATTTTGTAAATACTCTATATTTGTGTGTTATTAATATAAAATGTCATATAAATCAGCCTTAATTTACAAATAATATATGTGTACTGTAGAACTATGCAAAAAATCCTTTAAATTCAATAATATGTAATAGTAGTATTAACATATATGCGGTATTATTTGCTATGAGCAAATTATTTGTATGAATGCTTACTCTATTTTCCGTTTCTATATTGACAAAATTGCAGTAAGCAGTACAATTAATATCAGCGTTAAATATTAAAGAAATATACATATATATTTATTATTATTCGGTATATTTCGTAAGTTTGTGATATTTCCTTCAATACCTGTTGTGGCAATATTTGACTTATATTATGAACATTTACCATTTCAGTATAAAATCCCAAAGAAAGAGGAAATGGTTGAGCAACAGCAACAGGAGCCAGACAACCCTCTCATGAGGAAGAAAAAAACTCCCGAGGAGTTGGCTGCTGAAGCGGAACTCGAAGATCAGGACGAGTTCACGAGTAAGATTATTTATGCACATGCTCAATTATTTAAATTACTATTGGAAACAAAATAATTGTTGACGGTTATATGACACAGGTAGAAAAAATAAACGACTCACGTATTCGTTAAACATACATTTAAGTAATAGGCCTTTAAAAACAACCCACTTGAAATTCGTAAAATGGCGTAAAATGTCATCGTAACGTTACAGAATTGAAGAACACCATCGAGACCCAGGTGAACGAGCTGAAGTCGCAGATTGAGAGCAAATGCGTGATGCAGTGAGCATCGCGGCCGAGGCTGATCATTCCGTCACATCACACACACACAGTACTAACCCTCAGAACCATTTCGCTCAAACATTTCGTAGGAGAGATTTGAATTCTAAATTATTTCGGACGTAGTTGGCTAGTGGCGCGTTGGTGCTTGATAATAAGCAATAATATTTTTATACATTCATAATAAAGAGCCTCGACACAACCGACCCACGTTGATGCGTTAGGTCAAAAAGTCATCGCTGCTGCGATCAGACATTAGGATAACCTGTTTTATATGTTAACGCTTGTGATATATTGTTATTTAAGTGTAAAGATGAAAATTTTAATACAACTTACGGTATAAATAGCGCGAATAATTTAAGAAGTCTTGCACGCGTCTAATTCTGCTCTCTCTTCCCCTTGGACTCCGACTTACATTAAAATAACAATGTATTCGATTGTAATATTTGTTTCATCCAAATTCCCCTCGGCTCGGTTGGCACTTGGCAGCCGGCAGTTGGCAGTTGGCACTGGGTGTGGCTTGCGCTCTTCGATCTTCTCTCTCAGCTCTTCGACTTTGCCTCTAAATCTTTTGCATGTTCGCTTATTCAATGTGTACGGATCGTGTCAAGTATTCCGATAGGATAGTATACCTTATCGACCTAGCCTTAAAGTCCACATCGAAATTGTAATTCATAGTTAACAATATTGTTGTTATCGAGCGTGACTCGCTCATGTTCGTTGTCATTTTGTTCTTGCATGTCTAATATAAGATCAATGTTCGTTTAGTATATAATATTGTAGATACGACACCTTGTTGTTCCGTTTGTCAGTTAGAGTAGTTGACGCGAATCTAATGTATATCGATGTTTTATGCTTAGAGTAAAGTTAATGTTGTGCGAGTAAATTCTTCGAGCGATTGGTGTCGTACGTTTATGAAGATCCGCCAGCCTATGATTGTCCGTTTTGTAACAACTGTATACGGAAACTTAATTTATGAGTTGTATTGCGGATGGGAATGCAGGTTTATGAATTGTAAAATGGATAATTGTTCGAATATTAGACTCCACTTAAGCTGCAAATGCAAAAGATTTGTTATCGTCAAAAGCTGTGATATAAGAATAAAATAAACTAACGCTGTGCGCCCGACGCGGCCTGACCGCTCGCGCCCTTCCATTCTCTTACATTAGCTCTTACGTATTTCCCTTTTTGATCTTTCACTATAATACTATTATCATCTTCGAAAAGCACACTTCAACATAGTTACGCTCTCATATCAAAGCTTGGACAATTATTGCCACCTTCATCATTTATACTTTCAGGTCAATTATAACTACCTTTGCAAAACTCTATTCCATATACACCCCAAATGTAAATATGAATCAATAATATCTGATTCTGTATAAAGTTATATTTTCAGATATGATACCTATTTCTCGCAATATATTTTCTTAGCTTACTTCAATAGGTCTCGCTAACACTTCTAGCCACTCATTAAATTCACAATCATCCGATCAGGTCAAGCGACCGGTCTCTATAAGCTATTTAAAACTTCACAATCTCTAATAATTAAGATAAAAGTTAAATCTTCACAGTGTACGTGTGTTAGGCTAGGTTAATCATATATTGTAATAGTTCTATGTGCGCATGACAGATTAGCTAAACGGTTGTTCGTAGATATTTGGGATATACAATAATAGGCGTAAGATTCCACCTTGTCTGTTGAATGTTTTAAATGATTTTGGCATGACCAATTTTGAACTTAACTTTTGGATACAGAGCTCGAGTACAAAATATCTGAAAACGAATCCATCTTTCACTAACTCTGCCAAAAAATAGAAGTTATTGAAATGTTGGCATGAATTTTAATTTCTTAAATTGACTCGCTTGAACATTGGCTTCAGCTGCCAATGTTTTATTATGAATGTAAAATTCAAAGTGGTGATCGACCGCATAACTTTGAGGATTTATTTCATGTTACCAATCATGACTACTAATGTTTTCAGATCTTAATAGCTCAGCCTACGAAATTTGTACACGTCTTAACCTTCTTGCTCTTTCCTCTATCCCTTTCCCCTGTAGAACTATAATCTTCGTTGTTGGCTCTCACTACGTAGATATAGTTGGTTAGAGAATTATTTTGATACGTAGCGAGTTTTAGATGTAATGTATATTAATAAATTAGCTAACTGTCACTAATTTCAAAAAGCTCGACCGTCGCGTGTGGCTGCATGAACATTAAAGCTCTGAAAGTGTGACGTGTCGTTTTCTCTCATGTGTCTTTCTTACACGTTTCAAATATCCACGGATTACGAGTAGACGCTTTTAAAGCCACTGTATGTATGTAAGCTTTAGATGTTTGGTGTATAGTAACGTATAACGAATGATTATGGCAAGGTAAATTATTGCTTCGAAACGCGAAGGAATTTGGGTGATATCAAATGGTTGTCGCATGTTTTTTTATTCGATTTCACTTGTATTAAGCTACTATGTATATAATTAACGGATTTCACACACTAACACCCTAAAATCTGTCAAGGTTAGATGTTTACTTAATTTTCATTTGATTAAACATTTTATATAAAACGAGGTTTATACAAGGTAGATGCGTAGTATAGAAATAATTATACATTATTTGATAAATGCCGTGAGAATTTGACTTATTTATTACATTTGTAGCATAATTTTTAAGACCTAAAGTGATTTGACCAATTCTGACTTTTCCAAAACAAAACCAGTTGAGTGATTGATCTTATGACTTTTATACTCAGGGTAATGTTACTATTGTTGTTTTTATAATATATCTGTTTACATTCTTTAGAAGGTGTGACTTTTTGGCCTTGCGGTGCCAATATCTACCGTCTTAAACAACCTTTCTTTACTCTGCTCGCACTTTTCTAATGTATGCGGCTATTAGATGGCCGTTATTACTAACATCTGCGAGATTTCTATTTCAATATGCGTGTGTGGGTTTCCAAGAATAAAATAAAAAACTTCCATATATACATACATATATGCAATTAATGATAATTTAAACGATGAAATAAAAGGCGTAATAAAAACTATACAAGATTTAAAAATCAGTAAACAAAAAGCAAAAACATAGTAAGTAGACAACTTAGAGACAACGACACTTCGTACCACACTAACACGAGAGCTTCAACACACAGTATTAATTGATTGTTAGATAAATATTTATATATTTTGTAGACTTTTCCGAATAGTATAGAAATAATTTTGAAGATCAAGGAACTGATGTTCAAGTGCCACAGACTGCAAAAACTGCGCTTTGAATAATATTTTTACCAAAATTATAATGTCTGTATTGTCCGTAAAATTCTTTGTTTGTATTTATTTAAGTAAAATTTTCATAGATGATATTTTAAATAGCATTTTACGTGAAGGCATGTACGGTTCGACGAGCCCTTTAGTCCTTGTTGCCCTTGAGAAAAATATTGAAACAACTTTGAGGTCTCGTTCGTCCCGATACCTGCTTCACTTGTTCACATAGGATAGTTATTTGGCCAATTTAAGATCACCTAGTGCGTTAGCTTTTAATATTAGTGACATCTAGTGTTAAAATTGCAAGTTTACGGAAATTAAATCTAAATATTTAAAAAGTTGTGTATAACAAAATGTAATTGAATAAATCGTAATCCATTAATCAGGTATGAACTTGGTTCATAAGCATGTTGTATTGTTATTATAAAGAGAAGTTTGTAGTTTATCCACGATTAATTAACTTAGAGTAATGGAGGAAAACGAAAAAGGTTATTGTTGAAAATGTTTTTAGGTAAATAAATCGGATTGAGCTTTTGTGAAAACCTTGTTGTTACTGATAAGTTCTCATTTTCCGAGCTCGGCCGACAGACTGCCATTCTGTGGTCATGCAACTAATTAGTTTAAACTGTCTCTACTATCACTTACGTAGTTTCGTACTAGAATAGGCTTTTTCGCTACTTATTGATTTATATTTAACTGTTGCAATGCATTGGTAAATTTATTTACTCCTTATTAGTTATGTATAAAGTTTAGAGGTAGCCATTTTCATATTAACTTACTGTGAGTGTGAAAGTGGTGTATCTACCATGTTGTTAAATAATAAATAAACTACATTGTACCACCAGTTGTTGTTTTATTTCATTACACCTTATCTTAACTAATTTATTAAAATATCACAAGAATTCCTTTGAATTGAATGTATAATGATATTGTAGAGGTTTGATTATTGTCTATATAGATATTTCGTAATTCCTTTTGTAATATTGTCAACGTATCATTATTTCATAATTCCACTTGCACGTGGATAAGTCAGTCGCCCTATAACCGCCATGTAAGTCAGAGGACAATAAAGCTAGTGAATTCTATTACGGTTTTCATTTGGTGTACCTCAAACACTAAACTGGTGACCCCGACGTGACAATCAAACCTCTACAATATTATGAGGACATCTTAAACATACAATCTTCATCCTAGATAAAAATTAGTCTAAAAGTGTAGTCATATCCCAGACTTTTTTCAATTTCTTGTTGATATTAGAAAAGAATGATATTACGTCTTCGAGTGTTGAAGATATTATTTTAGAATTTGGATTTTCGCTGATTTTAATTATTGCACCATCATCTTCTATCTTTGTTTCCAAGACGATTGCATTTAAATTTTCATCAATATTTTCATAATCATCATTTTTGAGAGCAATATCCATTGGTAGATTTCCCATTTTCTTTACTTTATTGAAAATTTTAGCAAATTTTCTGTTCTCCTTACTATCCAAGTCTATAGCGTTTTCTAATGAATCAACTTCATCATACTTTGGTAAACTATTCCGTGCAATACTACGTCGTTTTCTTGTAGCGTCTTCGCCAACGTCAAGTCTTTGCAATTGCAAGTCTTCGTTTAATTTCTTATTCTTAATATCCAATCCATTACTAAAGTCTTCAGATTCTTTATTTACTTTTTTACCTATACCTTTTCTATTTGTTCGCATTTCTCTAGGCTCTGAGTATCTTCTGCGTTTATTATTTTTCGTTATTACGCTATTTTTATTGTTTTTCCTCAAAAAATCTTTGGTGCGTGTAAAGTCACTTGTTACATCACGAATTTTGCTTATTAAATTAGAACTAAAAGGTAGATTTTTACTTATGCCTATAAGTTTTCTTCTAGGCTTCCTATAAAAATGTTCATGGCTATTTTGAGATTCTCTTCTAAGTCTATTAAACGCATTGTTGTTCATTTTGGCTTGAAAAATGGTATGAATTTTCTTCAAGTCTTTATTTATCCCAAACAGCCGATCCCGTAAGGCTGCCTTGTTTTGTGCCAAGCTACTTTTAAGTTGGTCTAATATTTCTATATCATTTGATGTATTCTCACGGATATCCGATCTTTTAATTCTCCTTGTACGTGGTTCTTCTTCACTTAAAACTACAACTTCAGAACTGTCTTCAAATTTTTCTTTAGCTAGCTCACGGCAAGCTTGAACTTGAGTATTTGCTAATACCCAAAATCCAAATGATTTAGGAGGGAGACTTATGAGTAATGATTTGTATGGACGAACGTGTTTAACTACGGGCCGAATATCTCCTTCGTAATACATGGCGTGGCTATTTACCACAATATTTCTAGAACAAACAAGAATCCATTCATTTAAAAAATCTTTTAAAATGAATCTTAGTGTAGATCGAGAAGGTTAATTAGGTAAATATTTTTACCCTTGCGTGAGGTATAATATGACCTTATGAAAGGCTTTTAAAATTCACAATTGCAAATCTTCAAATAAATACTCACTCATTTTTATCAAGACTTAGTACGAACTGCATAATATCACCCCCTAATTCTTTCTTGGGTAACTTGATTGAGAACCGAGCTGGTTCATCGTCCATATTAGCACCATATAGTGTCAAAGCACCAGGAATCGGTTTGTGATCGAGGGAAGTACAGTGTGCGAAGAGAGTTGCGTTTGTTACGTCTATATCGACGTCCAAAACTCGTTCACCAACAAGATTTTTGAATAGGAGAGCCATGTAGAAACTCTGCAAGATTTAAAATGTCACAATTAGACAAAAACCTAGCAACAAAGTTGAATGTTTTATAAAATAATAATAATCAAACTCATGACAGAAATATGGTAGTGACAAAATTATTGCCCTGTGCTGTGTCTTGGGTGACTGACTAGATTGCAATTATTCTATGGTACATGATGCATGTTTAAGAAAAAGTAGTCTTAGTCTTAAATCAAGCAAAAGTCGTGTAAGACTTTTGTAACCTGATGATGTAGGTTTTAGGATGTCTTTTATGATAATGATTAATTCGCTTCCTATGTTGTTCCAACCTCATATTAAAACTTTAATTCTGGCCAAGGTCACACATATTATCAGTCTCGTTAAGCACTTCATTTTATATTATTAAAAAAATATTTAACATAAATTCTTAAATCCGGGATATTCAAATATAATTGAATTACATTACTAAAAACATCACTCCGTTGGGTCATACACAAAATCTAGATACAAAACGTAAAATGAAATCCCTTACCAGTGTAGGTTCATGCAGTTCCTCTTCAAGCAAATCCCTGTAGTGTATCGAAAAGCCATTCCGGGCTGCAAAGCCAAGACTGGCAAGCCATTCGGCTGCCCTGTGCAACTCCGTTTTTGTATGGGTCCGCTCTGTCAGCCATAACGGAATTTGACTCTTGGCGAAGACCTTAAGTAGTTTCCTACGGTCCTTCTCTGACATTCTTTCAAGTTCTTGCGAGGATGAGTTGCTGTAATTAAGAACATTACATTTTTTTATGTTACAAGAGGCAAACGGGCAGGAGACTCATCTGATATTAAGTGATACCGCCGCCCTTGGACACTCGCACTGCCAGAAGGCTCGCAAGCACGCTGCCACCCTTATAAGTAATGGTACGCTGTTATTTTGATGGACCATAAGTGGAACGTGGACGTCAAGATGATACGGATGGTATTTTGTATTCTGCCTTAACGTCCGATAGTGAAACTCAGCTAAGAAACTCAGGTATTAGTCCGAACAACTCCTCTGAACACTCTCCATAGTAAATATGGTAGAAGAGTATGTTGTTGGTCTTGTTTTTTGTGTAATTAATATAACTGTTATCTATATAACAAGTCGACCATTTCGATCTTGATTTTTTCCCTTGTTTCTTTTTCTAATAATTTTCTAATAATAATTCTTTCGTTAATAACTACAATTACGCATTTCGTATTATGATTTTGTGTCAAGTATATACTTATATTTATTTTACGTAATATTTTAATGCTTTTTACCGTCTTATTGCTATTATATAAATTGTTTAGTTCCATACTAGTAATCTAAGACAAAAACTACTTAGACTACCGTTATAGCACAATACTTGTTTCCAATAATGTTGGATATCCCATACCCATTTAAGAACAAAGCGTCCATCACGTCATTTGACAAGGTGACGTAATCCCTGAAGTCACTTTTGGAGTGTAGATGCAGACAGGGTGTGACGTCACCTCCCACAACTTTCCACCCAGGACGTGAAAACGTCTCTGTTATTACTCTAAGGGTTTCCATATCGTTAAGGTATTCTTCTATAGACTGGTTCTTGCATTCTAAAAATAAACATTAAATTAATGCTAATGTCTAATCATGACTCGACTTACTCAATACAAATCGTATGTGCAGTATGGTCTGCAAAAATCATACCAACTAACAAACTTTATTTAAAATAACAATTTCAAATACTGTCACACGTCTTCTTTCTCGTTAAATGTAAAGATCATGGGTGTTGTAATATAATATTAAATATTGATAAAATTTTGTAAACAATAATTTCGAAGATGAAAACAGTATTATTGCCACATGCTTTATTCTGGTAAAAATATTTTCGAAGACTTACCATAACCCAATTGCCAAAAGACATTAGCCAAATCTAAACGATCAGCCGCTGTTAGGACATTTAAAGCGGTGTTTGCGTCCCACATACCCGCATTAGTCTTCTGATCACTGTTTAAGGCAAACACCAGGTCGAATCCAGTAGTATTCGAAGATTTAATGAATTTCTCCCACTGTTTTTGTGTTACTGTTATAAGGTCATCTAAAATGCGTTAAACTTTGCCTATACATTTGTTCATATAGTTAACAATACGTATCATCGTCAGAATAAAAATTAATGCCTCTAAAACTACATTTACTGGCAGATTTCAAATCAAGGGAGTAGCACGGAGAAGAGCTGGCAATAAACTCTTAAATACGGTTTTAAATAGCCATTTTTACACGCTTTATATTAGCTTCACCTGTTTGTATGTATGTATATGTAACCGACTCCTTCGGACTCGATTTTGACCCACTTTTAACGGACAGATTTAATTCAAACTTTGCGCACCTGTCAAAGATCGATGACAATGCAATAATCCGAAAAAAAAATGAAAAAAATTAAAAATAAATATATGGGTTGCTTTATATGGGTTGCTTTATATGCACGCTTTTTCACAATAATACCAGTATTTTTTGTTCATTACCATTTTCAGCCTAAATTAGGAATTATTTTTCACTTTTTAGTTTGATGTGCTTTAAAAGCGTGTTTTTTAGTTTTTTTAAACTATATTTATCATTTTATTACTGCGGGAACAATAAGCAAACAGGTAATGTCAAGGTAACGCAGAAATTTATAATTATATACACAAATTCAAGTCCGACCAGACACCACAAGTATCCGTTTACGAGTATGTTCATATAGTAGGGATCAATGAATCCGATGAACGGACGCCTTATTGTACTTCTGCTTACTTCATCCAGTTACAAGACACCGGCAAAATCTGTTATTTTAGATATCACTATGCTTTCTCATTAAAATTTCACTATGTGAATACCTATGTGGTTGTCATTGTGCACACTATACATAATGTAAGTGTGTGCTCTAATTTCGCTGCTGATAGAGATGTTTTTTGTTTACTATTTTTATCATTCTATCAGTAGGTATATTCTTATAAATAACATTTGTAATTAATCAGGATTACCAGTGAGTCGTAATTACACTTTTAACTAACTAACTAATCTTTTACGAACGAAAAACATCACATCCGAATAGGCAAAATATAATAAATGTAATAATAAGAATTTACTTATAAATAAAACTAAAGTGTAGTTATTTATAGTTAAATTGCGCAGACAAAAGGAATACAAAATTTTATTAAAAGCTCTTGTAAGCTTATTTTTAATGATAAAAAGCGTTACAAATTTCCTAACAGATCTATGAAAATTGTTTTAATCGTTGAGCTTTTATTAACAAGAGCATGTTACTTATTGTTTTGTTCAATTTGATGTGAAATACCTATTTGGTTCTTAAAAGAGTATCTACAAAGCTTTCTACCGGTTCTTGTTGGTAGACGCCAGTCTCCGTGCTGGTAACTAAGGAAATTGATGATTTAGAATGAAAAAAAAAAGAATAAACCTTTAGACTGCCATCCAGGTTGATTATCAAAAGCGAACGTGTTGTTTATGAAAGTAAGGTGCTCTGTGGATGGCCCAGCAATACGCAGAAACGCCGGCGTCAAGGCAGAAGCCATGCAACTGCATTCTTTGCTAAAGTTTTAATAATATAATTAGGTTTTTGCCAAATAAGTTAGCGCAGAAGTTAAATATTTGCAAACTTTTCCTAAAACTTTCTTCCATTATCCAAAACCTGGCCAAGTTACGAACCAAGATAGGGTTTATACTTTACATTCTGTCGTCTAGGAACAATGTTTTAGTATCAAAAATTAATATATGCCACTTATCCATTAACCATCAATGTGGTTTTGTATTTGTACCTAGGTTTAGTTGGTTGTTTTAATACATTTAGCTCAGATATCCTGAAGTGGAAGTTATCTATATGTTACAAAGTATTGTTAAATGATCGTAATTAGTCCTTCAAAAATATTTCTGAAGGATTGTAAATTTACATTTTCTTTGCTTATAAACAAAATATTAAAAAATGAAATATGATACTAAATAAAAAACACTGACCTGTTATGTTTTTCAATGGATGCAAATAGATCCTTAGGATCAACACTTAAACTCAAGAAGCGCCTGTCTACGAGATTTATATAATTGTCAGTAAAAATTTTGACGTTATAAATATTAGAATTAACTAAACTAAAACAAAAGACTAATAAGTGAAGGTACAACATTTTGATAAATAAATCCGAGAAAAACTCGGAAGTCATTATATGCGATGCGAAAAGTTATGTTACGGGTAGCGTGAAAATGTTATTATTATATTTATCAAAACTAAAAAAAAAATCTTATAAAATCATTATTAGGCTCATTTACTTCCAATGGGTCATGCCTCATGAAGTCAACACATTTCTGCGTGTTTAATTGATAATTTTAAGCCACTCTTTTTAGGTATTAAACCCATGTTAATACGTGGGTTTATCTACTATAGATTTTCTATATCTATCAAATCTTATCAATATCAGTTTTTCTCATAAATTGACTCATTTCAAATAGAACTAGACACAGGTGTGCTATCACGTAATTTTATCTTTCGTATTTCGATAACAATGTAAGCCTTGGATGAACCTTATTCATTTTATTATTGATAATTTTACTTCACAGATTTACCACATCGGTATATTAACTGTGGTATATGGGGCAGATATCTGTCTCCGTTGATCAATTAAAACATAATTTTTAAATACATTTGATTTTAAATTTTCTTAACATATTTAATTATTCGTGTTTTTATCGGTTATTGTGACTTAATTATTACCAGTAGACTTTTCAGACTTTGTAAGGTGTTGTATTTAAATATTTACTTACGCATATGTGCAAAAACTAGGTAATTTTAATATTTAAAAATTAAAATGTAAGTTCGATTATTTTGTAAAAAAATGGAGAGTTTAGACAATTCTTCTCGTGCTTTCTAGTGCCCTTTGAGAATGAACAGTAGGTAAATGAAAATATTGAAGCACTTCATTTTTTAAATTATCGACGTTCATAAGTGTACATTGCATTAACAAATAAAATAACGAATTAACTTTGTTACTGACTGTAACATAAGATGCTGAATCCATAAAATAGATTTGCTTGATTGCAAAAATGCTGTTCACTTGAGCGTGTGTTATAAATATCAAATATAACACGTACAACAGGTATGCTTTTGCTAAGTCATCGTTTAAACCGTCTTGTAACAGAAGACACTACCTATTTTACGATCAAATTTATATCTACGTTTTTATCACATAAAATTCGTGTGACGACAATCTTTAAAACAATTAACATTTTCCGATAAACTACTAAATCGAAATAGTATCAGTTAATTATTACTGATATAGGTTTTAATATTTCACATTGTATTTCTAATATATTACTAATATTGGTTAATATTGCCCAAATCCTTCGAGCTCCATCTTCAGAGTAGCTCAGTCGTACCACACAAGGACGCGCGAAATTGGCGTGGCATGCTTCATAAGTTGTAGGAGAAGCAACTCGATCATGTCAGCTTTCTAATAAAAAAGAGCATCATAATCGGCCTATTCGTTTAGGTGCTAGGATGCCATAGCCACACTCACATATAAACCTTATAACTCCCTTGGTTACGCTACGTAGGTAAATATACATTCCCGTGTTTTAGAAATTACTTGGAAAAGTATAAATAGCCTTTTTTTATACTTTTCCAAGTAATTTACCTACTGGGAAAGAGATAAAATAAGAAGTTTTACTAGCAAACTCTTTATTCTTTGTATTTATAAGGAAACACTTTGCACCTACTATAGACGTGTATTTTTGTGGTGATTTTAGTAAATTACCACAATAAAACTAAATAAACTAAGTGCGAGTCCTAGGAATTCAAAAGTTACCATGAGGCGCAATCATTAGGTTTAAGTGTGAGTAAGTGAACAACAAAATTTGTTATTACTGTCATTCTCACTCCGACGGCGTCCACGGCTTGCGCGGAACAAAAGAGGCCCGGGCGAATAATTCCTGTTGCGTGCAGCGCTGGCGCAATTTGCTTCTACTGACCTATCGAGAGTTCTTGTCAGTTTTGTTTCATTCCTATCTAAAAATGCTTTGTTCATCAGCACCAGTTAAATATCCCATTCATAATAATATATCAGTTTTGAATCCCGATTCCCGGCAATGTCACTGTACGACGTACGTGGCGAGAAGCGGTGTCATTTGTCAGATCAATGGTTCAGACATCTTACAGGAAAAACGAAACTTCTATATCAAAAATTTGAAATTAGTGACAAAATCCTTAACAGCAAGATTGAAAAACTTAATCAAAAGTTGGCGAATGCTGAGCCGTTTTTGAGAAAGGTCCATTGAATAAGAAACGACCTAGACTTGCCGCCGTCAACCGACCGATGGCCTTGCCGTCGCTTAGCCACGATATCCTATACAACGTGGGATATGCTCACATAGGACATACATTTATTTTAAAATAATACTATCTTAAAGCAAGTGTTCCAACAAAGTAACAAACAGCGTAAGGACACAATACTCAACATTCGCATAATTTTTTCTACTTTCTTGGGCCATTTTTATACAACAAACATAATTCTTCCTTAAGAATAAATAGTCAAAATAGCTTTTTCAGAATTTCTAAAAACCCTTGATTACGATGCAACAGAAAATTTGTTATCCATAGGTATCTATTTGAGGTAGACTAAAATATTTTGTTCACACACCCTAGACTACTTTGATAGAGTTTTGACATTGACGTACAAATCATACAATGACAATCGACATTACTCATCATTTACACCTCCGAGCTGCCTTGGCAATTTATTATTTTTATTTACGTACCTACCACAATTCATAACATTGCAATCAAATTATTTTAATAAATCGTTGTCTTATCGCGATATATTCGCATGTAACTTGAGCAGTGTTATCTCTCTTGTTAACGTTTTACGCGTAAGATTATGCCAAATAAATTGGTTAATTTTTATTTTAAACTGGTTTCGATATTCAACTTTGGTATGTGCTTGTGAAAATGGAGAAGACCGGGGACAATAAAAAGGACGAAACGACGGGCCAGAAAAAGGAGATACCGTCTAACTTGCGGAAAGTGTGTTTAATTTGTGGCGATAGAGCGTTAGGTTACAACTTTAATGCCATATCCTGCGAGAGTTGTAAAGCATTTTTCCGTCGTAATGCCCTTACTAACAAAGAATTCAAGTGCCCCTTCTCGGACAACTGCGAGATAACAGTGGTTACGCGACGATTTTGTCAGAAATGTAGACTCGAAAAATGTTTTGCAGTGGGGATGGTGAAGGAATTTATAATGTCAGATGAGGACAAAGCTGAAAAAAGACGGAAAATAGAAGAAAACAGAGCTAAGAAACGTCAGATAGTAGAAGGTGATGAATCAGTAACAAGCTCTAAAATAAGAAAGGAAGATGTACCTCCAGCTATTGAACCTACAATACAACATAATGTTCTTAATAGCACTACTTGTAGTCCAAATAGCACAGTGCAATCTCCCTTGAGCACGGATATGGAAAACTCATTGAGTTCCCCACCTTTCTATGGCTATAATTCACAACCAAGCTGTGATACTCAGTATGTAAAATTCCGACCAATAAATGAAAAATTTATTATTAGTCGAGATTTGCAAGAAGCAAAGCTAGCTTATATGAACAATCAAGTAGATAGCATGTATTGTGAAACTACAAAACAAGACAGTATAAAGTTAGTATTAGAAAAAGTAGTATAGTAGTTAGTATTAGTTAGTTTGTATTTTATTTTAGAAAGCTTTAAATATGGTTAGTTACAAAAGAGTAACTTTATCCTTATCTTTAAAATGACTTTGAAACAGAAGTGATACTGAATGGCCTCTACATTTATATAACTTGTTACTTTTTACTGTTTAGCTGTTTTATATATACATATCATATGTACATAATATCATTTACACACTAGATTTTTTTATTAAATTAAAAATAAAGTATTACTAAATGGTACATAAATTTATAGATATAAAAATATACATAAAGTTATCATCTTTCAGTAAGATTTACTACTATTTTAAAACCATTTAATTTGTAATTATAACAGGTCATTATTAACCAATGGAGATAATATCTCACATGCAATTATATCAAATGAAGTGAATCATGAAGAAACACCGTCCACAAGTGATGCTGATGTCAATAAAGCTAAAGAAATATTACAGGATGTTGAAAGGTAATATAATTTTATTTTCAATCACTTGAAAATAACTTTTATTTTAAAGTGTATTTATATGATTATCGCTCTGATTTCTATTTCCAGACAAATCGAAATACAATTTCACTTCCTTTAATTAATATTAAATTTTAATCTAATGAATCATACACTTTATAGCTTGCATGAATCTTAAATAAATATATACTAAGAACAAATCTAAAACACTGACACACTTGTACAGTAAGTGATTAAGAAGAAAAATAGTATAGGACCTGGATACTATTTGTGTAGGTTCTGTGTAATATTAAAAATTATACTATTTATTGCAGAATTGAGCCTAATTCTATGGAGTCAATATTGTGTGAAGCAATAAAATTGGAATTTGAAGCTTACACATCACTTACAAATGTAAACAGTTCATCTAGGGAACTAAATGAGGTATGACTTAATAATTATATGCTAATTCTATTAGAGGGTAGAATTACTCTAATATATATTCTCTGTTGACTGGATTATGTGTGGGAATTCAAACTTAAGATTTTGCTGATCTTCATTGTATAGAACTACTGAATAATTAATTAATGTTGGAATGGGGTTTGAATTGGGTACTATAAACAGTTTTGCAACTTCCACAATTTCAATCAACACAACATTAAAATCTAAGAATCATCATTGTTTAATCATGTGGCATGCTTGTGATGCCTACTAGAGTCTGGCTTATGAAAGAAGATAATTGTATTATTTGAAAACTTTCGGATGGCAACACAGAATGTCATGGAATTTCTTAGGTTAGTATGATTTATTGTCTTGATACTTTTTGCAATTACTCATTTTATTTCTAATATATATTTTTTCCGAATAGTTAACAGGTATAATAGCCTAAACTTTGTTTTATTGATTTTTTGGATTCTGATTCTGATTATTCCGAATAAAGTTGTGTTTTATAATAAATATAGTTTTAGTTTTCCATGCAATGCTAGTCATTTTAAGTATCTATAGTAAAAGACTAAACACATATAGTATTTAATTTCATAGAAATAAAGTTACTATCAATGTAAAAAATGATAAAATAAAATCAAGTATCAAGTAAGTTTAATCCACAAAATATATCAAACTTTTAGGGATACCATAAATTTTTTGTTTAATTTGCCGCGCTTTTTCGTTACTTTCTTTCATTAGCTAGACTCTATCCTTTTACTAGATCTATACCGCAAAACTATAATTAAGGTGTCATAAAGAAAGTATGTAGATTACAAAAACTAATTAAGAAGATGGCATAAATTTCCACCAATTCCACTATAACACAGTATAGTAAAAATCTTCCCTTAATACAAGTCCATGAGTGTGGGCTAAATCAAGGCAGATTATCCATGGGACAAACATATTTATGCCTCTGTTACACTACTAGCTTTTTTAACGAAAGTAAGATGATTTATCATCATGATCAGTAATGATGATGATAATCTTTACTTCTATTATGATAAAATTCCATTTGAATGTGTAGTCTCCTCAGAACTTTGCCTAATAATAATAGCATAATGTTTACTAACATTGTTCATGAATAAATAAAATATATAAGTCATATTTCAGCTCTTCTTTATAAAAATTCAAACAGTGTTATTGCATTGTGTTAACTAAATTACATTTTTATTGTATTCATGATATGATGAAATGACACAGAATAGTGTCTGTGTTAAAACATTTTAATTGGCTTGATTTAGTTTTTATGAATAAAGGGCATAGTTGACATATCTTTTAACTAACCAGACTGGAAATAGAGAGAAATAGTTTTATCAATGTTATAGGTAGAAAGAGCAAAGCTGAATGAGCTAATTGTAGCAAACAAAGCCCTCAACGCGCCCATTGATGACGACGTCTCAGAACTTATTGGAGATACTTCAGGATTTAAGGTTTGTTATTAGTCTAAACGTCTCCTATTATTTTTCTAATAACGTGTTACGTTCTTATATAAATTGTCAAATACAGAACAGAATATTAACATTGTCATCTCTTAAGGCTCCCCCACACAGGCGCGTTATTATAGGTCGATAAAATCGCATGCGGTATTGCGATAATGCGTCCCGATTCCTTGCACACAGCTGCGTTTTTATCGTCCGATATTTCTTACGAGAGAGCGCCGCGCCGGCACTATTATACTATCTCTCTCAGGTATGCAAAAAAAGTCAACGCAGCGCACGCACATGCAAGGAAGACTCCAACAAGTCAGAGCGTATTTGTGTGTTCTTTCGCTATATTGCGTATTTTAAAAATGAATATCGAATTATTCATAGCTTTAGTGAAGGAACGACCTGTTTTATATGATTTACGAAATCCACTATATAAAGACAGAAGGGAGAAAGATAATAAATGGAGGGAAATATGTAATATGGATATAACTAGTAAGTACCTACTGACAAGATCACGACATAATGAACCAAAACATTCTAGAACTCATATCGGAATATCGCAGGACGGACGCAGCGTCCTACTTCAATTGCGGCGTTATTATCGCAGCAGTGTTTAACTACATGACCATCCTAATATAAAATGTACTGAAAACAGATATCGTAATAACGCATGCGATATTATCGACCTATAATAACGCGCCAGTGTAGAGAAGCCTTTATTCATTCCCAAGGTTCAAAAGCAACAGAATCTTCCAAATCACGTCTTAAAAATCAACCTAGGAGTTGTTCTCATTCGAATTCTTCTCGAACGCAACAAAATGAACGCTACTTATTCAAAGCTTGATATATTCGGCAGTGGGCTGATCAATTAAGAAAAAATGTTAAGCGCCTATCGGGTACCTAAGCCCCATTGTTAAGCGATTATGTATTTTGAAATAGGTAATTACTAGTAAAAACTAACATTTTTAGTTGGAAGTAATATTTTTATTATTTTTTGTAAAATTTATGTTCACCGTAATTTCATGTAATTTAGAATAGATACATTGTAACTTAATCGGTAGAAAATGTAAATTATACCTGTTGTGATACTATTCTTCAATAAATAAAGCGCGTGCATACGCTCACGAAATATTTAAGCGCAAAGTTGATAAGGGTGAGACTGTGTGGAAAGCTCATTTACTTGTTTCCACAAGCTGAATAGGTTTATATATGTCACCGTAAAATTGTAAATACCGTAAGGTTGTAATCTCTCTCGCGAGATTGTGAACTGTCGAAAGATTGTGAACCTCAACGTACTGCTTACAAATTTAACGTCTTCTTATTCGGTAGATTGTAACCTATCGAAGTGAAACCGTCAAATTGTAAAACGGAACGCACCTCGCGCGCTGATTGGTTGTTTGTTTACATTCGACAACAAACAAATATGGTGGCGCGCGGCATATTATGCCGTTCAACTTCCCTTCGAATTCCCTTTTGGTAAAAAAAAAACTCGATTCAAATATTTATATGAGACATGTATTACGTAGCTTTAAATATTATAATACAATTATTTGATGCACATTTATAATGCGCCTAATATAAGACTATTTTGAAAATATGCCTTTATTATTTTTCAGGCATTCAGCAATAAACACGATCCGCGTCTAGTGACAATTGTTAACTTGACCGCGGTCGCAATTAGACGGCTGATCAAGATGGCGAAGAAGATAAATGCTTTTAAGAACATGTGCGAAGAAGATCAGGTATATTTCTTTTACACAAAATTCACTTCAAACAGTAGTAATTGCGCAGTAGTTAAATGTCGCGCGTAACCATGGCAACGCGTCGTCCCATGCCCCTTCGGCGACCCATAGTCGTCGACATCAAAAAATTACAATGGTGACATTGATTAGTGTAATAATTTACATTTTATTATTAATTAAACATTGAGCAGTGGCTTCAGTGCGCGACTCTTATCCCTATAAGGGGATAGGGATAGAGGGGATCCACATCGTCGCCTATCTATAGTAAAATACCTAAATAATGATATGTAATATCACTAGCCACATTGCTTGCGTATATATCTGCGTTAAATAATGTCACAACTCATAGCTTTTGCTGCTGAAAATTGCATTTAGTCCAAGAACAAAACAGAAAAGTTACCAATGAAACAGACAGAAGTTATTATTTATACGCACTGAAAGCTTTAATAGTATGACTAAAATTAACAGGTGGCGTTACTTAAAGGCGGTTGTATAGAGATGATGGTTTTGCGCAGTGCCATGACGTATGACGGACAAGGAGACCAGTGGAAGGTAAATAAGTTGATTCCCAACGAAATAATAAAAGTTTTCCTTGAAAACATGACATTAATACAAACGCAAGTATGTGAAGAAATAAAAGTTTTTTTTTATGAAAATAGTTTAAAAAATTATAGTTAATGTTTAATTTGGTTACATATTTGTATTAGATTTATCTGTCCAAAAAAAATATTACGTTAATTAGATTTCTCGTTTTGTTGGTGATAAGGTTCCTGTTTAGAAACACTGTACCCATTACACGGTTTTAATTTGTTCATAATGATCACTTCCAGCTGCCACATAGCCAGTCGTGTTTTAGCAGTATCCGTACAGATGTATTAAAACTTGCGAAAGGCGACATCTATCGGTCGCATGAGGCATTTATCAGGTCCTTCAGGCCGGAATGGCGGACAGACGAGCACATCATACTGATTATGTCTGCATTACTTTTATTTACACCAGACAGGGCAAAGGTTGTGCATAGAGATGTTATCAAATTGGAACAGGTAATTATTTATTAATTAATAATTATACTGTTATGCATGCATAATAAAAAAAGGATATAGTCACATGCTGTTTCACATACAAACATACGTACACACCAATGTTTAGATTATATTTCACTAAGGTAGGTGGCATTAGGTTCATAGCATTTGTTTTTCTTTGTTTTACAATTTTTTTGCTATCTTAATAAAAAACAAAAACTTTAATGTCTGATAGACGCAAAGAATCTGCAAATATTTAAGACAGTTAGTATTTGTATTGGAAGGAATCTACAGAGTTTTCTATTTTACTAAACACAAATAAATTTTCAGAACTCTTACTACTACCTCCTCCGGCGTTACTTGGAAAGCGTATACCCTGGATGCGAAGCGAAATCGACCTTTTTAAAACTCATTCAAAAGACTATTGAACTGAGACGATTTGCGGCAGAAGTAACTGAGGTCTATTTAGACGTGAACCCCATTGAGCCATTGCTTATGGAAATATTCGATCTCAAACAGCATCCCGCTTAGGTGAGAAAAATCAAAATGAGTAATGAGTAAAATCTAAAAAGCTGGTTTAAAGTTATAAAAGCTTATTTTCAAAGAAAATTTCGTCATCGAAATAGCGTCCAACAAAAAACAGAGTAACTTTGTTTTAATTAATTTTGAAGTGCTTCTGATTGCGTACATTTAACTGTATTTATTGTCAAGAAACGTTAATAATTTATTCAGATGTGAGATTTTAATTGATATAACATTTTCGTTGGATTAGATATTGATGTCCAAAAGATTTTCAATTTTTTTATTATTGGTACTATAAGTATCAATTGTCTGGTAAATCTCAGGATTTGTAATACATTTTGATATTGCTTACTTCACTGTATGCACAAGAAAAGTGGTTTTTAATAGGCCTTTTTAGGTAATTTGACGCAATTATATAAAATCTGCATTTACTGTAGTTTTTGGCCTTGAATGGACATTTGAATCTTAAACGAAACAAACTACCCATGGTGCCAATATTTGGAGGGGCCGTTCAAGTATTACGTCAACAGTAATTATTGAATTTTTCACACATATTACCCACACATTATCTATGCTTGAAAACGAAATGTATTTTTGAGGATTCCAACAAAAAATTGTGAGCTTTGCTTAATTTTGCTGACGGGGGGGGGGGGGATAAATTGCTTACGTAATACTTGAACGGCCCCTGACGAGTTCTATTATTGTCAATAGATATTAGCAGTTGAGATTTTTTATTATTTGATTTTTAAACCAGTGTTGGTTTGGACCATTATTTTTGTTAATGTTGTTTTATAACTTGCTAGTAATTATGTTATCAAAATTTCGATGTTTATTAGTCCTACTTTTTAGTTTATCAAAATTCACAGTTGGCAGAGATAGTACACTATTTTAAATCTATATGCTCTATATTCTTGTTTAAGAAAAATACCAAAAATTAATATAAATTTTATCCAACTCTTGGAAGTTATTTATTACTAAGTATATTTTTGTAAATATATTGTAAATGAAAACTATTTTTATATCATTGTTGTTAGATGTATAATTTATACTAAGAATTATATTTTAAGAAGGCGGAACAATAAATAATTTAGTTTCATAAAAAAATGTTTTATTAAACAAAAATTAAATAAACGCAAACAAAACATAACTCTTTAACTAAACACTCCTAATGACAAGTGTATGTGTAATAACATAAATAAATAGAAATCCAACCGTTTTAACAAAAAATTAACTAAAAACTAATCTAAGCTGTGTGGCAGCCTTAATTTTGGATCTATTTAAAACTTTCTGTTAAACTGTAGGTTTTGTTACATGACGAAGATGTATAAAACGTAAACACCAACAACCACTGGGTTACGCCGTCATGTCCCACAAACCATTTATACAACTAAATTTAACTGTAGTCATAAAATGAATGATAATTATAATAGCATCACTTTAACGACGTCAATATCAACGTAGATTAAAATAATTGAGCCTTAAAACCTTAAACATGCTAAAATGCTCATTTCACTTCGACACAAACAGTAACATCATTCAAATTAAACGTGAAACTATCAAGGCAGCTCGTATTTCTAATAATAAAAAAGGAAACTAAAACAAAGAAACAAGCAACTAAAGTCCTTCTTGACAATGGTCAATAGATTAAATTTGAAAATTAATTGTCAATGTATAAAAATTTACGACTTACGCCAATAAGCGCTTGCACACTAAAAATCTATCTATCTATCAAATCTATAAGCTATCCGTTAGAATAGCTCAATATACAGTTAACTTCTTGTGCGTATGAAAATCAATTTACTTCTTATCAATACCTAGAGCGATCTTCATCTCCAAACTATAGCTCTCATCAACTCTATCGAATCCCTTGGTTTCAGTATCAACACAATCTTCAAAGACTTCCTCACTTGCAGAAAGATTAAGAATCTGAATTTCATCTGTTGTAGGTTCGTAAAATTCTTCATGAGCCTTTGAATCATCAAGTTTATCGTTCCCAATGCCAGAATCATTTGCTTCATTATTTACCATTACTTGTTTATTTTCTTCAGTTAGAGTGTCTTCAAACAAACTCTCGTTACTTGGTACAAGTGTTGTGTCATTGTCACTAACGTTATCAATTATAGATTCAGGTGGACTTGGAATGTAATGGACGTATTCGCCGGCACGCCATCTTTGCTCAGCCAAGTCTATATGTGCATCAACTATTTGGGATACTTCCGGAATCTGTAAAGATTTTAAATTTTTATTATAATCCAAATGTTACTAAGCAAACTGTATTTTACAAAAGTGTAATATTTTTTTACCGTAATAGTGAGTTATAAGGAATTTAATTTACAGTGGTTCAAATGATTAAGAAACAAAGCTATAGCATCGATCATACCGTATACTGGTTATCCAGCTGTTCCGAGATGCTCTCTATGATAGAATTGGTGCGATTATCCACCTTCCCAGCATGTGATGTTACGATCCCGCATTGTCGATAGTGCTCTGCCTCCTCGTATTGTAAAGTTCTTTCCAAAATCTCCGAGGCTACTGTGTCCTCTATACGGGCGTTTTCTTCCATGTCAGCGAAATTTGTTCCTTAAAATGATTAGGTTTTCAAATAGGCCATATATATACCATATACAGCTGGATTTACTACGTTAATTTAATTTAATTCATTCGTCGGCTTTTATTTCGAGAGGAAGGAGATTAGGGGGCAGACCCCTTTTGACGTTTTCGTATAGACTTCAAAATCGAATAGAATATAAATCTATAGTCAAGATCTGGGTATGAAGACTCCAAAAATGTTTCAACGGCCTGCCTAAGCGGGAACGAATTTGCAGCATTTGATCACGAACTATTGGTACTTTGATGAAGTGGAAGTCCAAAAATAAGGTGGATAGTAAACTGGTAGTAAACTTATAATTTCAACAGCTTGTACCCTAAATATCGGAAGGGCATAAAACTGTCTAGAATCAATAGAAGATATAATGAACGAGTTATTTTTACCCACTTGAGGCAGTCAAATTTGCTAGGGTGTGTGTCCCGGCGAAATGAAAATTTCAAAGAAAATCTTCCATATATTTTCTATGGTACAAGAACTGTTCTTCAAGTTGAAACTGTTATTTTTACAAGTCTCACTACTTCCAGCCCCCACCTAGGGAGCTGTGTGCCGCTCAGCGCACCTTTATCATCTATATAAGAAATTTGCCAACAGTAGAAGGCATTTGACTGAGAATTTGAAAGCATTTTAATCCTTCACACGCAATTACAGAATACGGTCCTTCGTAGGTTTATTTTCCAAATTCCCAGATAATGTGACTCCAAACCCATTCACAGTATTGCAATTATGGAAGTTAGGTCTTTGGTAGGGGATATAGTTTCATTCTATATATCCAGCCAATATTGCTCCAATACCTTAAGCTCCCAAAACTAGCCTAGTGCATCTTTAATCTCGACATAAGACATTTATCGAGATCGAATAACGTTTCAAAGCATTTCAACTTGGACAACGAATTATCATTGCGGATATCTATCCTTCGAAGGGATTTAGGTGTTTTTCTTAATTCTCGAGTAATATGGCTCTCCCTTCAGCCCCAGAACTGCCTAAAGCACCGAGCACCCCGTACATAAGATATTTGCTGGTAGTAGAAAACGTTGAAACGTTTAGTAGAATGTGAGCCGTTTTACAGAGATATGAAAAACAAGCATAGTAATTTATAGAAACTATACCTTGTGAGGGAAACCTGTCATCATCACATGAATTGATCGTCTGAATAATTGTCCGCTTAGCTTCATCTCTTGCCGAGTTCACACCAGACGTACTTGGTTCACTGGCTTCAACTACGTCTAATGATATTTGGCCTTATTTAAGAAACATTTTAATTACAACCTTCAGAACTTATGTACTTCTTAACTAGGTGGTGCCAAGTTGAACTGGCCTGGTTGAACATGAAAAGCCTAGAGTCAGTTTAGCAGGGTTCAAATATAAAAGAGTGTTGCGCGACTTTTTTAAATGTCAAAAACAAAAAGTCATAAAGTTTTTTTTTAAGATGATTAATCTTCGGCCCAAATAAAAAACCATAACATGGCGTGTACAAGGAATCTTGACCCTCCTAAAAATGAGTGAAAGAGTTAAGTTTCTAGAGAGAGAAACCGTTGAAGACATCGGCCGGTGGCAGTGTTTACTTCTAAATTTGAGAGAGTTTACATTAATTGGAGAGGATTTAAGATTAGACGAATTGCAGCTGGACTTTAGCTTAGTATTAGTCGAGATTATATTGATAAATATAACTGTTTTCATACACAGACAATGGAGGATGGTACTTACACACAACGCGCGCGCACGCGAGTAGTTCGCGTCGGTCAACTATAGACTTTTATAATAGAATTGCGTGTGTATTTGTTCATAATTTTGTAATTAGTGATTGTACACTAGGAATACGTTATTGATTTGTTGAAATAACCTATTGTTATGCGTCTAAACGAAAGATCTAAGTCGAACATTAAAGTGAACACTTTGTGCCTATTTTGATCTACCCGCATCTTTCACACGGTTAATTTTAATAAATATTAAGTGGTTTGTGTGTGGATTTTCGTCATTAACGCATCAAGGTAGCGGGTTTATTACCGATACTTTTGTTGTATACCGTGTGTACCGTAACAAAATGTTGACCCGTAAGGCCTTAGCTCACCAGGAGGAATACCAACGGGTTCTGCAGGAATTGAAGGTCTCCAAGGAGTTGGTTGAGCAATTGCTTAAAGAACGGGATGACAGTGAAAAAGAAATGTTGGATGCCCTTGAAAACAACATAAAGTTAAAGAAAGAAATGGCTGATTTGCATACTCAAAATTTAAATATTATCGATGAGAGGAATAAATTGCAGTATGTAATAGACAGGTTTGACCAATGCAATAGTGAGTATGAGCAGACCCTCACGCACATTGCTGAATTGGAAAAACAACTACAAGAAGCAAACAATTGCATAAGTCAGTTGGAAACAGATAAGTTAAATTGGACAAAAATGTATTGTTAACTGGGTGGATTCAGATCATAGTGGACAAAAAATCATTGTTGAGCGCCATAGGGTTAAACAAGACATAAAAATTACTTTTAGGCCAATAACGGACAAACGCTTAAAGGTTTTTGAAAATAATATTAAGAATAAACTTAGGTTTCTTAAAAATTCAAATGATGCTAATGAGCAATACGAATATTTATGTCAACAAATAAACATAGAATTTGCTAGCATATTTAAACAAAAAACTGTTTCTTTAAACTCTAAAATGAAATTCTGTGACTGGGCCACACCAGGTATTTACGTTAGTAGAAGAAAATTGTATGATCTATATTATGAAAAGTCTATTTCTACTGAGCAGTCGCTTATAAACTATGTCAGAAATTATTCAAAAATATTTAAAAAAAGTTTGTAATATAGCAAAGGCAAATTATTTGAGTAATAAAATAAAAAAATCGGACAATAAAATTAAGACCACTTGGAACATTATTAATCAAGAAACTGGTAAAACTTCATTTAAAGATAGCTCTTTTGAAATTAATATTAATGGCAAAATTATAAAAAAAAGATGCAGCGGTCGCAAATGCTATGGAGTCCTTTTTCTCTGAAATTCCTGCAAGAATCACTAGTAAACTGAATTCATCTACGCAATTCGCGCTTTCACTTTTAACGTCTAGCACAAATAAAAATAGTAGTGCATTCGATTTTCATAAAATTAACACGGATTCTATTGTAAAGGCATTTAGATCGTTGAATAAGAAGAAAACAGAAGATCTATGGGGCATATCAGTAGCTGTAATAGCACCAATAATTGGAAATATTTCTCCTTATCTAACGATTATTTTTAATAGATGTATCGATGATGGGATTTTTCCCAATCTCATGAAATATAGTAAAATTATTCCTTTATTTAAGTCTGGAGACAAATCGGACCCCACGAATTTCCGCCCTATATCAATTTTACCAACTCTAAGTAAAATATTTGAAAAAATTATTCATAATCAATTGCTTTCACATTTTAGATTAAATAAACTATTTCATGATAGACAATTCGGTTTTACTAAGGGTAGATGTAGTACGGATGCGGGTGTGGAGCTCATGAAGCAAATATTCGATGCCTGGGAAAATAAACAGGATGCTTTAGCTGTCTTCTGTGACCTGTCCAAGGCTTTTGACTGTGTAGACCATAAAACATTATTGGGAAAATTACAGTATTATGGCGTCTCAGCAAACTCAATAAAAATAATAAATTCATACTTGAGTGATCGATTACAAAAAGTGGTTATAAATAAAGCAGAGTCTTTAGGAGCTCCTATTCTCATAGGTGTGCCTCAGGGGTCGATATTGGGGCCGTTGCTCTTTCTTGTCTACATAAATGACCTGCCATTTTATGTAAATAACTTATGTGAAACGGTATTATTTGCAGATGATACATCTCTTATTTTTAAAATCAGTAGGAACGCAATAAATTTTGACGAGGTGAATGATGCCCTTTCCCGAGTTATGTGTTGGTTTACTTATAATAACTTGTTACTAAATTCTAATAAAACAAAATGTATTAGATTTTCTTTGCCTAACGTAAAACAGGTCAGTACAAACATTAATATTAATGAGGAAATAATTCAATGTGTTGATTCAACTGTATTTTTAGGGATCACTCTAGATTCTCGTTTGCAATGGAAGCCCCATATTACAAACCTATCGTCAAGACTTAGTTCGGCTGCATTTGCGATAAGAAAGATTAGATGGTTGTCTGATGTCGAAACGGCGAGGCTTGTATACTTCAGTTACTTCCATAGTGTTATGACATATGGTATATTGTTGTGGGGCTCAGCGGCCGATATTCAAGATATTTTTGTTTTACAAAAAAGAGCAATACGCGCTATATACAAATTAAAACCGCGTGACTCGCTAAGAGAATTATTTAAAGAGATTGGTATTTTAACAGTTGCCTCCCAATATGTGTATGAAAATATTATGTACGTTTATAAAAACCTTAATAAATTTATAAAGCGCAGTGACTGTCACAATTTAAATACAAGAAGTAGGAATAGACTTGATTTTCCAGCTTTCAGACTGCATAAAACTGCTCACTCATTTATGGGGAAATGTATACACATATTTAACAAGATTCCGGACCGTGTAACCAAACTTCCGATTCATGAGTTTAAGCTTTGTATCAAGAAAACCCTAACAAAGGGAGGATATTACACTGTTCGGGAATTTATAGACGATGACAATGTGTGGGCACTAGTGCCGCTGTAAGATGAGGATAACCGAGTTGACATGCATAAGAGTACAAATTGTACCTAAATGATTAAATGACTTTATTAGTCGAGATTATATTGATAAATATAACTGTTTTCATACAATTTTCTTTATTAATTCATAGTTAGGCCAGTTCATTTTAGAGCCACCTTTACGTAGGTTCATATTTCGCCAGTAGGCAGCTGTAGCTAATTGAGACTAAACGTTTTTTTTTGTATTAAATTTTTTACTAATATTATGATGTATTGCTTTAATTTATGTCACGTGGTATAGAGGCTGCAGCTTTATATTATTTTTCCGTTACCTTTAAGCATCTTCTCAAACAGAAACTTCGTGATTAGATAAAGTTTTATTAATTTGCATTAATAAATTATGGATTGAATACTGAACTACTGAACTACTGCCAGTGAAACATCAAAAATGTTTCACTGGCACACATCGATTACTTGGCTGTAAAGCAGCAATAAATTGTAAAGTATTTGTTTGGCCACTATTTAATGAATTAGTTTATATTCATGCCGATCACTAGTTGGCGGTTGTTACATTTATTTTGGATAGCAAGCTGGTGATTGTTGGTTGTTTATTATTAATATTAAATTTCCAGCCTTCATTAATTACATTATGTATGTCTATTGGTTATACGTCAATGCGTACACAAGTTTTAACGCCTTAAACTTAATACATAATAATTTAAAATTACCTTTAGTTACAACACCATCATCTTTTTGCATCAAACTGCGTCGACTTGCTGCTGTTTTTGGTCTAGTTTTTGTCGTTTCCTGTTTTGGTACCACGTCGATATCCTCGCTGTTTGAATCACTATCTATGTTTATAGACTGCGTTTCTTCTGTTGATGCTTGAAGTAATAAAATAATAATCACGTTATGTATCCGTTTCATAAACGGGGTACTCAAATACACTTTACACGGGATACACTAAGAAGCAATAATTGTATTCCCGGGGTATACCGTATAGGCGCCCTTACTATTACCCACAATCTGATATGTCAAAATTCTTACGTGGGGAATCGAAGTGTTCCTCTCCTATCTCATATTGCAGTTCGATGGGTTTCTGCTTCTCAACATATTCAAAGAGAACAGCTCCCGGAACGTGAGTGAGCTTTACCTTGTTAGGATCTGTTAAAAGATTGTTAAGATAGGCATAATTTTTTTCTACTTCGTAATTTGGAAATGAAAATAGGAGGGGTAGAAATTGATTTTTAGTGAAATCATATTGTTTCTTTAAGACAAACTATATTAACATTGCTTACAATTCCCAGTTGATCGCTTTTAATTATCATTTACAATGGGATTATGATAACTAACGTAAGATACAAATTTCATACCCCCTCCATGGTAGCGTTATACGTTTAACGCAACCTGTTTGTAAGACGCATTAGAAGTTTCACTTCATAAACAAAAGGCAGATTTATTTACCTTAAAAATATAAAATATGTCGTTGAAAATAGGTATCTGCTCTCACAGAATGGATATTACCTGGTTGCTCTCCCATAGTGAGTTGGCTGAGTGCGATGCGGTCGTACACGTTGTCATTTCGGTATGTGGTGACATAGTTTTTCTCAGTGACCTGATGCGCTGGCACACGCTCCAAATTTTTGTGGAACTCATCCATTATTTTCTTATCGTAAAGTTTCTATAAGGAAAAAAATATAGTCACTCTTGACTCTTGTGTTTATATGCCTTATAGCAGAGATAGCTTTTGTCAAAACTTTACAACGGGAATAGAGGTATTGATATCTTTATTGTAAATTTCCTTTTTGATAGCACAAACATTTGATATCCGATATAATATATTCTACAGAAAAAATTACATCTCAAATTAATAACGAGTAGTATTTTGCATATAGAAACGGCATAACTGACCGATAATACGCTGTAAAAATGGTTAAATGGAGACAATAATTTACAAATAAAAACAGTAAACACCATAGGATCAACAGCGGGTTCCCCCCGTGCGATTCTTGCATCTCTCTCAATCTGTTCTTGCTCCAATTCTGCGAATATCTCCAGGTCCTCAGCACTTGGGTGCAAGGCCTCATCGTTTGTCTCCATGTCAGTGTTCCCAAGAAAATTAATGAGGGCTACACCGTCGTCTTTACTTTGTTCGACTAGAGCATAAACAGAAGACAAAACACAATTAGTACCAAAGACTGTGTGTTCTGCGCGTATCTATTGTTATTCGCGTATTAGGAACAAAAATTCGCGCAATAATATTTTTATTGAAACTATAGTGTGAGTTATGTATTAGTAGTTATACAACCCTCAAATATTTATTTTTGAATAGAAACTAAGAATTTCACTCAGGCTACGGAACAAACACATTTTTGTGTTTAGTTCATTTAATCTTTCATATTTTGTAAAAAAGAATTTGCAAGCCAGGTAGTTTTCGGTTCGTACTTCTAAGCTTATCTCATCTCGGTCGGCAAACACATTTCCTTCCTCCACTATGAAAAATATTTTCAGAATATTAAAATAGTAACAATAATATTTTTATATCATATTGTTGTCTTAATAAGAAAAGAAAATAGTTTACCACGCCGTCTTCTTTCAACACCGTGTACGTCATAATCAGTTTCTTCTTTTACTGTATTATTTACAGTTTCATCACTTCCATCATTTCCTACCATATTTTCCTCCAATCCCGGTGTTTCTTTTTGCACTTCCTTAATAGTAATTTTTTTATTCACTTTCTTTTCGGAAGTTAAAAATTTGGACTTAGAAACACTACATTTTTCTGTTAATAACTTTCTGTCATGGTCTATGATTGCTGTATTCGTTTCAGTAACATTACTTGTCACCTTTTCATGTAACGGGATATCTTCATCGGCTATGTTTTTTTTAATGACTTCTATTAATGGTTTTTTCTGAGTATCCAAATTTAATGACTCGTCATCATGTACTTCGATTATTTTTACGCCTGATGTATTAGGTTCTGTAATATCACCATAATTATGATACATCTTTTTTTACATGTCAAACTTTTATGTAATATGGTACTTACTTTTAATCCCTTTACTAGCTTTCTTTGTCGTGTGTGATGCTTGACTGAAGAGTAAGCTACTTAATGATTGTGCATCAGATGAGAATTGCCTAAAGGGGAAAAATAAAATAATTTTATGGGAAAAATTGTTTTTAAATTTGCCGTTTCAGAAATTCATTTTTAAGTTAAGTTAGTTCTAGCTAATTGCATACAAATTTAAGAAATTTGTATATCTTTATGGTTTCTAAAATTACTTACATATCCCCCATGACCGTAGAAGGTGTTTTTCCAAAGCCGGGCCAATATTCATCTGGTTCGCTACGACGCTCTTCTTTCAGCTCTTGTACTAAAACCTTCCCTTTTTCGATTTGTGACCATTCGATTTTCGATGTTTCTTCTGCAAAACGTCGAAATATTCATATTAAAACTTTAATGCATAATATGGATTACACTTCACATACGCCATACAAATGTAAAAATATTAATGCAGCTTTGACTTTGACTTTGGGTAGCAAACCTTTACTATCAGCATCACTGTCACTAGAGCTTTCACTAGTGCTATCTTCAGCCTCAGACCCCGATAGCATGTCTACTGCGACACCATCCTTGGTTTTCATTTCAATTACTTTTTCTTCCACTGTTGTCTTTTCGTCTGCTTCTTTTTCTTCATCCTGTAAAATGTATTTTTGTAAGGCTATGTGTTTCTATTAGTATTTAGTCAAATTTAGAGTTAGGTTACCTTTTTACATGATGATGCAAATTAAACTTTTTGGTGTTAAGTCAAAAGTAGACATTTTTAAAAGTACCTTTGGCGGAAGACCTTGTGTCTCCGTCGCTTCTCTCTCTCTCGCCTCTCTCTTAGCTCTATTCTCTTCTTTCATTTTCATGAGATATCTCACACTCTCCATTACTTTCTCTTGATCTCGGGCAATCCAGCTGCAATAAAGTATATTAATTTTTCTTTTTTTTAAATAAACTTTACAACGTTTATTTAGTCATTTTGTCGTCTACCTACTTAGTTTAACGTTCAATTAACCTACATCTACATTGCTTTATTCTGTTAGCATATCGAATAGTATTGAGAAGGGACAATTCCAATCTCTAAGATTCTCACCGCTGCCTCTCAGCAATTTCCTCTTGAACACCGCCGCGCTGCCACGCCTCAGCACAAGCACGGTCCCGCGGGAATACTGGACGGTTGTCTAAGTTAAGCAACTCTTTAAGTCGCAGTGTTAATGTCTTACGGTAGGCAGGGATATTACGGACCACTGGGTTACCCGTTAGTACCAGTACTAGAAAGAAAAGAAAATTATATATTATAAAATTATTTAATTAATTATTATAAAATTATTAATTATAAAATTATTAATTATAAAATATATTATAAAACCTTTTAATATGCTCATATCAGCCAAAACGTCGACTATAAGAGGATCTTCCAACCGGTTATATGATAAATCCACAACTGAGAGATTTTTACAAGTTCTCAGGTGTTCCAGATCATCTAAAAGAATTGTATTAATAAAGGAAAAGTATTCAAAATACATTAGTTTAAATACTATTACACTTTACATTAGGTACACATTTTAACACACACCATAGAAATATGATTTAAAGTGTTTGAAGATTTTGTTTGTAATCCGTTTTATCATATTTTACTTATAGCCACACCATCAGGCCACACATAAGATGAACAATGAAATACGTTAAACAAACTCGAATCTATGTGTGGTCTCAATATAATATTCAGATGAATTAAAATTTGTAATAATCCCAGCGAGCGCTCTATTTTTCTTCTATTCCCTATGTTCAATTATTATAAACTGCGTATATAATATATATATATAGTGCACTTTTCAAGTAACAAACAAGTTTTACTGAACAGACTTATAGACAGAATGAAAATGAAAGCGAAAGAAGTGAGTTTAGATAAAGGACTTCGATTTTGTCTACCATACTTACTCTTGGTACTTACCAACAGTAGTTAACATATTATGGCCTATACTCAAGGTATGAAGATCTGGGACTGCATCCAAATTCTCAATCTTTGTTACAAAATTGTGATCCAAATTCAATGTGTCCAGCTTTGGACAACCGTCCAGGTTTTCTATTTTACGTACAATATTATAATGCAAGTATAGACACTTTAACTCCGACAAAGTATCTAAACCTTCAATTCTTTGAATACCATTGTTTTCTAAGAATATACATTTAAGGCCTGTATACTCTTCAAGGTTTTCGATTCTTGAGAAACCCTACAAATAAAAGGTTTTATCGTAGAAGGCCTTCACAGAATCGTCTAAACAAACACTTACTAGAAGAATAAACCTGAGAGCGGTATTATAATAGTGGTTAACGTAACTAGATAATTATTTGAAAAAAACATCGCCTATATAAAGCTAAAATTATAGTAATAGATTATTTTTGAAATATCTTCAAGGCTTACCTTGAAATGCAAATACAATATGTCGTTAAGATATGGAGTGCAGTAAAGCTTATGCTGTCTGCACAGTTTGCGGATAAACTCCTTCGTCATTCGTGGACCTCTATTTTCTTCTTCTTTTTCTTTTTCTATTTTCATTTTGAACTCCGTTTGTTTTTGCTTTTCTTTGTCTTCTTTTTTTGCGCTTTCGAGATCTTTTTTATCTAATATACCAAATAATATATTATATACAGGAACTATTTTAAAATATAAAAAAAACAAGTAGCTTCTGCTTTCAACTTAATTTACGCAGAATTAAATAAAGCACGAACTAGAAACAACAATGTAATAATAACTTTAAAGATGTAGTATAGAGGATACTGAAACCTATATCATTTATTTTTTATTAGTTATACCAGCTTGGGGATAAACAATAAGCATAGAGCCATAAACGTGGCAAAAATTCATATAAGGATTTTCAGACGGAAATACCCTTTTGTTGTCCTAACAATCGAAATCAGAATTTCGGGTAACGAATTCAAGTACTTGGACAAACCAGTTACAAAATCATTTATATCGACTGCGAAAATGGTGAAAAGTTTTCTGAATTGGTCAGAATGACCTAGTTTGTGTCTAATAAATATATTATTAGATCCATTAGATAAATTCCTTTAAAAAAAGGGTGCGTGTATTTATGTACGCGCGTAAGAAGTTATACTTCTTTGGCATTATTAAAAATAGTTTTTGATTGAATGTAATTAATTAATTACAATTAAATAATCAAAGACTGGAAAAGGAGTCATTATAGTCAATAAAGTTCAGTTTACATTTAAGAAATTAAATAAATAAATATTTATTATTATTCTCTTACATTAAGTGTAAGAAAATTTAGTGTAAGTGTAAATGAAGTTGGAATTGCAGAACCAAACAACCCAACTAACGAACACAATACTTGATAAAATGGAGGAAAAACTAAGACCTGTCCTCGAAGAAAACCAAATATTGAAAAGTAAAGTAGAAAAGCTGGAAAAGAAAATAGAGTATCTAGAAAGAGAAAAGAAAAGCAATAATATAATAATCCACGGTTTGGCGGAAAGAGAGCAATCAACGTTGGATTTAATCGAGTGCATTAAAAAATGTCTTTTGGATGAACTAGGTATAACCTTAGAAAATTATGAAATAAATAAAATCTACCGTATTGGCATAAAAAATAATAATGGAAAACCTAGGCCTACCCTCCTTTCTTTAGTTAGTGGATTGAAAAGAGCAGAAATTATCAGGAACGAAAAGAAATTAAAAGAGTTATATATAACAGAAGACTACTCAAAAGAAACCTTGGAAATACGGAAGTCCTTGCAACCCAAACTAATGGAAGAAAGGCAGAAAGGAAACTTAGCGTTCATAAAGTATGATAAACTTATTGTCAAAGAGAATTCAAGGGCCATAGACAAGCGGAAGAGAGATAAATCAAACTCTCCGCAAGTAGAATTACAACCAATAAAACAGCAAACACTAAGCTCGTCTAGAAATAACAGAATAAATGCATTCGACGTGATGAGAGGCCGATTTCACGAGCATTCAACACTCCCAACAAAAACTCAGCAATAGCAATTATATACCGGCGATCGGAAACAAAAGTATAATAAACACACTCCCCCAACTAATCTTCCAACCCGGCTGGTCACCGTGGAAGATTATGACCTAAACCCTCCAAGGACATCATCATCATACCACACAAAACAAGCAATGAAAAAGTTAACGAAGGAAAATCACCATCTTTATATAATAACTTACAACGTCGGAACGCTTTCGTAATACGAAAATATATTAGAAATAGAGAAAGCGCTAGAAGGTATAAAATACGATATAATTGGTATTTCGGAAGTCCGACGCCTCGGAAATATAATAGATGAATATGAAAAATTCATTCTCTGCTTTACTGGACAAACGCCGGGCCTATATGGAGTGGGCTTCATAATAAACAAACGTTTAAAAGAATATATAGAAAGCTATATTGGAATTTCGGAACGTGTTGCTCTACTGAACTTGAAGCTACCAGGTAAAAATTTGACTATAATACATGTCTACGCCCCAACAACAAAAGCTAATGAAGAGGAAATAAACAGTTTTTTTAAAACTATATATACTGCCATGGAAATGGCACACGAAGAATTTATTCTAATGGGAGATTTTAACGCCAAAATAGGACAGCCACAAATGGACGAACACACAATAATGAGGAACTACGGATACGGAGTAAGAAACAATAGAGGGCAAAAACTTATAGACTTTGCGATGGAAAATAAACTAGCAATTATAAACACCTTCTACAAGAAAAAAGCCAAAAGAAGATGGACATGGCGCTCTCCGGCCGGTCAATATAAAAACGAAATTGACTATATACTGTCAAATCACCCAAAATGGTTTCAAAATATAGAAGTTCTGAACCTAAACTACGCATCAGACCACCGTCCTCTAAGGTGTAAAATTAGGCTAACAACGCCGAAGAAAAATAGGACCAACTTTACAAATAATAAAACAAGTCAACTTAGAAACAAGGATGAAATAACAAAGTACAAAGAAAACTTATTAAGCTTCCTCTTGGAGCCATCAGGTCAACCCATCAGCTTTGAGAACAAAACGGTACAGACCTCCTACGTAAAAATAAAGACGGCCATCCAACAAAGTTTGATCCTTGCGAAACATAATACAGAAGATAATAAAAAACATAAATTTTACAAGACCGTACTCTAAAATTATTAAAAAGAAGACAAGAACTACAACAAACAAAAAATAAAACACGCTCATTGAAAAATGAACTCTCCGCACTGTACAAACTGGTTAATAGATATATCAAGAGAGACTATGCAAAATATAGGCAAGAAATAATAGAGAAACACCTTGAGCTTCACGGCAGCTCAAAGAGAGCGTACAAAGAACTCAGAACAAACCAATCCTGGATAGAAGGACTGAAAACCCTTAATAAAGACCTATACAATCGAACGGATATTGTGAATACAGCAACTGATTTCTACAAGAAACTTTACAGAGACAAAACACGGACAACTTACAAAATCGTAACAGAAACTGTAGACTGCCACTCTATAAAACTAATTCACAAAACCGAAGTAATAAACTCAATAAAAAAGCTGAAATTCGAAAAAAGTCCCGGATCTGACAATATCACAAATGAATCGCTAAAATATGGTCACCAAATTTTGGCAGAACCATTAACTGAACTGTTTAATTCTATACTTCTAAGTTCTGAAACGCCCATAGAATGGTCTGAAGCAGATATCGTTCTTATATATAAAAAAGGCGATCCAAAAAATATCAGCAACTACAGACCAATCAGTTTGTTACCAAATATATACAAACTTTTCGCATCCATTATAAATAATAGACTAAGCCCGATAATAGAGGCAAAACAACCTGTAGAACAGGCAGGTTTCAGAAAAGGGTACTCTACTATCGACCACATACACACCATAGAGTTAGTTATGGAGAAATATCAAGAATTTCAGAGACCTCTTTACATAACTTTTGTTGATTATCAAAAAGCTTTCGATTCAGTCACACACAAAAGTATATGGGAAAGCTTAAAAGAACAAGAGGTGCCAGATAAATACATAAAGGTGATTAAAAGCATATACAATAACAACAAAGGAAGAATAAAGCTAGAAACTTTAGGCCCCGCACTCCATATAGAAAGAGGGGTAAGACAAGGGGACCCGCTCTCACCCACTATTTTCATAGCAATACTCGAAAACATCATGAACAAATTAGATTGGAGTAAAACAGGACTCTATATAAAAGGCACCTACCTAAGTCACCTGAGCTTCGCTGACGACCTGATCCTTCTGTCAGAGACAGTCAACGAGATGCAATTCATGATAGAATCTCTACAACAGGTGAGTGCGGAAGTTGGATTGGAGATGAATGTAACGAAGACAAAGATAATGAGTAATACACGAAAAAGACCTATAACTATCAATGGTAACCCTTTAGAATATGTAGAAAATTATACCTACCTGGGAAAAAGAATAAGTTTCGAGGAAAACAGTAACATTATAGAAATAGAGAGAAGGGTCCAACAAACCTGGAATAAATATTGGAGCCTAAAAGAAATATTTAAGAGTAACTTACCAATAACTCTCAAAGCTAAAGTTATGAACTGATGTCTACTACCCAGCTTAACTTATGGAAGCCAGACCTGGAAATTCTCTACACAAGCTGTGAATAAAATCAATGTATGTCAAAGAGGTTTAGAGCGAAGCATGTTGAACCTAAGGAGAATGGACAAAATAAGACACACAAAGATAAGAGCCGTCACTAAAGTTACAAACGCTTTAACTTTTGCCCGAAAACTGAAATGGCATTGGGCTGGCCATGTGGCAAGAATGTCTAACAGAAAGTGGACCAAACGAGTCACCGAATGGAAAGGACCACCAGGCAAGAGGCGGAAGGGGAGACCCTTAGACCGCTGGGAAGATGATCTGAAAAGATCAGCTGGCAAAAACTGGCACTCCATAGCAAAGGACCGACAACAATGGGCATCTTTGGAGGAGGCCTTTACCCAAACCGGGGTTCCTGTTAAATAAATAATATAAATATATATTACTAACATAATTTAAGCTAACCTACTAACAAAATCAATATTTTTGGTTACTTTAATATAACAACTACCAACTATTGTAAAACAGGAAATAAAAGGCTTATTATTATTACATTAAGTGTAACATAAATTCTAATATTATTCGAATGTTGTTTTTAAATTATGCCCAATGCTGTAGCATCTTCCGTGGGCAACTTCATTCTATTAATTTTGTGTCACGGTATGCGCGCAGCGTAAATTTTTTTCATAACGCGCCTAAAAAGTATAACTTAAAAAAAAACTATAACCGCCTTTGCACTAAAAAGCTGTTTCACGTACGTAGATGGCATATTATGTCATCTATGGTCATTGTCATCAGTGCGTTATTCAACTTATGCTATTAATTGAAAGCAAATACAGAAGTAGCTAATAAGAAATGCTCAATTTATTCTAAGGGTACCTATAACATTTATTTATTTACTAACATATTAACACTTAACGTAACGTAACGTAAGTAACGCTTACTATAGTCTGTGTAGTTTTTTTTTTGACATTATGGCAATAGTTTTGACTTTATGCCAGTTTCAAGTAAAAGGTTGGGAAACTACACGCGAGAAAAAATAAACAAAGACATCAAAAAGAGTCTGTGTAGTTTCCGCAATTTAAAAATAATATTTCAGATTGGTCGTAAGTATATGTCAATTGTCATATACTCGACGCTTCTTGACTTATACGCCATCTAGTGGCAAATATCACAATCAATAAGGATTATTTTTTTGACGGAAGTAACGCTTACTATAGTTTGTGTAGTTTCCGCTATTTAAAAATAATAATTCGGATTGATCGTAAATATAATATGTCAATTGTCATATACTCCACGGTTCTTGACTTATACGCCAGCTATTGACATTTGGTAAATATCATAATCAATTATTAGGATTACTTATTTCCAAATTTTTCGTAAATATTTTAAATTGCGAAGTTTTTTGAAAATCTCTAAATATACTTATTGATTTATTACTTTTAAAATAAGTAAATTAATAATAAATTTTCTGACGATTGCGACATTCTATAATATTCAATAATATTTGAATAATCTTTGTAACGCACATTGTAATCATTTCAGGGAGATATGCCGTCAACGCCAAAGAAGTTTTACTTCAATCGCGCGTAAAGGTTACACGCACACACTTTTTTTAAAGGAATTTATCTAATGGATCTAATAATATATACAATATTATAGTTACCTTCTTGAAGTAACGGGTCCTCGGAAACTTTTGAAGTGGCATTATTTTTTTCCTCTTTGCGGACATGGTCCCCTTGTGCCTTTATATCATTATCAGCTGGAAGTTCTATAATTTTACATGAATTTTCAGTAACTTTTTCACTTTTCCCACTTCGTAATAAATTGTTTGCTATTTTCAAGACTTCCTTATTATCTTTCATTTTATCTTTAATATTTAACAAAAGATCATTAATCCGCTCTGTACGTTTTAATTCTTGTTGTTTTTGATCAGCCATATTTTTATTTTTTTCATCTTTGTAAACAAATTCTACATCCCATAACTCTTTGCGTGTTTTGATTGTACTATCATCAGGTATCCTAGATTTTTTTGTGGTATCTTCTTGAGATGTTAGATCCTGTTTAGAAGCGAAAGAGATAGGCTTAGGGTGTAATACTTCATGTGATACTTGTAATACATTATTTATTTCTTTGACAAATTCCTGGCACTCTTTCGTTCTCATTTCACAGCTTGCTTTGCTCTTTTTTATTCGGTCCTCGTGACAGTGTATTTCCGTATTAAGACTGCTTATAGCAGAATGAATATCGTTCAAGTCTAACTGTGTCACAGAACATTTGGTACTGCTCTCACCAAGCTCCGTGTATTCAGTTTTGACTGCATAGTCTTCTTTACTCTTTATCCTCTGTTCGCTTTCTTCTCTCAGTTTTTGATAAGCCAAATTAGATTTCCTAGAGTTTTCTAGAGCAACATTCACATCATTCAACAGTTCATTCATACTGTTTAGTTTGTTTGTTATGTCTTCTCGTATCAATAAGCTGAGGTTCTCGGCTCCGTCGACGATATTGCGAGCTAGGTTTTTCATTTCTTTAAATTCTAATTGTTTATTTTCTACGTTATCATTGGTTCCTGATTCATACAAATTTTCCAGTCCATTGTGAAGTATCTCTTCCTTTTTCACTTCAAATTTAACTTCACTTTGCTCTTTATTATCAATTTTTTTAGTTAATGATTCGATGCAATTATCATTTGATATCCTTATAAGGTCTTGATCTGTTGCATCAACACATGTATTTTTTTTATCTTCACTAACTTCAATAGTGCTTAAAATAGAGTTAATGTTTCTGAGTGCCTTTTCGGTATGTTTTATTTTTGCTTCAAAAGTCTTAGGAAAAACCTCTTCCACGTTTATTACCTCGTCTTCGGGTAAAGTTTTTGCATTTGGTTCTTGCTTTAATTCTATTGATCTAAGGTCCAGTTTTACTGGATTACCAAGCAGAGAAATATTCATTGTTTCATTGATTTTGTAATTCTCTTTGATTTCATCAATTGCTGAACGTCTTATTACACCTTTGATAACTTGAGATGAAGATGCTTTTAATATTGGATCCTCTGTAATGATCAGTTTCCTAGACCGATCTTGACTTTCTGTTTGATTCGGATCATCATATTTATCCGCCAATTTTTTTAGCATATCTTTTGTTTCATTAAAGCGAGTCTCATGTGATTTATTTGTTAATTCCGATACGACTTTATCTATTGATTGGAATTCTCTCTCATCACTACTGGATTCTTGACTTTCAGTTCCACTTTCTTCGTCAACAGAATCTTTAATAATTTCTCTTGCTGCAAATTTGTCAACAGAGTTGACCAATGCCTGCATATTCTTATATTTTATTTTTTTTACTTTGTCTGTATCACCATCGGCTTCATGGAGCTCTTGAGTCATTTCGTCAAACGTATCCATGTTTATTTGATCATACGGAATTATATTACTTTTTGCTCGTCCTTCACGGTTAGTTGTTATTTGTATTTGACGTGCTTTTTCTGCTATTATTGGATTGTCTTTTATCATTTCCTTTACTTCTGCGGAATTTAAAGGTTTGTTATAATCAGCGATTTCCGTAAAAGGTTGACCTGACATCACCTCATATTCGGATTTTACATCTCCAGAACCCGATGCAGCAATATAAGGGACAACCTCGTATTTATCTTCAATAAGGGGTTTTAACTCATTTTCTATAACATTATTAATAACGTTCTGCGGAAATTTGCCATCTTTGAAAAATTCTTTTAACTCGCGACGTTTAGCCTCTATAAAACTTGAATCTGTTTTTGAAAGTTGGGAATTCATTTGGCACTTTATAAAGATATTATATTATCTTAATACCGATTCGCAGCAAAAACTGATTAACAATTCTCAAACCAATGCTAGTTGCTACGATACAGTCTTTCTTGTTTTGTCGATGACATAAAAGATACATTTTTGAATTAGGAACAACTAATAAGACATAGATCTTCATAGTTTTGCTTTCGACGAATTATCATTCTAAGTTAATTATCATAAAAAATAGAAATATACATCGGTAGAATTAAATACTATTCAGCTGCATGAATTAAATCTACTCTATGAAAACAAGGATGGAAGAACTGTATAAGTTTTGTATTGTTCTGTCACTGTTACTGTCATCAAAAGTTGTTAATCTAAATTTAATAAAAAAAACAATTTGTTTTCGTTTCAACAAACAAAAGGCATTTCATGATTCATTGTTATTATTTGATATTACATATTTGTCACATGGTAATAATCTAAGGAAAATAAACTATTATGCAGCTTAGGTAAATATATGTAAGGAAACTTAAAAACTACGAGTTTCATCCCAAAATGCCGACTATGACGGACGAGCGTAATTTTCGTTCATCGTATTACGAAAAAGTCGGATGCCGCGGGGTGGAAGAGAAGAAATCGCTGGAAATACTAATGAAAGAGAAACCGTGGGATAGAGTAAAGCTGAAACAGTTCTGTCTGAGGTTTACGGTGCCAGCTGCATATAGAAATTTAGTTTGGAAGGTGTTATTAGGTAAGACCTACATTTAATCGCAGCAATTTCCTTCTTTAAGCTGAGAGACATAGAAATAGAATATCAGTCATTTAAGTGCTTATCATTACATCAAAGTACAAAGTTCATTGCAATTAACGTAATTTAATATCTATATTATCATTATTTAATAAAAATAATTATACACTTTTTATATACACATATATTGCTATTTCACAGATATCCTCCCAGTATATGCTGACTCGCATCAATTTGTGATGGAACAACGGACAGAACAATATAATGATCTCTTGTATGCAGCTGAAATGTTGGAGAGAGTAGAGATGACAGCCCCTCGAAGTGAAGTGCTATTAGCAATGTGGTTGCTTGAGTTAGAAGAACGTGAACCACCCGTATTTCCAGAGACCAACTATTCTGTATGTTTTTTAATTTGAAGGTTTAAATATTTTCACATAATTATTGTTATAGATTTTTGTTGGGCATTAAATGCCAGTTAGCTAAAATGAATTATTGCAAATTACAAATTTATAATTATATGAATATTAACAAAATATATCCATCTATTTATAACAATTCTTACCACTTTCTTTTTTTATTTGACATACCCATTACCCACCCTCTTTATTATTTTTTTATTTAACTATATATTGAATTATCAGGTTCAAGAATTTAATAATGTTGTTGGGCACTATTTTTAATTTTATGTAATTAATACAATATTAAAAATAAATACAATTACATTAATAATGTATTTTATCATATTTTTAGTCTGCGGACACGTTTATTCCCATTGCTAAATCATTGCTAGAATTATATGACCATGAAGTAGATGTTTATTGGATCAGCAAGGGATTAACAGATATTGTGCGAAATATGCAAAAGGATTTAGTAAAGCTAAAGGAAGCCTTTCAGAACATGCTGGAAAAGGAGGATGGAGAGTTGTACAAGTAATTATATTGTGAGATGTAACTTTTAAATCTTGTTTAAAAAAAAATTTGGAATAAATGGAAATACTACACATTCTTAAATATAAAATCACATAACATTTATTACATTGATAAAAAAATATTATAAAATTTGATTATAAGGTCTTCTAAACCTGGTATATAAAGGTTTGATTCCTTACACAACTTTTCAATTTGATGGTAACAGAAATGTTTTCTCGTACTCATCGAAAACTCCTCTACAGGATGTTAAACATGTCTTTCATGCATCTCATATAATTTTGTTTGTATATAACTAAAGAAATTGTATGTACAATATGAATTTGATAATTTCAGCCACCTAATAGAAATCAAGGCATTGGAGAAGTTGCCGTTAACTAAATGGTTCAATTGTGGCTTTGCTGGAGTTTTAGATGATAGTTCATTAACAAAGTAAGCTATAAATCCAGTATTTATATAACTATTGAATTGTAGGAAGTTAGGTTCTATTAAATTTTTAATAAATAATGTGGTCATAGATCAGACAATGATAAGTACATTCATTCATATATCAATTTTAATAGTGCCTTCAAGATTACTTAATAATATTTAATTGCTTGTCCTGTAAAGTAATGAAATGGCATTTATCATATTCTGACCTATGTCCACAGGACTATATAATATGTTGTTCACTATAATTTAAAAGTTTTGTTTTAATATTTAAGTAATCATTGATCATTGTCATTCACTGATAATTTTAATAGCCTTTGTTTAATGTATTATTTTGAATTTCAGAATTTGGGATAAAGTATGTAGTGGGGCACCAAAAATTTTATCTTTTGTGGCAGTGATGTTGATTATGACCCTACGTAGGAATATTCTTAGAGCCACATCAGCAGATCAAGTGCTAAAATGTGTGTCTGAGGTAAGTTCACATACATGCAATTAAAGGTGCTAGTTTCAGAATAAATATATTTTCTTTTCTATTAGCCTTTCCACAAATGTTTGGATAGGCCAATGTCATTTCAAATGAATGTTGTGCAGAACTTGACTATCTATTTTACTACCTTTAAAATTAAATACTATTATTGTTACAGATACCAGAGCAATGTGAAGAAGTAGTAGCAAACAAAGCAATTGAACTATGGCAGTACTATGCGCAACCACAAAATGATCAGCTCAAAAAATGATGTATGACCTTCTAATGAGTTATTCTCATTAGAAGAAAATTGTGTTTAAAGGTTTCAATGGATGAACATGGGTGCTTTTATATTGCTAGCCCAAATATTAAATGGTTAAACAAAGTATTCATGGAGCCTTTTCGACTTATGAATGAGGCGACATTTAAGATGTTCACTGACTGTGACTATGTGTAAAGGTTGTAGTTAATATATTGCATAACTTTAAAATTAAGAAAAACAATAATACATGTTAATGCGAACTGTAAAATTGTAATTGTTTTTCTTTTAGTAAATGTTTAAACATTTACTAAACAATGTATGTACTAGTGCTTGCAAATAAAAGCTTTCTGTATACATTATACACAAGGAGTTTATTTCTTAATTATTATTTTTATTTGTAAAATTTCAAAATAAGTGATGGTTGGAAATAAATATAATGAGAAAATTTTCACCATATTGACCTAAGTTGCCTAAAGCATTATTTTCCTATAACTTATTTTTTTATCAAGTAATTTTCTGTATTATCTGCATCATCTTGTATTCTTATGTCGTGTCTTGGCCTAAAGGTCTAGATACCAGGCCATAAACTCCAAAAAAAAAAAAAAAAATTATGTCGTGTCAGTCTGACAGATGACTAGAACAGGAATGACAATAATTGCATGATCGGTGTGCGATGGGCGACCATCATCGTCGCCATTTTACATTTTTCAATAATGTCAGCCAAATCATCAGATTGCGTTTATAGTTAAAAATTCGTGATATTAACGGAAATTTATTCAAGTTTTTCACGCTAAGTCTACAAATAACTAAAGTGCAGTGAAATGGATCGTTTTATCAGCATGTGGAAGGTTCGTGAGCTGGCGGATAAAGTGTAAGTTCCAACAATATTTCAACTCATTTGTGGGTAAATTGCATCTCAGAATATTGTAAGTTTAATTAATGTTTTTATTTGTATTACCTAAACGATTATCTACAATTTTCAGTCATTAAAGGGAACTGCCTAACCCGAATATAACTTTTTCTTCGAAGTCAGTTACATTCAAATTCCAACTTTTAAATGAATCTAATGTGATTAGAATTACGGCTCCTGTATTCTGCTTATGGTATTTACATAGTGTAATTATTGTACATTGCTATGTTATAAAACTGTAAAATTTTACTACATTTATCAATCCTATTAGACCATTATATAAAAAAGATCAGATAAAATACCTCTAAACATAAAGCAAGCTACAAACCACTATGTTTTGTGTTCCTACCCATATGGTTGCAAATATGTCCCTTGTAAAGAAACTGATAATAGTAATCTTATCAATTTGTGACATTACATTTTGTTTTGAAGCTTATATCTAGGCTTACAACTGATTTGTTATATGTCCCTATAATTATATAAATATTAAAGAGAGTAGTGTCCTCTTTCTTTATCATATATTATATGATATATATTTACCTGAAATAAAAATCTGTTTGTGTGTCTATAAAGAATGTATTATTGTATTTTAAACCAACCTTGACCTCACCTTTTGCTTATATGATAAATGATAGTTTCATATTTTGAAATATTTACAAGTAAACTAATTTGAAAGTTATCCTTGAAAGTAAAATAACTATTAGTAACCTCCCTTTTATTTCTATTTATTACTACATCTACTCTATTAATAATACATACATATACTATTAATACATGTTTATTAATACATACATATACTATTTTGCCATTTACAGTAACATCTTAGTATACTTAATTCAAATTGTTGGCACAATAATTAATATTAATTAATACATATTTTGTTACTGGACATCTTCTGTATGTGAGGATGCATCTGTGATTTGTTTTTTATAATAGAGTCACTTGGTTTTGATCGAGACCAATAAGCTGTGTAAAGTTATATTGAATAAACATTTAAATAACTCAATATTTTAGAACCAATGTGGTAATGAACTACACAGAAGTTGAGGGCAAAGTACGAGAAGCAACATCAGATGAGGCATGGGGCCCGACTGGACAGCAGATGCAGGAATTGGCATTAGCCACCTTCACATATGAGCATTTTCCTGAAGTCATGTCTATGCTCTGGAGGAGAATGTTGCATGATAATAGATCACACTGGAGAAGAACTTACAAGGTATACTATACGTCTTAATGCATTACTGTTTTTATCAGTTCATTTCTGTTCTTCAACTGTCCTAAAAAATATTAAGGTTTCATATGTACTTTACTTTTATATTGTACAAATATTAAGATTTTTGAGTTGAGGAGAACTGATAATTTAATATTCATGTATAATGTAAAATTATATTTTAATGTGTGTATTCAGAGGCACTTACATACAATATATTAATTTTCAATGTAACTTTAAAAGCAAATTCTCTATTCTCATCTTTGCCTAAAAATTCATCAATTGACTTTACAAATGTCAAATAGATATTTATAAAACTATTATACAATATCATAACACAAATTTTGTTTCTTCATTTTTCCACAGTGTCTTCTTCTCCTGAGCTATCTGGTCCGCAATGGGTCAGAACGTGTAGTCACCTCAGCTCGGGAACATATCTATGACTTGAGGTCACTGGAAAACTACACTTATGTTGATGATCTGGGAAAAGATCAGGTAAAAAGGAGTATTATTATACTAGTACTTTTTTAATTTCAAAATTATAAATAATATATGTCTTTATTATAAATATAATCTAACGAATGAAACTATCCATCTCTTGAATTGAATTTTTTAGATAATAACAAAACAACAAATTTATGACAAAATTCAATATAATTCTGATTGATCATGAGAATCAAAAATCAACTGATTAAATTATGAGAGCAATACAACACTACCTTACCTAAAATATTTGCCTGACAGGCATAAAATATTTAATTGAACAAAAGATCAGGTATGCGTTGGTAAACTATGTTGATAAACATCCTCATTGCTTGGTATAAGTACGTTACCATTAAAGCCACTGAGATTGTATTGAAATAAGGTTACAATTCAATTTGAAACACTTATCAAAAATGTATAGGCATACATTTTTTATCTAATGTCAATTCCATTATTTTTATATTATTTATTATGAATATTTTATTTATGTTATTAAGATATATATGTATGTTGACATTTTTTAGGGCATTAATGTGCGGCACAAAGTCCGTGAACTGATAGACTTTATTCAAGATGATGAGAAGTTGAGAGAAGAAAGGAAGAAAGCCAAGAAGAATAAGGACAAATATATTGGTAAGTTCCAAGATTGATACTACATAATATATACATCACTTTTGTTCTTAAACATTTAATATATATAATATGACGGCAAGTTATGTATTTAACTAGAACATTGTATTATACTACTAACTATTAATGACACAATATTCTTATATTTATATGAATTATAGATTTACTTTAATTATTTGTCTTGCAAGGCCTGTTGAATAGATGAATTTTTTTTTTAAATTGTGTCAAACAAACATTGTTTTTATATTATAAAATGTCACAGAGAACTCCAAGTTTTTTTATATCATGTATTCTTACCTTATGTTATAGTTTCATTACAATAGGTGTCTCACTGATGGATTTATTAAATCAAAAAAATTATTACCTTCAAATATAAACATATTAATCCATATTAACTGCGATATTAGCACCAAGTTGTAGGGCTTTCGATAAAAACAGACATGGTTTGTGCTATTTACTAAGTACATTTGCAGTTCATATTATTTGAATAAAAAGTTATTAATTGCAGATACAGGCATAATCGAAAACCAATTTAATTGTGGTGTTGAAGTTTGTTTTAAGTGAATAATAATTAATTACAGGCATGTCCTCTGAGGCAACTGGAGGTATGAGCAGTATAGGAATGGGCAGAATGGAGGGCATGGGGGGTATGGGCAGAAGTTCAGGAGGCTGGGGAGAGTACAGTGATAGGAACACTTCATGGGGTAAATACATTATTTTCAAATCTATCTGATTAATGCTCTATCATAATATTCATGTTTTTAATTCATCCTTTCCTTTAAAATACTATTTTAATAACTTCAATTTGTTTTATAAAATATTTCGCTAACTATTCCAGATGAGCCAAAGGAAAGAAATGATGAAGATGATTATGAAAGAGAGGATTCTGATGGAGAGGGTGGAGGGAAGAAACCGCAGAAGTAAATAAACATACTACCATATATAATATTATACATTGCATTAGCTTCACAATTATGTTGAACTTATTACAAACAACCTGTTTGTGTTGAAGATTCTGGTATTTTCTAAGGTTGTTGCCTTGTTCTATTGTACTGGGATTTGAAATTAATTTGAACAATATGCTCTATTCAAAACCGGAAAATGACTGATGTCCTTAGATTATCCTTTTAAGTATTTTTTGATTGTAATTCTGTATAATTTTAAATGTTTTCTTATTTTTATTTTGTATAGTTCATGATGTAAATTCATGCAGAGTAGTTTATAGTAAATAACTGCTTTTGTCATTAGACTTTGAGTAATGTAGTGGTATGAAATTGTTTTTTTTTTTTTTTAGAGAAAATGTGTACCGTGATTCAGAGGTGATAGACGAAAGTCCTCCGCCCTCAGACCGAGTAAGAGACCGCCACAAGCCGCTTAACATCAGCCTACGTAGTCCTGCTCGTACTAAACCCGCTACACCTGCTAAGAAGATTGACCTAGGTAAACCCACTAATTCTACCATTCTTGTAGAAAATCCACCGAGGTAACCCTACACGTACAGTCGGCCTTGTGGTTTAAGCGTGCGTCCTTTTCGAATCCATGCTGTGCACTGAAAACTGTCTATAAAATAAAAATGATCACAGAAGTGGATGTGGCCAAGGGTGCGTTAAAGTATTACGTCACGAAATTTTTGGAGATTATTAGACTCCACGATATATTGAATATACCTATCTAGGTAACTAATGTTGACAGTTATTCAAAGTTGGTCTCAAAGTTTCATTTGTTAACTTTTAATATTTATTTAATTCAATTCTAAACATTTTTTATGAAACATATTCTTAAGAATCTTGCAAGTGCGCATGTGCAATAGTTACTCATTTGACTCGTTCGGTTGTTTACGAATTGACTCGAATATCTGCCCGAAGTGGATGGTCGAGTCGGAGTAGGAAATACATCATAAAAGAGGTTCTAACACGTGCGCACGGGCAATTCCTTTGTTCCAGTTTACGTAAAATCAGTGAAGTGAATGATAGTGAAGCAAGTCATCATTTTAGTGTTTAATTTCCTACCCTAAGGACTAGATCAACTACCCCTTACGCATTATTGTAAAATACAAAAGTCTTTATTGTTGATAACTATAACACATCAGTAACATCTATGTCGGTGCTACGTTAACGTGTTCTGCAGACACACTTCTTCTGGCTTCTCCAACCTAATCTATCCCTGGCCTATCTCGGCCAAAGTGGACCTGCTACCCTTCTTATGTCATCGGACCATCTTTTGAGCTGTCGTTCACGTTTACTATAAGGCCACGTTCACACGGCGATTATTTAGATTTTATCGAATAGAGTAGTGACAACAGAATATATATGAAAACTTAAAAATTGTTTACACGGCGTTCATACGGGAAAATCCCGTGTTCGAGAAATATATTTGACCGTATACCGTGCGAAGTTGTCACCGGAAACGCCGCGTCTCAAAAGGATTTTATCGAATACGACACGCAGTGTTCATGTTGTCTCGTTCACACGACTCGCCCATTCGAGAAACGTACGCACTCGCACGCGTGGCCCGCAGTTGCCCTTGTGCGTTGCATCAGTCGATTGTCAATATGGGGGACAGAATTCCAATATTGATCGAGGATTTTATTTCCTTGATCAAAAAAAAAATCGATTCGATTCGATCGGTTGCCGTGTGAACGATTGCATTGTATACGGTAAAACCGTATACGTGAAAAAATCGAATCGAATGGTCGCCGTGTGAACGTGGCCTTAGTGTTCGGCCTAAGAATCCCCTATTGTGTCTCTTGTGACGTACCCTGCCCACTTCCGCTTTTAATCTAAATTACTCTTTATAAATCTTACTAAGAAGATTAATCTAGGTAAGGTTTGTTAGGCTTATACTACTTTACATTTTTTTTTATTTTCCATTATAAAACGTTCCCTACATTTCGTGTACTTTTCTATATAAACGTTAAACCCTTTTCAGGTGCAGCAGCAACATACGCTAAAGCGGCAACTGCCCCATCACCAGTAAATAAGCAACCGGCAACAAACAAGTCTCAGGAGTTGTTGGATGACTTATTTAAGACCTGTCCAGCCGCTGAAACTACAAGTGCTGATGTTGCCAATCTAGTTGAAGACGACTTTGATCCAAGGTATTTTATAAACATTTAATAACCAGTCCAATACTGTTTTTATTGAAGCACTCGTACGAGTGCTTTAAAGCGCAAACACAATTTGAGAGAAAGTAACGAAATAGTACTTTAGTTAAATGAAATTATATATAGCTTTTTTTAAGGGGTTTGCTTATAAAACTAGGAAAACCTAAGCGATGAGAATTGGCATGTACCAAGTAGGTGATCAGTTTTCTGTCTACACACCCGAAAGATTTTTTTGTCGGGTTTCCTCGTGTTTTCCTGCACAACACTAGGCTAACATTATTTTTAAAAAATAAATAATAGTTTAAAAAAACTAGAACACACGCTTTTAAAGCACATCAAACTAAAAAGTGAAAAATAATTCCTAATTTAGGCTGAAAATGGTAATGAACAAAAAATACTGGTATTATTGTGAAAAAGCGTGGGGCGCTCTGTGCCATATTTTTCGTCTATCGTCTTTTTCATTATTTTTTTTCGGATTATTGCATTGTCATCGATCTTTGACAGGTGCGCAAAGTTTGAATTAAATCTGTCCGTTAAAAATGGGTCAAAATCGAGTCCGAAGGAGTCGGTTACATACATACATACATACAGGTGAAGCTAATATAAAGCGTGTAAAAAATTTGTTTATATTCGTGTTATTTATATTATAACTTACTAAATTACAGAGCGGAAGAGCCGAAGCCCACACAAAAAGATGAATTTGGTGATTTTACGAACGCGTTCGCTCCTCCCGCTGTATCCAGCGATTCATTTGCTGATTTCACTAGCGCCTTCACAGATAGCAACACTACTAACAATGGTTTGTATTTAACTTAAATTATTTATTCTTATTAGCTTATGCCAAAAATAAATGCTAAACAAAAAACTAAAACCTTATATATCAACACATATTTATGAATTATATCTTAAATTATTTTCATAGATCGATTAGTTTTATGTAAGTAATCCTAAATCTTTTAGTGAAGACTTAAAAAAAAACATTTCTATTAGTTTCAGCCCCAGCATCGAACCTAGACCTCCTAAGTGATCTAGCACCTCCGGACAATGGGTTTGATTTAGACTCACTCACCGGGCAACTCGCAAGCACAAACATCACGCACACACAATTACAGCCCATGCAAGGTAAGCTTGTATATTACCTACGGATATAAATCCGTTCATTTTTAAAATAAGCTTTAAAATAACTACATTTCAAGATTTAAGACTTAAGAAATTATTTAATAAGTAATAATAATCACAATAAAAACTATTAACGAAGTACTTTACTATTGCAAGAAAAAAATAATAACCCATTTATTAAATATCTTTGCAGTTTTTCTTTATTTTATTCTTGATCTGTGTTTATTTTACTATTCAACTCTACTCTTGGATAATTTTAGTTGTATCGTTAATTGATTTACTCGGGTTTTATCAAAATCGTAGTCGTAATTGCTTATGCGTTGTAAATTTTTCAAAAATACATGGCTGTCAAATTTTGTTCCAAAGATGTACGATTTACTACAATTTTTCTTGTCAAAAAATAGACGATTGCAATTACGACCGTATGTAAAACCTACATATTATTGTCTGATTTTTAATTCCGTAGAATTCTGACATTTCATAAATGTTGCTACTAAAAAAGTTCACCGAAAAGGGACAAATTTGACCCATTTTAGGGCAATATAAAAAAGCTTCGTATTGTTTATGTTTTACCTACAAAAAGGTAAATCTTAATATTTACTCAAGTTACTTAATACAAAAATAACAAATATTTCAATATATCGAATTAACTTTAATTACTTTATTTTATTCTTTAGCTGGCATCACTGCCTACCAATTCCAGGTTTAGTAAACCTTTTAAAAAAATAAAATGTTTTGTTAATTGTGCGTTTTTTACTGTTTGTGATAAAAAGGGAATTATCAGTCTCCATGAAACCACTTTTAATGTTGAGCACCGCACTTAATAAAATGGATACATTAACTAACAAACAAAATGTTTGTATACAGTCAGATGTTGACTCGTATTGAAATTGAAAAAATGTGCCCGTCCAAAAAGGTTTGTAATCTCTGAAATGTCAAAAAATTATGGCTGTCAGAATTCTACAGAATTAAAAATCAGAGTATAATTTAAATATTCATTAAGAGACTTCGGGTTTTTTTTCATCTCTACTCTTTTTTTCTTGTATTGTCGTTGACTTTTTAAAGGAACACTCCTCTCAGTTATGTTTAATTATACTTTCGTCACTTGACCAACAATTATTTGGTAAATGTTCAGTGTTTGATCCATCTACTTTTGGGCACAGTCAGGATTTTTTAATTTCCAGGCTGCGAGAGATCCAGTGACCGACTGAAGACAGAAATATCTCACCTCGTTGATACTCTACAGAAAATAGAAAGAATTAGCTCTGAAGAGGACGTAAAACGAATAAAAACTTGTTTAATGAACCTTTTTAATTACCTCCCCGGTCCGGTAACCCCACAGAAACTACTTGATTGCGATGACAAAATGTTAAAAGACCATTTGGACGCCTACAGTCAGCTTCTCTCGTCATGTAGAAGTTTACTCCAACAATGGCCAATTCTCAAACAAGAAATCGTCACGCTGTTCACAGTCGAAGAAGGTTTCTACCTGAGCCAGGAGTGCTTGTCTATTTTGTGCGGATTTTTGAAAGAAGAGAGAAATATTTTAGCTCTGGAAGCCACGTCATTTATTTTACAGAAATATGCCAAAAGTGATGCAATTCTAGCCGCTATAATAGATTGCTCACACAGTATCGGCGACGGGCAAGATAGAATCAAACTACAAAACGAATGGGAGAACTATGTTCAATACTTCATAACGTTGCCCGAACGAGTCGCAAATCGACTTGAAATTAAAACTCCCAAGGAATTCTCGCATGAAAATTTCTCCTATATTGTGGTATTTCAAATTGTCAGATCTCTAGATTTTATGGCGGAGAGTAATTTTTTTCAAAGTGCCCGATATAATCTTGCATGTGTCTCGCATCTCGTTTCAAAATTCGTTACTTACTACAGTAACACTGAGGCGTTTTTTCATTTAATTGATATTATCATAGCCTGGACCGATCCAAATAATAATGATCCATGTAAATTCGTAAGGAGAAAACTCTTACAGACGCTATCGCAACACTTACATCGCAGGGCCATTGATAAACTCGTCGTTTATTTGTTCAAAAGATGTCCAATTTACTACAAAAACGACGAACAGCCTATTAAAACGCTACTTGGCGATAACATTGACTCGAGCAAAGATTGGAACGAGATTCTATTGTATAAAATGCCTTACAATGTTCATTTAAAAGACTATAAAGATACTACAATACAGGAAAATTTATTATATTATGTTGCTACAAGTAAAAAATGCAAGGATATTCTATCGAATTTGATTCTCAGCTTAGCTAACGTCTGGGCTGATGTTAGATCAAAAAACGTAACTGACGTTAATCAACATATGTATACGTCTGTATTACTGTTATTGGCTATTAAATATAGAGTAATACTCTGGAAACAAAATTCGGACGATTGGGACTTTTTACAGATAAAAACAATTTTAATCAGAGGCATGTCCAAGCATCTTGACGTCATGACGCAAGAGTATAGATGTATAGGAATGGCCACGATCGAGTTAATTTTTAAAATTCTATCAGATGTTGACAGCAAAGATAGAGAAGCTGTCCATCAGCTAAAATTCGATTACAATTCTATGGGAAATACTTCGGTAGAAATACACAAGGTTCTAAAAGGTGTTACAAATAAATGCCTCCTAGATAAAGAACATGTTAAACCAGCAAATGAATTGTCTGGGGTCAATCTAAGTAAAATCTTAGACCTTATTGCATTTAAAGTTGATGATGTAGATAGACCCGTAAACAATTCTGTTATAACGTGTGCAGTTAAAACCTCGGAACAAACCAAAGCTATCGTAAAAACGATCATATCAGTTAAATTGGATGAATTAAAAAAACATGGGGTTGACGAGGAATTAGATTCAGATGATGATTTACAGCCTTATGATATGAGTAATGATGAGCCAATGTCGGCAAAAAAGAAACCCAATTATTTGCGAGATTTACTGGAAATGATTAGAGATGCTAAAGAACAGGAAACCTTTGAAGTTGCCCTAGAAAGCGCTGAAGAATTAGTCAACGAACAAATGAAGTTCGAGCACAAAGTTCTTGCCATAGAGTTGCTGGATCTCTTCGTGCATTTGGAGGAAAAGTATCATGTGTCCAATTTCGACAGCATTAGATTCAACACATCTGTGGCTATAGTTTGCGCTCATCCCAAAGACGGCGCGGAACATCTATGCAAAGAAATACACACAGACATAGGTAGATACTCGATTGCCACCAAAATTTTCATGCTAGATGTTTTATCCGAAGCCGCAAACAGAATTGCAGATGTTCGACAGACTGAGCCAAAACCTAAGACTGAAACAAAGCAAAAAACAACAGACGACGCGATCTCAGAAGAAGTGATTAGACGGAGATTGATCAACAAAACTCGATACTTCCATACAAAAAGACCCCACCCTTTTGCAAAAGCGAAGAAGAATCAGTTTGCAGCGGTAGCTGACAATTTTTTCTATCCCCTCATTGGGGGTTTTGGTCATCGTCAATTGACATTAAGCTATCAGAATACGAAGCAAGACGTCGACAACATTCTCCTTCTCAAATACCTGTCCGTTGTAGGCAACGTGATTTTAGCGTCTAAAAATTGTCCAAAAGTCGCAATTTACTGCAAGGAAATAATTCCAATGATTTTGTACATGAGATTTTCGCCGGAACCAAAGATTCAGACGTGTGTAATATCAATAATAGCGTCTATAGTGATGGTTTTACCTCCAACTATACTTCGGGATGAATTTGCCTCAATGATGTCAGAGATATGCGCCTGGCTAATGGATTATTTGAATAATATAGACTTGGCGATGAATGTTAGCGGAGCTAAAACTGAAGCGGGGTTGTTTGCCGGACAAGTGTTGCATTTGATCGAGAAAAATTTGTCGAACTAAGTAAGGGGAACTAACTACATTAGGAAGTTTAAGCAGAATTTGTTTACAAAATCTGTAGAGGATATATAATAAGCGGGCAATTGTTTCTCGAATTGTCTATAATTGTAAATAATTTTTATTATTAGTATTTCGCTTTGTTTAAGTTTTAAATAAAAATGCGAGCTGAAATAGTGCACAATTTTATCTGTCTATTAAAAACATGATGTAACATTTAAATTCATTTCTTAAAATTCTGTACCCACCGTTAGATGAATAAATATGTCTCTATATATTTTTGTTTGTTTATCCCCTTAATGTTGGTAAAGTGACGAATAAGTTATCTGAGAGTCCAATAATATAATTTTATTATTAATAAATAATTGATCCTTTCTGTACTTAACATCGACATTGTCCTCTCCTTTAGGTTTACAGCCCACACCTGTTGACCTGCTTCAACCGATTGCACCAGTTAGTCAACAACAACCAGAATTGATCAACACAAAGCCATCAGCAAAATTGGGCGCAACGTGGGCGGACACATCCGGCGCTATTAATATCAACGTCGACAATTTGTTGGCACCAAGATCGCCCAAAGCTGGTCCCGCTCCTTCCATCAATCAGCTTAAATCTAGCCCCAATAGTCCAGCGCATAAACCTAATGTAAACGCTAATATGCCTATACTACCGAATATGCCCAGCATGGCACCGACTATTCCAAATATGGCACCAACCATGCCCAACATGATGCCGTTAAACAACATGGCGACGGGGCAAATGTGGCAAACACCTATGTCCAATGTTAACAACAATTTCCCAGTGAACAACAACATGAGGCCACAGAATCACAATTTCCTCCAATGATATTTGTTATTGGCAGATGTATGCCAAAGTTAAATTTTTGAGCAATGAATAGTTATGCAAACAACGTACAAACTTATAGTTAGGACGGGACACAGCGATCATAGGATATCTTTCAAACGTTTAAATCAAGAAAAATATTTTTAAGTAGTTTACAATCGAGGAAATGTATTTTTTTGAAATGAAACTTTTATTTCATTGCGTTTTATTATCACGTTACACCAAGCCGTCTAAATTAAAAAAAAAAGAAATATTAATCAAATAGATCTCCAATTCAGCGACAGCATAACGGCCTATTTGATCCAAATAACGTAAAAATAAATTTTGATAAGTCGATGAATATTGACCGAGTGAAATATTGAAGATAGTTGTAATCATTATACCGCGCACCGATGACCTTCATTTTACACCATTTCTTTTAACTTCATAACTGCAATCTTATACAATTGATTTAATATTTTGACATTTATTCGGAAAACATTTTTTTAAGCATTCCAATGTAGCATTTTTGTAAATATTCGCTTAATAACTGAATTCATTGCTTAAAAATCGTTAGACCTGAGTTTTCAATTTTATACGAGTTGATATTACATGTGTAAGCGTGTACAGTCGTGCATATCATTGTATATCACATGATATTATATTAAATATATATTATATTAGAAAATACACGAACTTGATAAACTAATGTGTTTGAACTTAAACGATTATAAATTTAACGGAAGTTAAAATGCGTAGGATTAATTAATTAAAAATCATGATTTTATTATCTACGTACGTGTACGTATGTATATACGTGTTGGGAAGACTAGAAAAAATGGAAGAAATAAAAAGCGCGTCTTTCGTGATTTTTAATATAAGATAAAGCTTTTCGAATTCGTTTTTCTTTATTATATGCTATTCGTTAGAAAGGTTAATGAAAATTAGAATTCTAAAAAGCATTGAATTTATTAAAAACATTCCTATATCGTATTTTGATGATCTCTAGGTTTGGCTAACATTGCATTTCTTCTAAATTGTCTAATATATTTTCATCTTTAACTGTTTGCGACTACAAAGCGGGAAAATCACGTCTTATGGCCATTCATACTGCCATACCTATATCAGTTATAACCGTTGGTCGTTGTTATGAAGTTGGATAGAATATTTTTATACCTGCTTCATCAGTAGCGTAATATAAGTGTTATGTATTTATATGTTACATAGTTGAATGTATGGGGCTATGTAAATATACGTAGAAGTTGTAATACGTCAATTCTGTTTTAAGCTACTTTGTTCAGTCTAAGTGCTGCATTCTAATGTTTAGGTTATGTCAGCTGTTAAATTCTTTCTTTGAAACTTCACATGTAACATTATGCTCAAGAATAGTGACTAAAGATTTATTTTTATTACTGAATATTAGTACTAACACGTAGACGATAGATTTTAGCGTAAATTTCCTTGAGAATTATTCGTATATAGTTATTATCACATTACAAACAGACAACAATATTTCTTTTTGTCATTATTTATGCTCCATACAGTTAAGGACAACCTACTAGTAAATTAGCGACTTTAATAATGTACTTAAATTCCTTGTAGATACGTATAGCGTCCCATAAAATCACTCTTATTAGAAAGCACTCAGGGGTTTTATCGATAGAGGCCGCAGGCTTGTAAAAATCATGAAAAAAATCATTGTCATTGACTGTTTTCCGCGCATTTTACTTGTAAGGAGCTGTCGTTATCATTTAAAAATCGACTGTAAGGAGCTGTCGTTATCATTTAAAAATCGACTACTCCTTATCATCGATTTTGGGGACCAGGCGTAATTGACTTACGGTTAGTTTCAATATCTCAACCACACTTACGAGTCGTACGTTTATACTAAAGCCGTCTAATATATGGTCTATAGAAAAATCGTAGCAGTTGTATTGGATATGGATATGGGGTTAGTGGTTCACAGTATTACTTATACATGAAATGCATTACAGCTGGTGGCCCCAAGATGTTTTGTAAATAATCTTCTAGCGATCAGGCATAACCCCTCAGTTGTATAAAACGCATTAAGTCTGAATTTCAAGTGATGTTATTCTTTTAAACAAGTGTTGTTTTTTATTCATTTTAGAGTGCATTTTGGTTAGTGGAATTATGGACGAGAAATGTTATAAATGAAGACGGCTCAGATTTGATTGTTGTGGCAATGGCAGCTCATTTAGTACGATAAGCTTAGTTGTCAGCCCCAAAAATATACTGGCATAATGGCGTCCTTAGCACAGACATACAGAATTGATTCGCGTAATGGAATAATTAAAAAAAAAAACTTAGTGTGTGCCGAATTTGCAAATAAGAAAACGTGTGCTAATCAAATCTAACTTTATTTTCACTTTACAAGATTTGAAGTTTGTGCTAAGGGGGTTTTGTGAAAAACCGGATATTTTGATAATGTAGAATTTGTTGCTGACTGTACTTCATTTTTTAATTTTGTATTGTGTAGTGTAAACGAAGCTAGTTGGGACCAAAATGAAAGTTGTTGCTGTTTCACACTTTTAGCAGATTATCCGTCAAAATAATTTTCTATATTAAAAGAAGCATATGTAAGTCGGTATGTGAGAGATTCATTTATACTACACAATGTCTTGTGCTCTTAGGTGCAAATAGATTAGAAAATTTTAGTTATTTTTTAATTCGAGAAAACCAATGTTATTAATTGTATAAGCCGTAGGTGGGAGAACTCAGATAATTAGGTAGGTACATGGACTTCAGTGAATTTACCACGCATTCCTTCAAAAATAAATAATAAATATTTTATCGCATTAAACGCGTTTATCAACAATTATAAACGACGGGTAACCAAGAGACGCAGTCCATTTTATCGTTTGTATTCCTTAAACCCGTAAAAAGGTTTATAGCATTGATAAAAGACTTTATATTGCAAAAAAAATGATCTATTAAAATTTAAAACATTAAGGCTAAATCAAGAAAAAATATTGTTAATTTAAGTTGTTTAACTTGTCATCTGTAACAAGCATTCTAAAGGAATTCTATCTATTTAGAGCATAGGATTTCAGCGAAATATATTATTAATAGAGTTGCGCTTCTATTAAGTTATTTCTTAGTAAGTTTATCTCTGTTGTTCATCTAATGAAAATTAAGAATTCTTGAGCTATTCGGAATTAAATTCAAAATAATATCTGATTAATTAGCCGTATAACTGCAATATTGAAGTCTATAATGTAGCGTTTGTTATAAATAATGCTTAATAAAAACATAACATTTGGATTGAATTTAAAATATAAACGTAATGGACTACATTTGTAAGGCCCGGCCCACCTGTGTATATAATTATTTTAAAAATAATGTTCTTCCGTTTATTAGGGATTTGAAAGCAATAATTATAAATTAAAATTTTATTTCTAGTTGCTCACATGAATAGTTTATTTCGATTAATTTAGTTTCGTCAGTTGTTCGCACAAGTTTTATTTAAGGGAAATCGCGAGTTAACAGCAAAGTTGTGTTTTTTCTATTTGAAGAAGTTTACTGATAAGCTAATTATTAGGTTTAAATAATATGGAAAGTTTGAAAAGCACCATCTATTGCGACAAATATTAATTATTGGTCACGTTGATTACAGACAGAACGAGATAGTCGCTTTCTGTTAATTCGCGCAAAACTCTGTATTTAACTATTAACTAATATTGTATATAGGAATCGTAAATAACAATGTAAAAGAACGACTGTTTATTAAAATATGTAACAAATATTGGTTATTTTATTTCTTAACCTTTTGGTACACTGTAAATTTCAAGTACATTTTGTGTCATCAGGAAGCATACATTTTGATGCTGAGAGACGCGCAATTTCAATAGTCTAAGACCTAAGTAATCGGAATTTATTCTTCTCTGGATGCAACGCCAAGAAACTTGCCGTTTATGACAATTTCCCAGTTTTGATTAAGCCAGTGTTTGCAATGAGCATGAAGTAGACTTCATTGATTATTTATTATATACCTACTACTGTAAATTAATTAAGCCTAAACGACACTTAGTTAATTTGAATATAGAATAAAACCCATATAAGTTCATTAAAGCGATTTAATTGTGAAAATAAGCGCATTATGATCAATAGTTTAATCTAATTACAACGAAACATTATTCACTTAGAACTAAGCAATACTTTATTTTTATCATATGAATAAAAAAAAGTCTTCAAATCGCAGCAGAATACATCAAATTCATTAAAATCACTTATTAATACTGAAATCATACAAAAATATAATTTTAAATCAAATTAAAAAGAGATCATAAACCATATCAGTCTTTTTAATTAACAAATTGTTATAATATTCGATAAAACTAGTGAAAATTGAGATTACGTAAAATAAGAGCACATACATTTAAAAATTACGACACACATTGAAAATACACAATATTCAACATTGGGGTCTCTAACAAAGAGAAAAAATACATATTTCATACATAATCACGAGTAATTACACAAATACTTTCTTGTAAAAAGTGCTCCGCGCACTGCATTTTTGTGGGCACAGTGAATTGATGTAAATGTGACAAAAATAGTTTAACGTTGCAAGGAACTTGAGTTTCATAAGTGTAGTGCATACTTACCCTATTACATATTACGCGGTACTTAAATCTAGTTAAAATAATTACCATATAATTAAAAGCACTGAATTAAAATATCTTCAAATTTATTATTAAAATGTCACTATTTTGAATTAAAATTTGATCATAGACAGCTGCAAACTTTTATCACAAAATATTTTTTAATACTATTTTTGTTCGATAATTGGAGGCCACTAAAGTATTGTCATTTTTCTATATGAAGAATACGTCACAGTGAATGCGATTACTATAAAACCATTGCATTGCAAATCAATAGTTAATCATTTAATTTGATTGGAATTTGTACATGTTGATTACGTACACAAAAGCGAATAAAATATTTTTGACTTGAAAGTCACACGAGGTCACTCTCACGGAGTAAAGTATAATAAGAAAAAACTGATTCCAAACTAAATTATTTCCTGGGAACTATTCCTTTCATTATTTAAAAACCTATGGAAACCTTGCATAATAAATATAAAACGCAATAAATCGTTACAATTGTAATGATTTATGGGTTCATGCATTTTTATCTTGACATTTAACAATTTGCAATGCAATTTATATTTTAGTCTATCAAAGGCACTTGTCTATTTTTTAAGTGCGTACATAACGCCGTCTCGGAACTCAGCCGCTACAGTGTAGTTCTTACCGAGGAGGAATTCCGTAGTTCTGTTACGAGCCGACATGTCCGTTGAACGGAATTCGATTACCTATAATACCGTAATAAATAGAATATAACACTAAAAACTCATCAATTACATCAATGCGCTACGAGTTCCATTCTCGACGAAACACTTACGCTCTTAATTAGCAATATTAAAAAAGTGTGTTTAGCTTCTTCTAAAATTCATTAAAATCGGTTCAACAGTTTCGAGTGAACTAAATTGGCACCATATCCTTTTAGAATACATACTTGCATACAAAATAAAAGTCATAAGGACTGGGCACAATCGGAAGTAACACTTAACCAATTAATATATTAAAATTAATTACTTTAAATTACGTAACAGTAATAACAGTAGTAATATAGCGTAATCAGCTTAAATTTTTTTTGTAAACAAAAGGTAATCAGATAGGTTGAAAGAGGGGGGGTGTTTTTTTTTGGGGGCCAAAAGCCCCCAAAAAAATGTTAAGGGGGGGGGGGTGAAAACAAAGACTTATTTAAAAAAAGTTAAATCAATAGTAAAAACATACCTGTAGCCGAACACTGGGTTCATTAAAAGGCAAGTGAGTGAGCGCAGCAGGGGCAGAGTCTCCAGCAATAAGGGCGTAATCCGCAGTGGCGGCATCTGCTGCCAACAGCACCGTGTACAAAGGTAGGCAGAGCACCGGCGAACTGAACGATATGCCGCTGCTTTCCGGCTCTTTGTAGCTCACCTGTACATCATAATAGTTTTTTTATGCAAGATAATATGTAAAAATAAAAAATAAATCATTGTTTCATCAGGTAAATAAAAAAAAGGGTGCGTGTACTTATGTACGCGCGTAAGAAGTTATACTTCTTTAGGCGCGTTATGAAAAATTGATGAGAGTGAAATTTTACCATGAGCGCGCACCGTGACACAAAATTAACAGAATTAAGTTGCCCACGGAAGATGCTACGGCATTGTACATAATTTAAAAACAATATTCAAATAAGAATAGTTACAAAGACATTGATTGTAAATAAGATATAGATATATTGAAAATAGCTACTTTTTGAGTTTTACCAGGTACATTTATTTTTGCTTTGGAAATTAGCTATATAAAACCAAGCTAACAATTACATTATTTTTCTTCAATATGATATTCTAATATATATACATGCACATATTATTATATGAAAAAAAAAGGTTATTACACCAGTTTAACTTGTTTGCAACTATTTGACGTGTATCGTTTTCGTGTTCAATAAATATTTATATTGCTAATTTACAATAATAATACACTTATAAAAAAAAAAATAAATATGTTTATTATGGAACATAAGATACATGTATCACTTATTCCACGTCATTAAATTTGAAGGCACCCTACTCATCGGCAAAGAGACAGGGGGAGGCGGGGCCGGAAAAAACCTCGGTACTCTTTTAAACAGCAAACACAAACAACACTTATTTAAAACAAATACGCAAATTGATTAGAAGAGCCTGTCTAGCACTAGTCCCAGGCCCTTTATCAACTAGATAATCGTTGACTTTATAGTAAGCCTTTTTACACAGCTTTCTTTAATACATTCTTAAATTTATTGAAAGGCGGATAAAAGAGCCTCTGGGATTTATTAAAGAAGGTACCCTTTCCCCAAAAAAGAATACTAACTTTAGATAGTCTAGTATGGGGAAATCTGCGTTTGTTCCGTGTATTAACATTGTGCGTATGTCTATTCTAGTAAACTTATCACTATTTTTGTATACATACATAATATTTTCATAAATATATTGCGAGGGAAAGGTAAGTATATTAATTTCCTTGAATTTATCTCTAAGAGATTCCCTACATTTTAAATTATAGATTGCACGAATAGCCCTCTTCTGCAGGATGAAAATAGTTTCGACATCCATATTAGTACAACTAGTACTTACCTGACTAGGATGTGTCGTAGGGCTTAGACAAGCGTTTAGAGCACTGGCTGTGCCTCGCAGTGCCAAAAAATCTCTAGGAGCCGCTCTTACTACAACTCCTCTCCAATCACGAACAGTTTCAAGATAAGCCGTGGTAGGCTCACGGCCGCCGCGCGGCATAAACTCGACAAACGTTCCGTTGTACTGAAATTTAATATAATTTATTGATTTAATCAATTTAATGGTTATAATAATTATGTTTTCCTACTTATGTAAAAAATGCATGTAAAAGAAACTTAAAAAAATATAAATTAAAATCAAAACTGACAGTTTAATATCTGAAACTATATTTTTTAACTTTATCTTTCTAAAATTGCAAAAGTAACAAAATGTGAATGTGTTTGTTTATTACAACTCAATATTCTCACAAGGCAAACAAATAAAATTTTAATGGACCTTACCAATAGGTCTCTACCTTCTGGTACTCGAAATTGTACATGGTGTCTTCTTGTTAATTTTATTTATGTTATTAAACAAATCCACATATACACAACTTACAATTTCTCCATAGAGTTTATCAAGTACTTCCACTCTATCAGTAATTGATGGCACAGGAGGTGGGCTCTTAGGTGGCCTTGGAGCAAGGTGCAATTGCCTCACATAAGCTACCAATGTTGCTGATTCAGCAGGGATGCGAGCCAGCTGATAGTCACGAGACATGTTAAGACGGAACTGCTGAGCACCTAAAGCTGAAATACATATCTCAAATAAATGGATTTATGAGACTGCATATTGATATTAAGTGTGTCACGTCTTTGAATTATAGTTACGAATATTGTAAATTATAGTGCTCGCTTTCTGTGATGATCATTTGTGGATTCACAAAAAAAGTAGTTTATATGTTTTTTATTTAGAATACATTATATTATAGATTAACCAAATATTTATTAAAATACTTACCAACTGTATCCATATAAATGAGGAGCATTGTCATAACAGTAACAAATGTGAGGACAAAAAGTATGGCAGGCAACAATTTCCTGTACAATTCATTGGGTGGAGTCTTTGTCAATGAGGGGAAGCTAAAGCGAGAGGTTGGTCCTGTTACAGTTGTCTTTGGAGCAGATTGTGGCAAATCCTTGGGCTTATCTGGCTCCATTTGAGTAGCCCCTGGAAGTGGGTTTTCTTGGATTTTCTGTAATTTGTATATATATTGATGATATTAAAATCATACATATCTTCACTTCAATTCAAAACACTCAAAATAGTACCATAATTAACAATTCGTTCGAAATACTAGAATTTACACATCGTAACAATCCAAAAAAGTAACTGTACTCATCTGACAACAACTGTTGTCCTTTTTTATACCTAAGGTGACACATGGTAAAACAAACTACAAAGGTTTCATACACACATACGTATAAGTTGGTAGGTTTGTTACACACAAATTTCGACAATACCATACCTTTATCACCATAGTTGTATCAATATTCCTGATTTCAAACTCAAATAAAAAAAACCACTGATACTTGGTCTAGACAAATAAAAGATTATTTTAATAAAAACAGAACCTGAAGTTCCGTTTGCATAGACTGACTGTTTCTTTACATAAAATTCATGCTCATTTTAAACTTGTTTAACCTCACAGTTATAAAAAATCCTAAGACATTTTCATTACGCTTATGTTACTTAAGTTTGATAATTTATATTAAAAAGTAAAATATAACTAAACCAAGATGACAGATGCTCAAAAATACAACATGAATCACCATTCGTATTTCGTCATTGATCATTCATCAAAACTTGACAACTGTGAATAGTGAACACTGATTGACCCACAGAATGCCACAGATATACTGGTAGAAAAAATGATAATTTTTTGATTTAACTTAAGTCAGAAGTCAAAGGGCCTCATAGCCTAGCGGTCTTATTAAGTGGCAGCTAGGTGAGGGGTACCGGGTTCGATTCCCGGTTAGAGGGCAAGTTTTAATTTAATTTAAATTTGTTCTCGGCCTTTGGGAGGGTTGTGCGGTACCGGGCGAGTGCTTAAACCGTACATGGAGGTCATGGTTGAATTTCTAAGGCAAGCACGAATTATAAAAATCTTATACTTGACGCTGGCTAATGCACAAACCGTGCCAGAGCCATAAAGAAAAAAAAGGTCAAACCCACTAATCTCAGTATATAACTCAAAAACTAAAGTCAGGCAGGCATGATTAATAAACTTAGTCTAGACTCCAGAGTCAAACAAACAAACCGTAAGGAGAAGATATAGGTCTAAGTATTGCGTATTAACTATTAAGCATTTTTCATTAATAAGATCGATTCCGTTATAATTATGAGATGTACATGTAGAGAACATAAAAAAAAACAGTTAGGGAAATCGTTTATTTCAAATTTAAAGTACTTAAAAGAACCAGCAATGATTTCACAGGATTGCATTCAACCGATTTATACAAAATTTAATATTATAAAAGACCTACATTATTATAATATTTACATTTAGTATTTCAGAATAATTGCATTACTATTGTGAATTTCATTTGTGTATATAAATGATTATTGTCTGTAATTTCTATAATAACTCGACAATTATATATATATATATATATAAGTTGTAGTGAATACGTACATATATTTTAATGCCAAAAAATAAAAAAAATAGACTAGATGATCTTGTTTTTTTCCTCAGAAGAAATGTGTGTCGGTATTAAGTTATAATTAATGTATTTCAGCTACAGCCATAGACGTAATTTGAATTTTATTACAATTATTCGCTTTGCTTTTTGCGCTTCTCATTTTTTCTAACCAGTTAAATGAACAACTCGTTGTTTTGCCATTTTAGTCCAATAGTACCTATGGTTAGTTAGTTACGTTATTTCTTCATACATTTTCTACACACACCAATACGTGTAATGCTATTTTTTGGAAGCGGAGCTAATTTTTAAATTATTAAAATCCAATATTTTTCGACTGGTACACAATAAGGTATATTAAATACATTAAGATATTTTAGAGTCAAAAATCCGTTTTTTTGTTTATCTTATCTTGACTTACATAAGTATATATATATATTTCATTACATACATCAGGTAAATACTTGTATTTAAAATTAATAAAGAGAATACATATATTTAAAATAATATTATGGTTTGGTTAGTTGGTTAGATATAAAATATGTCGTTTCATTCATTTGTGCCTCCAAAATTGTGCGTAGTCTGATCAATAACAATATAATATTATATAATACCTCAGTGCGTGTATGTGACTGAACTCCTCCTAAACGACTGGACCGATTTTGATGAAATTTTTTGTGTGTGTTCAAGGGGATCTGGGAATGGTTTAGATTCACAAATCAGGCGGCGATGGCACTGCAGTGGTACTTTCATACTTTGCTTAATATCCTAACGCTTTAATATTGAGGAAGTTGGGGGTCCACTAATATTATATAATACCTCAGTTAAACATTTTCTACCGACCAAGAACCAACACGATTTTGTAATATATTTAGATATAATAAAGGATACAGTATAGAATTTGTTAAAATGTGTTAAAGGTATTAGGTACATAATATGATTATAATAAGTTCAGGTTATATGCAATTCCTTTCCAAGTCCCTTATAAGCTGGATTTTAATATTGTTATCATAATAGATATTTTAGTATGTCGAATTGCAATAAAAGTTTATAATTTTATGAAAACTATGTTATCTTAATTATAAATATATTCTATATAAAATTATATAAAACTCTAATGAAAAAATTATAAATATCAATATGTGAGTTACAATTATAATGTAGGCTCATTTTATATAAATACATATTGTATGCTTAAACATTAGTTTTATTCTTATAATATATTGAATTTATTGTCAAAATTACAGTCATATGTCAAACTTAAGAGTAAGATAAAAATTCGAAAACAGTTCTATAAATCTATAACAGTTTTTATTGTCAAGCACACACGACCTTAATAATTAAAGAATTATAATATTTAATACTATTATTGTCAATATTACATAGTTTGAGAACATTCACTTATAAATATATGTTAATAATTTGAATTACATATTTTGAGTGAAATCCGTATAATTATTTAACAATCGATAAAATTCTAAAGAATTTCTTTTTATTTTATAGGTTATAATTATTATTGTCACAGTAACATTAATTTGTCTCTTTCATACATTATACTACGAAAAGAGAGAAGACGCATCATCTTTCTCTCATACAATTATATCTATGAATAAAATCTCTAAATAGGTCTACAAACTTCAAATAAGTCTAAAATGTAAAGATAGATGCACAAAATATGCGTTTTAATTTTGATATGAAATTGATATTTTGTATATTGACATTAAATACCCTTTCATAACATAATCTGTACAATTATAGGAAAGGAGCTCTGGTTTTCTACTAATTTTAAACCATTGTAGTCTATTCACTATTAATTGCCTCAGGCTATAGTAATATTATACAAGCATAGGTATGTTGTTGAAAAAATTACTTTTTGGTACGGCGATTGACTTATACAACCACGTACAAAAATATTAATTTATTTGGACAGAGTAGGTAATCTCGGAAAGCGAGAACAATTCTTTAAAAAATTAACCAGAGCTCGACAATTTATATGTTCCCTTTATCTAAACTGTGCGTAGATGACAGCTGTCAGAATTGGCGCGATAATTGACAGCGGTAATGGCGCTAAATTTGAGCAGACGCCTGTTTGGCCCGGAAGGTGTATTTGCGTCCCTGGGTCAACTACATGGATCTTCCAGCCAAGGTTATTATGCGTGTAACACTGAAATATGTAAAAAATATGTTATTATAAAGTACTAGATTCATTATGAAGTTTTTATGCAAGATGATTCATTTCATGAGAAGCACAACCAAGCAAGCAATGACAAAGTATAGGTAGTTTTATGATTTCTTTTGCTTTCAGTTACAATTGAAAGCCTTGGCACTTATGATTCAGAAGTCTACCTCATTAAGTCTCATCACTTACTGCTTATCAAAGTTACATTTTTTTTAAAAGTTATTCTTCTATTATTTCTTAGAAAATTCCTAGTAAGTAATTAAATTAGATTTAAGAATGTGAAATGGAATGTAATGTGATGTGGCTCAATTCATGTATTTCTTAAAGATTTACTAGACTGTTTAGCATTACATATACCTAACATCACGGCGAGAAATATCTACCTTCACAGGGATCAGATAAAATAAATAATAATTATTTTCATGCCAAAGATATCTTCCTATGTTCCAACATTACCTGGTAATAAAGCAAGTCAGGTGTTTCGTGTGCGACAGTCCATTCCAATACAGCAGGTTCACCTTCGTTACACTCCAGCTGCAGAGTCTGAAGGTAATCTTCAAAGGTTTCAGAAGTGCTTGACTGGTCTGTTGTCTTGTGTGTCCATTCGCAGTATCTTCCCACTGAAATAACATAGAGTAAGATGAATTATGAATGAATTAACTCATTCTTCTTCTTCTTCAACATTTAGTCACACAGTTTCAAGTATGCCACAATCACACGTGCATTACGCGATATTAATTTTGATGATGACAATGACGCAAATGATGACAGGTGAAATAGTTCGCAAGTGGAATATTTAAAAAAACTAACGTGAATAAACTTACCAGCTGTTGGATATGGGTATCCCTCATTATCGTAAGCGACTCCCGCAAACACTCGTTGCTTCCTCTGATCCTCCTCACGCTTTTGTCCAAATCCTCCCTCTGAAGAATCGCTTATGTAGAATGGATGGAACCTGAAGTATAAAAATAATAAAATATCACACGTGTATTTAATTATAATGTTAAAATATCAGAAGTATGCGTATTGAGTATTCAAAATACATTTATTACATAAGTAATTTTCATAATTAATCATATAATTAATGTATTTAATTTTTTATATAAATAAATTTCATAGGCTTTTCTCTGCTTCTAGCTTTCTAGCTGTATTTCGCCATCACTTGCTGCTAACTAAAGATGACAGTTTTTAATTATCGTAGCATACTAATTAACGCATAACAAAAGCAGCAACACACAGGTTCAATACCATGTGAAAACTCTTGACTTAGTAAGCACAGAAGGATTACAATAACAGACGCCAAAATGTGTCTGTACCCCATTATTTACTGCCGTGCGATTCTGTTAATAAGTGAGTTCACCTCGCACTAACAACGTTCCCTTCCATTTTTGGAATCTCATGGTATTATGTTCAGCAATTTCACATTACGTCTTGACAAGCGGAGGGAGGTTAGTTTATTGTTTATCAGAATGCCAAATCGTAAAATGACTGCTTCACGACTGATTTGAGCGCAACCGCCGCAGCGAAAACCGCTATGAGAGTTCGAAAAGTGAGTTACAGAATCGCAAGGCTGGACTTGTTACATATAAACTGTGCAACTGTCGGTACTTACTTAGCCGGGTTCGTCCTATCGTCACCACCTTCTACCAAAAAAGTGTACGTTTTCCCGCGCTCCACGTATATTTCAGGGATCAACATATCATTGATATACCAGGCGATACCCCAAGATGGATGTCCTGAAAACACGAAAGTTTATCTTTATTAATTTATAACAAGTCGTGAGAAATGGACAACAATCACTTCCGAATGGTAAGAAAAAAGACGTAGACAGGCCAGGCTATAGAGGGATAGAATAGGATAGAAACAAGCGGACCATAGTGGAGTGGAGAGTAGACCAAATATTCGCGAAAAAAAGGCTTTAAATATTAAAAAACGTAATGTTACTAGTATTGTGCAGCACTCATGGTTGTTCATAAATTTATATTGATTACATTTTTTAGAGTATATCTCACTTAAATCAAAGAAATTAATTCATTTAATTTTTTTTGTCGACATCACGTAAATGGAACTTACCTTCAGATTTTAAGTATTGAATAATATTACTGTATAGATAAAAAATAATTACCATATGGCAGAAATCCCTCTATGGTTTCATTGTCTGCGTGAAATGAACAAAGATTTTATGATACACAAAAAGGACCAAATTACGCAATCAGAAAAAATATAATAAGTATGAAAACTAAAATTACAGCTTTTATTCTACGCCGAGTAGTCGGGTAACACTTATTAGAAACGCTCTTTATGTATCTTATAAATGTACCTACACTTTGATAAACAATAAAAGATACAAAGGAATTAAATCTAAATAATGCTCTGTTATTTGCAATGGTGATTTCGTAATTCAATAATTATATCAGGAAATAGATTAAATAGTGTTTAAAATATATTTGGAATACGAGTAATATACCAGTAATAGGAGTGTATCCTCTCCTTCCACCTGCAGGACCAATCCGAGCTGTGAAGTTGCTGACCCCAGCGATTATTCGAGCTGGCCAAGGTGCCGGTCCGCCCGCCTCAAGTTCAGCCAAACCAACACAAGTATTGTCGTTCTGTATAAGAAAAACAGTTTTCTATAAAACGATTTTAAAACAGAACGCCGACGTTTAAAGAAATAGATCAGTCGATATAAATTATTTAGAAACATACAAAATAAACAACAAAGCAAAGACTTTAAAAAATTAAATTATATACTATTACTAGCTGACCTGGCCAACGTCGTTTTGCCATGTATATTATTTATAAAATGGGTTTGATCGTAGAGGGGTGAAAATCAAGGGTTGTATTTATTTTTAATGCTGTATCATAAAAAAAAAGTATCTATAAATTAAAAAAAAAAGTTAGGCATGTGTACTTTTTTAATATAATTGATTTGTTATTTTCACTGTGCTGTAATATTGCACTAGATTTTTTAAAATTGGAATCTTAGATACATACCAAGGCGCCAAAGTCGAGTTGCACATCATTTCTAGTGGTATCCATAAATGAGTGAGCATTAGCCTCATATCTCGAGTTGAGTGGCCCAAAAGCAGCTATAACAGACTGAGACCGTGACGTCAGCACTTCCTTATCCTTCATAGGCTCCTTCGCGGCAATCGGACGACGGTAAGTTATGGTGGTTACACCGTCTTTTGATGTCCGGAAACTGGGGATTACTAATATTCTTGAGGACTATAGACAATTTAATATTTAAACTACGGCTACTTCCTTTTTTTATTTGTATTGAAATGTTTGAAGACATAATAATGGCTTTTGTAAGGTACTACGCGTACATATACCACATACGTACAAGTCGTCGGAAATATCTGCGAACCTGGCTTAATGACGTCATACAAACTGGAGAGATAGCAAAAAAATTGAAGATGTAAAAATAAAAAATATTTTATTTGTGTACTTATTTTTATTGATACTCGTACCTACTTGAAATTTACAAATACTTATTATTTACATTATTTAAAATTCAAATTATTTACAAATTTACAAATAATACAAAGAACAAGTAGAGAGGAAGAGAAAGTGGCGAAACTATTCTAGAAAAGCCTCGACACCAGACATGGTAGCGCTGTCGTTTTCGTCATCTTCTATATTATCACTCAAAATGTTGTCTTCGGTTTCGCTGTCACTGTCTTCTCCTCCTAATGAAATTATTAATTCGCGTTCTTCATGTTCATATAATCTGTCATTATGCCAAAACTTATCTCTTAAGCGATCAACATGGTTGCATTCTTTTTTCCAATCTTCCGGGGTTATACTTTGGATCGCTGTCTTTGTTAACCTTTCTATATCTTTTTCTGATTGGTCAATATTTTTGTCTGCCACCCTTTGTTTCATCAAATTCCAAACATACTCAATAGGGTTGAGATCACAGTGGGAGGGTGGCAGACGTAATACCTCATGTCCATGAGCTCTAAATATTTCATCGATGAAATATACCTTCTCAGGTTTATTTCTTTGAATCAACATATACAGTTCTCTTTTAGTCATTTTGTCATCAAATTCGATGTTGTGTTCTTGCAGCCATGTTTGCATTTCGTTTTTACGTGCACTGAAATTTGGCGGCTTATTTGCCTGCTTACTGTGATAGGGCGCGTTGTCCATGACAATTATTCCGTTGGGTGGAAGGTTCGGTATCAATTTCTCTTTAATCCATTTGGTAAAATTGGACGCATCCATTTCGTCATGGTAATCACCGGTTGTTGATTTACACTTATATAGGAGCTCGGCTCCTTGTATGAAACCGTTCTCATTACCTGCGTGTACCACAATCCAGCGCTGACCAGGAGAGTGATTTATTCGGACACTGGAATCACTACTATTTTGCCAACATTTTGAGACAGTATAGTGTGAATGTATCCAGGTTTCGTCGATAAATGTAACTGGTTTTTTTTCGGCACCACGTTCGTCATTTTCTTTCAGTCGCCTTAAATATTTTGCTCTCCAGGCTGCTATTTCAGGTCTTTGCACCAAAAAATCGCGTTTTCGTTTACATTTTTTAAAGCTGTACCCCAAATCATTTATTAGTATGTTTCTTAGGGCGTCTTTTTGGCCGGGAAAGTTGAGCTCCCGTTTTGCTATTGTAAGAATCTTTTTTTAAAGTAGGTATTTCTTTTCTTGTGGTATAAAAACTTTCAACCAAAGAGCGTATCGCGCATAAATCAAAATTATCTAGATCTATTTTCTTTTTGTATTTTTTACGCTTTTTCCCTGGTGTCGAGAGCTTGATAGTGTCCGTGGCAACTGAAGCTGAAGTACTAGGTTGTGGATGCTCACCATCTTCGAAGGACGTCATGTCTTCCTGAACATTCGCTGCTCGCGCTGTTTCTGTTTGTATTTTTTTTGCTTCACGTTTTATTGTCATTATTGTCGTTTTAGATAAACCAGTTGCAGCACAAGCCCTTTTTGTTGCTTGTTCAACCGGCACAGTGAAAGAGCCGTGTTTTTTTTCATTTTCAAAGAATTGGATTACTTTGAGCACTAAATTCCGCTCTGCACTATGTATAGTCCTACCCATCTTACATACAGCACTAAATAGGTAGTTTATGTAATATTTCACCAAACAGAGAAACAATAAACACTAAAATGCGATTACGAAAGCAAGAATAATACACGTGCGTCGGCGATTGCGTTGGCAACGGTACTGGATAGGCGAAAACGGGGCGGGGTGCGGGGAAGCGCCAGGGGAAGCGCATTCCAGCGAGGTTCGCAGATATTTCCGACGGCTTGTATATTAACTGATGTTCGTTGGTAAAACTGTATGTTGCTGTATTAATCTTAAAAATATGGTAGTCCTGATTTGTGAATCTAAGCCATTCAAGGCGCCACACAAAAGCATACAAAAAAAGTCATTCAAATCGGTTCAGCCGTTTAAGAGGAGTTCAGTGACATACACACGTACAGTAGAATTACATATATATATGTAAGCTGTATCTTTTAAGTTAGATCATACTGCACACGGTGTGAAAATTTGATTGAAATCGGTTCTGTAGTTTAGGAATCCATATATATATATTAAGATGTAAAAAAATTAAAGTTATTAAAATTAATATACAGGCAATGTTAGAAATATAATCGTAATGAAGAGCACATACCAAGCACCACATCGTTGCTTCCACTGAGTCTGGCATCAGGACACACTCCTCTCTCACCATCACACTGTGCAAGGTGAGTAATCGTGTAGTCTGCTACACGTGGCTGGTTTGATCTGGAATATGGACGGAAAATTCAAAATTTTAAGATAAATAATTATTTGTGGTATTTGGAACTATCATAGTCTTAATAAAATTATATCTAAAAGAATATACCTAACCTAACTACTGATCTAGGTTCCAATTTTTTTTAATTTGTTTATGATTTTAAAAAATAATCCAGTATTGCAGTGGGTTGTGGCGCCTGCACTATACAACACATCAGTTAAGACTGGAAAGAATTTAGAAAAGATCTATTTGGTATCACCCGGGTTTTTTCTCCTACATTGCTCGGCCATATCAAAAAACGATTCAAAACTTGAAAATTTTGTCCATAGACAAGATAGAGGTTAGACTTAGCGGACATGTATGTTATATATAACATTATCAAAAGCCATATCGATGGTCCCCTTTTGCTGTCGAAAATAAACTTAGGGTTTCCTCGTTTTCCTATTAAAATTTTTCTTCTTAATCTTCATATAAATTTACCACCTGTCTTACTCACAGTTTTGCAGAGCTATCTTTACCAAAAACTTGCATGACGTTATCATTTAAACGCTTTCACTTATTTATAGCATGGAAGATGTCTGATAGTTAGCAATAGTTATTATAAATAGCATGCTGTGTTTGTATGTTAAAGGGCGTACAATGAATTTCTATTGTTTTTTTTATGTGTTCCTATATGTAAGCTTTTATTGTTATGTCCGTTGGCAAACTTATTTACGATTTTATTCACGTTACTTTCATCTACTCAGAAGGTTGTTGCATTTTACTTGCTATGTAAGTAATAATTAATAACTTTTGAAGGTAAATTAATCATGAATGGGGTCAAAAAGGTTGATGATTGGTGGTCACTAGGTCCGTTGTGCATACTGCTCCGAGGATTTCTGATCGTTAATTGGGAGACCAAATATTGTGTTGTTCTTTTCGCTCGCGGCGTGCGGAACTGGTTATGTGAGACCGCTCCTAAATCGCAAAGCATTTCACCTCTTAAACAAATAGAATATCTAACAAACAAGCGTTTATTTACGCCTTTGCATGTAAGTTACCGTACCTATTATCCCAATATGCCACGACCACATCAGCGTTCAGCATAGCAGCACGTCCTTCAGCACCGGAAATACCGAATGCCATGTACTGCTCCTTACGAAGACGAGCAGCTAGCGTTATTTGGATTAGGTCGCCCTGGAGATTTATAAAAACAATCTTAAACTGATATAATATTTTTATGCAAATTAATTTAATATTAATTAAAATAAGGTAATTTATCTATTTCTAATTAACATAATATGCAGTACGAAGCGCTGCATATTTTCATGTATTTCATTTTCATTTCATGACCATGGCAATCAGTGCTCTGTAACTTCCGATAGCAAACCCCACTTCAATAATGAGTTTTAGTACCACGAGAATCTCAAGCTTGCGAAATCAGTGCTAGGGGTAGTAACTCGATATAACGTTATAGCACGAGTAGAAAACCTCAATATATTTTTTTTTTTTAAATGTTTCCAGATTTATTTCCAATATTAAAGTTGGTATCGTACTTTAATAATATCAGAAATATTTTATAGGTAGCAAATAAAAACAAGAATTTATCATATATTTGATATGATATCTATTTAATAGTCTATATGGCTAATTTGATCTCTGAAATATATAGGTCTGTTCTATATAGGTTGTTGGTTGTCTTAGGGTAATTTTTACATTATTATTTCGTATTTACCTTTACATTTGTCTGCATACCACTCGCTTGTAACGAAAATTATATTATTAATAATTAACGTCGGTCAGTTTTACACATATTATTTCGATTTCTATAGCGAATTTCAAGCATACAAAGAAGTAAACTTATGACTTCGTCTATCTGACGCATATAAGATTACTTCTCTCTTGTAGTTTTAAAAATCAAAGTCAAATTAAACTCTTTTTGGGTTATTAACATCCGGAAGCCTTCATCTTAATTCTAAGAAATGCAACAAAATATTAAATTTCTATAAAGTTAGACATATCTGCGTCTCACTTGAGTGTGCCCTAAATGAGTAACAGTTATAATGTAACAATTGAATGAAACATGGAGAACACTCGTCCATATTCTGAAACATCCCATTTTATATTTCATAATAATTCAGTACCCGCCCCCGCGCTTATGTAAATTAAATTATGAAATATGAGAGTTTAATGTGGGAGGGAGGGTTCGGGATGGTAATAGCTGGAATTGCTTGGGCTGTTTCTTACTAAATTGAGGTTTCAGTTTTAATGACGGATATAATTTGCATAACTAATTTTATTATTGCTGTGCTACAGTACTTGCTTTTTACAGGATAATTTAGTTTCCAGACAGCATATTAAATTAATTATAAACTGTAATACTATGACAGGTTTTAAGCACAAGATATAAAGCTGAAGTTCCCGCGTTATCTCGTACTTATATGTAATTATTGGATTTATGTTGAAAGAACCGTGACTTTGTAACTACAAATTATTAATTAACTACTATTAATTTGACATGTTACAAACTTAATAAGTTAAACGTAAATTAATATCGTTAAAATAAAAGTATAACTTCAAAATCTATATTGATTGCTCTAGTTATTTATAATTTATAGTCATAAGTAATAATTACCTGTATCTCCCATCGCACTTGCAGCCTTTTATCAAGAATTTCCTTACAATTGTTAGAAGAGCTATACGGCGTTTGAGATGTGGTTGAACTAGTCTGTAACATTCATTTAGTTAAATCTTTGTTTTATTGGTATTTGCAGTCAACACAAATTGCTAAATGTATATACAAAAACATGTATTAATATTTAAACAAAATGTATATATTATTTCCAAAGCACTCACCGGATTATACCACCAAGCGGGCTGTTAAATTTTTTATTCCAATGGAAGCGGAAGAAAATATCAAGAAATAATGATTAGTTTATTACAAGCAGTCTCACAAACATTATGTTAAACAATACATTTTATTTTATATTATGAAGTGTTGATAATTTTAGTATTTTTAAGGTAATTATGCCAAAAATGGCATAATCCTTAAATAATAAAAAATATCAACACAGGTTATGCAATTAATTAAACCAGTCCAAGAAAAATGTTGGCTGAAAATAAGTTTTTGTTAGTTTTGTTTGCATTGATGGTTTCCTGTTAACCTGAAAAGCGATAATCCAATGTATGATTCCAGAAAGCTGCATTGTAAAGAGATATCCGTTAAAACAAATGAATTAAAAAAAATCGTACTTAGTACGCAAGTACAAAAATTAGGATTCACATTTTTATTATTAATAATTTATATAAGTTAAAACATAACACATGACGATGTGTACGAAAATAAGACATGATGTACTAAAAAAAAATTTTGTAAGTACACCATATTTTGAATATTGAAATCTTAAAAAATCCTCTTAAAATAACAACACTGTGAATTCACATGGTGTGAATCTCACGGACGGTATTGGTATTATTCTAAAGTTAACACTTTTCTGGGCCTATGTGGTCGCGGCCACAAAAACGGCACACCCAGTCTCTAAAAACATTGGTTCTGGTGTACGTCGAGTCCCACATACTCCTGCTACTTTTGGGGACAAATGCGCAAATGCATTTTCATATCTGATGTCAAAAATGGACTAAGTTCAGCCTTACTGTACATTTGAGGAATCTAAATAGAGAGCATATTAGTCGACCGTAATTTACATAGAAGCAAATACATATAATAAATAAATAGTATTACTCACGGTAATCTTCGTCTGTCCTAACGCAGGTGGTACATCTAAATCCTTAGGAATATAAACGTGACCAAAGTTATGCCTGTATTCTACACACCAGACAGCAAGCCAGTCGATGTCATAAGCCGTCAATTTACCAGGTAACTGGATCTCTATATCCTCACCTTGGTAGCCTCTGAGAGGGTTGAGGGATCCCATTTCATTCGGTACCTAAACACAAAGTTTGTTACAACCTGTATTATTTACCTTAAGACGTAAAGCCTTAATTAAAACTAATGGTTTATGCTTATTTTACGTCTAAAGAGATTCTAAATAAAGCAATTAAATATTGAAAATATTAATTCTTTACATTGATAAAAAAAATTTACTTACTCACCAAGCTCAAAAAACATTATCTAATGGTGCTCTATCGTAAGCAATAATAATCAATAATAAGTACGCTAACCTTTGTTCCAAAAGGACTGGGTTCACTACCGTTCCCAACCCAGAAGTAGGCGTCGGGTCCAGCACCATCGTAATGCAAGTTGGGAATGTAGAACGTCTTTGCATCCAACACGCTAATGTTACCAGATCGCAGGCCGTGAGCAAGTCGCTTGAACTCTGGCAGTACACGTGGTCTTGGGGGGTCCAATCCGGGAGGGACAAACACGTCGCCAAAGTTTACCTAAAATGTTTTTAACTATGCTATAGTTAAAATTTGATAAAGCGCCCAGCTTCGATATTACAGATACGTGATATTGTTGTTATTATTAAATGTTGGCTTGTAATATCCGATATCAAAGCCTGTGTATTCGCGGAAACTCAACCTATTAATGAAAATTAAAATTTATTGTTACCAATATGTTTATAGTACTTTTATTATTTCAACACACAAAAATACAATTTTGATAATGTAGGTTACATAGTACCTAATAATAATAATAATTAAAAATGAATAACTAGAAAATTAAAACAAATTTAAAAAGTTTGGTCGCTGTTGCATTGTACTAAATTTATTTAGGTTTTGGGTAATTTTTTTTAAGCTTTATGAAAATTTTATTATCAGCAATTAACACTTAAATAAATAAATAAAAACATTTTACTATTGTATATACATGTATGTCTGACAAATGCTGCTAATTGCTATGCTGTTCAGTCTAAATTCTTTTCGGTTAAACTAAAACACACTAACTAGACAAAATTATTGGTACCTATATCATGCGCGCTGTGTATTCACTATGCTGCTATGATGTACAGATGCTCGGATCATACGAAAATTTTATATTCTTATACTAAAAAGTAATAAACTACATAATATTGCAGAGGGACTGAGAGTTCAGTAAGTACATTAGTCTGTGGTAAATTAAAAAGTTTATTTGACAAAACTGACATTTTGGCGGGAAGCTAGATTGCGCGCGTCGCTCCCCCGCCTTCGACCTTCTAATCGATATTTTGGCCTTTCACAGACTGTCATTTTATCCTGATGTCTGATCCTTATTATTATTATCCCTATTATCCGTATTACACCTATATATTATCACATTTTAATAGGCTTATAGTTTTTAATGAAAGTCCATAATTTTTTTTATTACATTAAGTACGCCCTTTACTTACTATTCTAATATCTAATACATTTTTTACTATTGCAAGTTAATTTAATAAAGGACGTTATCTCGTTACTACCAATTTCGAATCAGTAACACATATTTAGTGTAATATGAGAACCGTTAATGTGCTTTTGTTTGAAATATCAATTCACATATACCTAATTATAAATTAGTTAAATACGGTACACAGAATTTGAAAGGCTTCGAAGCGAAGTTCAGTTTCAAACGCCAACAAAAGGGATGTCACCAGGAATGAACTACATATTGGCGCGTCTAAACGGGCCATGTTTTGCTGCAATTGATGGCTGCAACACTGTGGCCGGCAACATTGCAAACAATAGCAGCCACACTATGCAATATTGCAGTAATGTCCCGGCCATATAGCCAAACATGTTTTGTATAGCCACATATGGCCGATGTTGCCCCGATGGGTGGCCGGACGATCGCTAGGCTATCGAATTCAACTGCAATATTGCACAGCCAGTTCTCTTGTTGTTTCAGTCACTCTTTTTGTTATGGCACAGTGTATCCTTTTCTACACGACATGACGTTTGCTATGAGTGAAGTGTGCCTGTTGCTATGTTCTGTGTTTTGCGATCAGCTGTATTTGACGTTAGATTACTACGTAAAAATGGCTGCTTTTGACATTCTAGTTCTTGAATAATTTATTATCAAGACGTATTTCTAGACTCAAATTGTCTACAGTTTCACGCCTATTTAAGTAAGGTCGAATCCACAATCTCTTCTTTTTCTGTTTCTTTTTTAAAACGTGTGATTTCGTCAGCCATTGTTGCCGGTTTGTGTAGCCCGTTTAGGAGTCTGCATCATGGGCCATACTATTGCAGACATATTGCAACACATTGCCCAGCCATTGATTGTTCGGCCATCAGCTGCATTAAAATATTTTTGTAATGGCGCGTCTAAACGGGCCATGTTTTGCTGCAATTGATGGCTGCACTGTTGGCCACTAATTGCCCGGCCATTACAAAAATATTTTAATGCAGCTGATGGCCGAACAATCTATGGCTGGGCAATATGTTGCAATATGTCTGCAATAGTATGGCCCATGATGCAGACTCCTAAACGGGCTACACAAACCGGCAACAATGGCTGACGAAATCACACTTGTCGCAGCAGCTTATATTGTTTTAAAAAAGAAACAGAAAAAGAAGAGATTGTGGATTCGACCTTACTTAAATAGGCGTGAAACTGTAGACAATTTGAGTCTAGAAATAAGTCTTGATAATAAATTATTCAAGAACTAGAATGTCAAAAGTAGTCATTTTTACGTAGTAATCTAACGTCAAATACAGCTGATCGCAAAACACAGAATAAAGCAACACGCACACTTCACTCAAAGCAAACGTCATGTCGCGTAGAAAAGGATACACTATGCCATAACAAAGAGAGTGACTGAAACAACAAGAGAACTGGCTGTGCAATATTGCAGTTGAATTCGATAGCCTAGCGATCGTCCGGCCACCCATCGGGGCAACATCGGCCATATGTGGCTATACAAAACATGTTTGGCTATATGGCCGGGACATAACTGCAATATTGCATAGTGTGGCTGCTATTGTTTGCAATGTTGCCGGCCACAGTGTTGCAGCCATCAATTGCAGCAAAACATGGCCCGTTTAGACGCGCCATAATGACCGGGCAATTAGTGGCCAACAGTGCAGCCATCAATTGCAGCAAAACATGGCCCGTTTAGACGCGCCATATAATATTTTCTAGTTAAATCATAATTAAATATAAGGTTTTTTAAACGTTTCAATTTTAAAACATTTTCTTTAATTAACATCGTAAAACCCGGGCCCGAAAGCAAAACCCACAACCCCCTGGAATATTAATAAATTCCTCATACTGAACGTTATTTTTTACTCTTGTCTTCGTCTCTGGTTTTAGGGGCATCATAATAATACACTGTACGCGTTAAATATTAAATTAAGAAGCCAAGGCAGGACACACAAATTCTTAATCGTTGCTGTGATCGTCATTTATAGAAAGATATATATATATATTGGTAAAGGACTTACAGTAAATCTACGACACCACACACTGATCCACTTGATGTCTCTAAGGCGTTTGCCTCCTGGCAACCGCAAAAGGATATCAGAATTGGAATGTGCTGATAATACCGGTGGATCTCTGAAAACATCCAAGCCTATTAATAACAAAACATTGAAATTTATAATACAGCCGAAAGTTGTACACCTTTTTAATTCTTTGTAATGATCCGAAGTTTTAGACATTCTTAATTAAGCGTATTTTTTTGAGAGTGTGTTGGTGCGTGGCAAAAACTGCCTTAAGAGACGCTCAGTTGTAGAACGATGGACGTAGAGGTGATACGGGTGGTATTTCGTATTCTGCCTCGATGACCGATGAACCTCGGCTGCAGGTATTAATCCGAACAACTCCTTTGAACATTCTCCATGGCACCAACCAGCACAACTACATATTTTAATCAACGTTACTACTACTAAAATTAAATTACGATTTAAACGTGCTTTGAAATCTTTATTTTGGATTTGATATATAGAAGCCAAAGCAACATTATGAATCTGCGTAGTTGCAGTAAAAACATGTTGTTCTTATACTACGCGACTTCAAACTTGGGCCGTGAGAGACTCAATCAGTCACTACCCCTTTGTTAAAAACCAAGGAAATAATGTCATGATTAATTCCTTAACGAATGAAGAGACGATATTAACCTATTTAGACATAAAATGCTAATGGAAAAGGTTTTAGTAAATTCCTTTTAAACGAATGGCTGATATCAATCACTATTTATGTGCCACGCTACATTTGTATACCTGACGGGGTTTTAATAGAATGAGCTTTTTAGTGTGGGCGTTTTAACAAGGATGAAAAGTTTTATATGTAAAAAATACGATACAAAATGTCACATAGCATACTATGTTCTATCACCACGATAAAATAATTTTAATATCCGAGATTTAATGGACCTGCACAAGAGATGTAACAGATCTTAGACACTAGTACTGAACTAATAGGAAATTTTATGACATTGCCAAATTATATAAATGGTGTTTACTTATTACGGTCATATTCTTACCTGCTAGGATAATCTTCAGGATATGGCACAAGGATGCCTTCTGGCGAAGGTTGAGGGGTATCCCCAATCCAGAAATAGGCGTCTGGTCCAGTCCCATCGTATGCGAAGCCTCGTATAAAGACTGTGTTCTCGTCTACGGCATATGCCGTGCCTCGTATGCCGTGGGCATATTGAGTTAAGCGTCCGATTATGCGGCCATAGTACGGCTCTGGACGCCGGCACTCTACCCCTAAAAAGTTAATTCTATCTTTAATACAAATTATTATATAATTATTTAATATATAAATTAAAATATAGTAGCTTGATACAGACAGTTATAAGCTGAAAATATAAAGTAACTCCCGGCGCAATTAATTGCCGCCTAGTGCGATCACGTCAGCTTTGTAACGAAAATAATAAAATGGCATGGTCCGTATAAATGGAGCTACAGTGTATAATGGTAGAATATTATATATACGTATAATTACAAATGCATCACATGTTAACAAAGTTTCTGGCGCAGACTAATGATACATATAATCGCTCAGGCGTATTTCCTAATATCCGATGGGAACGAACCCATTACAAGATATTTTGATTGACGCTCGCCCCATGCTCCGCCGAGCTCAGATTTGCGACGCAAGGGCTCTTTTAGGGCTACCACCAAATATTTTGAATGGCTTGTCTTGTTTATCAAACGATGAAAGGCTGTTTTTGATTAAATTATATTGTTATAGCGATGGTAAAGTTTTGTCAAAATAAACAAATAAATCACTCACCGTTCAATGTAACATTTTAATATATAACTGTAAGTAACTTCTCATTGTTTTAATTAATTTGCTTGGAAATAAAGATATTCGTATCGTAATAAGCTAGATATGGTGTAATAAATCTTATCAAGAATACCTATAAATTTTATTCCTGAATGCTTCCTTCACCCCTAGCTCACCCTAACTTTCCGTCTGTACGTTACCGACATTCCCTTCTGCAAGAAACTCATTCCACTTTAGATTGAGGAAATTTCTCTTATAGAAAGCTCAGCTCCACGTTACTAATTTCAATAACTCAACGCTAGTGAGCGATTAGTTTGTTTTATAATTTGAATATCATCAATTTATTATTTTAATTTTTTATATATTTTCAATCATTATTACTATATAGTTTAAGGTAATTAATTTTACAATATTGTTGAGAATTTATATGGGTAAAGAACAGCACAAGTGGTAATAATTCTCAACGACTCCCTAGAGTGTTACTACGACCGTAATATTATTGTAACTTGTTATAAGGCACGAACGCAGATTGGATATTTTATATCAGCTATAAATTCAAGTCTCCAATATCCTGCAGCTTACTGTGCAATATTGTTTCGATTCGAAGCGACGATGGTACACATTTGTAGCGTCTAAAAAAGATTCAGTTTGTTAGATTTTCAAAAGCATTTCACAAATATATTCACTGAATTAGTATATAAACCTCAATAATTTTTTGATTTAACATTTGTGACTTATCGAATTTTACATCAATATCAGATAGCCCAGCCCAGAAAAATCTAGAAAAAATACTTGGAAAAAACTTTTGTAATTTGTAATTTTTTTTCAACTAAAATACGTCTTAAATAATGCGTTATGTAAAACAGGGTTAATCCCATCTAACGATTTTTTTTTCTTTCGTTCCTTGAAAACAATCTCGTATCAGCTATAACCTTTTTAAACCCCTCAAAGTTATTACTCTTTTATAGGAAGTAAAACGTATCGGGTCGCGAGTTTTACCGAAAACCGCTAAATCCAAATAAGATGTTAAACGTGAACCCTTTGAGCGAAAACAATGCGAAGTGGTAAGAACTTGACAGAAAATCGTTGAAATAACTTGCATTTTCCAGAGAAGCCAAATGCTTTCAAAGAAAGCAGTTTAGAAAAATATCCATATTTGGCCATTTGGTTAATATTTATTTATTTAATTTTATTTTACTAGACATAGTACTAGTAAAGACTACCCTTAACAAAATAAAGCATTACAAATGTATAATAAAGTTTAACATGCACATTGAAGGCTTACATTTCAAGGATTCTAAGCTTTTTGAAACGAATGCAGCTGCGCCGTTTCACATTCAAGCAAAGGAAACTTATTCTTGACGACCTCGTCGGTGCGCTACTATAGTGTAAATGTATTGGCACCTATATTATCGATTAAATTCAGACTTTTATTTATTAAGAACGCTTCGCAACGCTCGGGAACACTTAATAAGTTTGTAGAAAATATTTATACAAGCTTATTTACACCTTTGGGGGAAGATAATATTTTATTTTTTTAATATATTTTTTTTGGCTAATTCCCCGACTATATTGTCATAGGAGAAACTTATGTGCTTATATATGTAATCATTAGCAAAATAGCATTTGTAATTTGTATGATTAAGTACTACTTTTTTCTGTTAACAACCGTTTGTATTATATTAACAGGAAAGGTGTCTCTAAGGCTTTTATTTCTATAATTTGTTAATTGTTGTCGTCAACAATATTAAAAAAAAATTAATTCAAGTAATAATAAAAAAACTAGTGATGATATAAACAAAGATTATAGTTTGTAGCTAGCAGTTGTGGTTGTACTTATCTGTTACTTAATTTGACGGTAGATTAAAATGAATCGCTTAATATTAGTCCAATAAATACCCGATTTTTTTATTCTTAGAATGTGAGACCTCTTTTTTGGTATCTTTGTCGTTTAAAGGTTTAAATGCTGTTAACTTCTATAACTATCCATCACATTTGTACAGATAACATTACTTTCAATATGATATTTCATCAGTAGTGGATAAAGCGTGCGTCTCGAAAGAGTGTGTCTCCATTCATAATAAAAAATAAAATAAACTAACGTGAATGAGGCACCGAAGGCTGAACACCTACTTGCCTATCAAAAATATCAAGAAAAGAGAGATATAGAAATTTGAGGCCATGACGAAAGGGACTTGTATGTTTATGGTATTTTTAAAATAGAGTGAGACTAGATTCTGATAAGATTTTAAATATCGTTGCAGCTATGAAAAACTATTCCGATATTTTTTTAGATATATTGAAGGTTCTTTAGGTAAGTTCTGGCCTTATTATTTAACCATTGCTTTGTTACAGTTATAATCAACAAGTTTCAAATGGGAAATAATTCAATTTATATAGAAATTCTCGGAACTCTATTAGTATGCGTTGCTCAAAAGGATAAAATTTATTTCGTTGGCGCGAAGTCACGTTCACAAAACTCCTATTACTCAGATGAATGTTCCCCGTTTTCATTTAGCCAACGTTGTTTTCTCATCGATTTTATATGAATTCTTGTTCATGCTTGCAATTCGTCCGTAATAAAAACATTAAGTCATGGCCCCATATACCTTAATCCTAACACTTATGTAGATTTCACAATTTTAGTAAAAAACAACATAATATGTATATTGATATCATAGTAGTGATACCTATATTCTACGGCTACAATCACTGCGATGATATATAATATCCTTCAGGGTAAAACGGGTAACGCGATAACAAAGTTATTCCCGCAAAGGATAATATATATCTATCTATCTATCTATATACAACTTCTCGATCTTAGCCACTGGGGCCTTCGTGCCGGCCAGTCAGTAGATAGACTGGTCGTGGTTCTTCCCTTTTGGTTGGAGGAACAGTTCACCATTCTTCCTTCACATAATTTATTTACTTTTATTTTTATAGATTTCTCTTATTTATTTATACGTTCTAAAACAATGTGTATGCCTTAAATAATAAAGAAAATATGACATCACAAATTTAACACACATACATATCAATTACATTAGAACTTAAGCAATATATCAAGAGAAAAAATTAAAAAAAAAACATAATAACTAAAACTAAAAAAAATTACAACAACCAAAACTAAATGAAAACTTAAACCTCATTAAAAGCATGATAAACAAATCACTTTTGACAGCAACGTATGCCAAAGTAAAACTTACATTTGAAGGTAATTGAAGCCGTATATTAAATAAACAAAGAACGGTGTATTTAACTCTATGATAACAATTTCCCTAGATTTCCTCTATCAAATCAGTGTTTCCCATCTAAAATTTTATGCACCCCATCGCAATATATCTTCTCCCGGGGGACCATTAACATAAAGGGTACCTTGTTTTGAAACCACCTGATTCAATGATCTTTCACTTTCTAAATTAATTTTATAGATACCGGTTTTTAATTAGATTTTTTTTGCAGCGCTTTTATAACAATAAAAAATTCAATGCTCTGCATATATTGATAATTTCTTAACATTGGTATTAATATTTTCCTTTTTAATAGATTGGTTAAGATTAGCGATCAGTACGGATGAAAATATTTCAACTTTGGTAAAGAAACGGACACTTTAAGATGTTAATACTACGAGAACATCACGTAAAGGGGTGGGGTGTAAAACAATAAGTGTTAACGACGCTGCTGGCGCGCGCCGATTATGGGATTACGACAATCTACTTAACGGAAAAGTATCACGATAAAAAGGCTAATTCAATATACTCAAGTGATATAATAAAGTTTTTAACATTGTGTAAAACGTATACGTTGTGTTTAATTGTAGTTTATGAATACAGTTAAAATAAATATAGCTTAAAGCTGTAGTTAAAGGTTTAATATAATAATATACGTTGACCTTTGGATGTATAATTTATTTTAAGTTTTAGATGTCTTTAAATCTAAAATGTCCAATTTTACGCTAGATTCGATGCTCAGCGAAACAAATTGAAGTTGGGTAGGCATATCCCATATTTTAAAAAATATCAATGAATTTGCAGAAATGAAATGAAAAATGTCTGCCCTATAAAATACAGTATTGTGTAAAAAGACGCTTAGGCTTGTATGAGCCAAACTATTCAATAACACAATGTGATGGAAAATTCCCAGAACGGTTGCATCTAAATGTTTTTGTATTTAACATCATTAATCAGTAGAGACTGGTAACAGGTTTGTATCCTTGACAATAACGTGACCTAGTTATCTACACACTCACACATTATTATTAAGGACACGGTCACATTTATAGTTCTATTTTTCTCTCTAAGCTCTAAAATCAAAAAGATACGAGAACGCGATGGCGATGGCATAGTGGACGACCCCTGCTTATATATACACCAATAAGTCAAGTCAAATACTTTTTATTACTTCTTTACTTCATTAGTTAGTCAGGTTTTTTATGAAGAATATGTTTATTTAAATAAGACCTCCCAGTTACACATAACGCTCGTAATACGCAAATAAAAGAACATTCTCTGTTCAGAAAAAAAACCTTGGATTTTTTAAAAATCACTCTTTGATCGGATCCAAGAAACAAAGGAGCGTAGGACATTCGAAATTTAAAATACTTAGCGAATGATTGCGAAGTGTAATATAAAATAAAGGCACGTTATCAAGGATACTTCGGGCCTATACATATTGGTTTTCACAAGTGAACTAGGGAAGCTAGCAAAGTAAGTCCATTAAAGCACGTCAGATAAGGTCATACGGTAAGGTGTTCCACTAATATGCACTTGACATTCATGTACTATATTGATCTGTGCTCGCTCTCATTAGGAAAGGTCACGAAAGGAGCTTATATTACACAAACGTATTATCAACCGAAGTAAATTTATCGTAGATTGATAAAAAATGGCATACCTCCGTCAACATCTTAAAACTATTTTGAAAAAGCTAACGTTTAAAGAAAATCCTTTTAAGTAAATTACTTACATCGGAGTACGTGTGACATATAATTAGGTATTTAGTGAATGAACACAAAAAAACAACGGTATTACATCTAAAAATATACACCTACCATCAATTATGGTGTTGGTATTTGGTCTTATATCATGAATTATGAAATTCTTGTTAAATTTCCCGTTATGTCTGATACTGTTTTGATGACGGTAGATAAAAAATAAGTACATTAAGGTAGGAATAACGACTGGACAAGCTCGTAGCTAAATCTGCGTAGTGCCGTTAGGATACATCTATAATATACCACGAACATGTATAGAAAATAGCAGGGCTCATACATAAAGTAGTCAAAGACAAACACTTTCTTATTTTCTAGTATCAACCAATTAACAGATAAATTATGTCTGAAATATTATTAATCTATTTTGATTACTAGCCAGTTCGGTTATTGTTCATATTAAGTGTTAATCAAAAACTGTTTCATACGTAATAAGTAAAATATCTATTCTATGTCAAATTAAGCAAAAACTACTTACCAGCATAGAGTACAAGAAGTAACGCTAGAAGCGTCGGACCGCTCCGGGGCGGAACCCTCAGCGTCATTGGCTGAACGCCGGGGGCGGCAATACACTAAATGTGATAAAACCTCGTGGTCTTCTACGCTTTTCGTATATCTATTCCAAATTCAAAATACACACTCTAATTTTTCCAGATTTCATTTCTTTTATCCAATACTCTCCAAGAGCATCTATTCTCTAATCTATTCCTTCCTTTAGGAATGAGCTTTCCAAAGTGATATCAGTTTTTAGCGGTTTTATCTTCTGTCACACGCGTTCACACGGCGTAGATCCGTTAGCCGCACTGACTGACTTTCACTTTTAGCTTACACAATACGCATCCATTCACTTTTTACATCTTATTATGATATCACTATTTATTGTCGACGATACAGTCTTAGTTTACATTATAGTATTATTGTATATTTGATTTGTATAAGGGCCTGTAAATAAACTTAAGAACCCACAACGTGTAAAATTGGTAAAGGATAGCTTTTTCTTTAAATTTGATACTCGCGTAAATAGAAAACTATGCAACTATTCGCTTATGCAACAATTTTTAGATGAGCTAGCGCTGGTTGCATAAGTAAGCTAGAAGGACAAAATATCCCTCCTTATCTAAAGGTAGCTGATTAAGAAACTGTTTGGCTCTATATGTGGGTCACAATTTTTGGCTGTGGTAGACTACAAGAACAATTCCTAAAGGAGAGTTACTTTTTCTCAGCAGATGAAATGGCCTTTCAGTTATCCTACGGTTACTTTTTGAAGCCATAAATTGCCTTTTCGAAATAAGCTTCTCAGTCCTTGCTGTACTCTCAACTCAATAGAAGCACACTCAGACAGAAGTGATATTAGCAACGTTCGTGAGGGCTATGGGTCCCATTCCTAGAAATAAAACTGGAAACTTCTACAACATAAGCTACATTTTATTATTTATTAGAAGTCGGCAGCAAAGTACTTTATTTTAATTTTCAATTTACAGTACATACACTTTTCATTAGGTAGCATTGTTGCACAAAACCAAAATGAAGATTGTGGTTCAGCACAGGAATGTTAAAAGAGTCTAATCATACAAGTGTTTTTTTTGGTTACTGTTATATGAACTATCTGCCTTTTATACTTAATCAATAGTGGAAGCGGTAGCCATGATTATCGACGTACAGTCCATATTACCCCATACTATTGAAGCGAAGAAAACTGTAAGTAAAGTGAAATAAAATGTTGGAAAAATAAAGAAATGCTTACTACCACACCTACGTGATTTCACACATCACAGAAAATCTATAATGGAAGGTTAATCTTCTGAAAACCTGAATCTTTTCTATGTATATTGTACTTTAGTCTCTATCTGTTAACTTTACGTTTATGCCTCTTATTAATTTTGTTGTACCAAATAAGTATTACAACCCGATATTATAAAACCCTGGACGCAGAAAAAAATTAATTAAAAAAGTTGAAATTTAAGGTTGGCTTAGCCTATCTAAATATCCAAGTGAGTTCACAATTTATAACTCTAATTCTAAAAAAAGAATTTCAGTAGAGTATTCTGCTATAAATTGTTAAATATTGATTATTTATTATATTTTATTATATTATTATATTTAATTCGTAGTTGAGTTGAATCGTTCGTGTAAAATTCTAATTATAAATTCTCCGTTAGAGAGTTTGATAATGTAATAGACATACGACTGTATGATGTATAAAAGGATCACAAGGATGAGCTTTAAAACTATTCTGGCACGAGTGACATTCAAAACGTGATCTAGTTTCAGAGTTTAATTGAAATAAAGCAAACTAGTCTGAATTAATGTCGTCTTGAATGTACGCCGCCTAATTAGGTTCCTCGGGTTCCTATTTGTCTTGACTGTACTTTGAGATTACGTAAATACAAGGAATATCGTATAAATGTAAATATAGTTATATCTTCTAACAATTGTATATATATATTTTTGCACAAAGGAAATATGTTAAATATTTTAAAATATTATGAAGACGTCACCTTGTCTAAAACATTAAAGAAATTATTAATACATTGAGGCTGTCAGTAGTCATTTAACAAATCGTTTAATTTTGTTATAATAGGACCATGAATTTATTATTAAATTATAATATCATTTTAAGTTGAAGATATAGTTAAACTGATATAAAACTTTAATGCAACCAGCCCGAAATGTCAGAACGCCAACGCCTTTTCGCTACGGTGAATACTATTTAGTATTATGCGATATTTTAAGTTTAATTTTAAATGAAACTTCTTAAATGAGGTTACATTAACCTTGATTGATTAACCTTCACCAACCATTGATGTGGTTTATTATGTCTTTAAGAAATCCTTAATCAAACGCTTTAGTATGAGTATATCAGACTATAATGTTTTTCAGACTTTAATAGATCAGAATTAATAAATGTTAATGTGTATAATGATAAATGTTCTTTAAGATATGTATACTGGATTTAATCATGAAATTTTCCATATATGTTAGTAATATAGTTTTATAGTATCGAATAGCAATCAAGTAGGCAAAAAGTAACTGGTCTAGATTTCCTGGTGCGGCCTAAAATGAAAACTAGGAAAGCGCACGGAGTAACCTATATTTTTAACCTCGTTTTGAAAAAGAGGACACGATTTTCAATGCTTACTTAAACAATATTGCTTAAAAAACTAAGCAACCTTAATGGTTTATCTTTGGGCTACGCTTACTTGTCTCGCTGAACAAAAGATTAGTGGTCCATACAATATACTCTGACTTATACTCCGGACTAGGTTACTGTAATAAATCAATAAAAAAGTTTCGTACATGTCAAGGATAAAAAAGCGATGCCACAATCAGAAAAATCATAGTATTCGCTTCGTATAAATTATAAGTTTATATTTATATAAAACATAATTTTATTTGAAATGATTTGAATATTACCTTTATCTTCTTTTAAATTATATAATATAAATTGTATGTTATATATATATCTCCACGCGCCATTTTGAAGTATTCATTTGTCTTCTAACTAATTGATCGTTTTATGTTAATTTTAATTTAAAGACTAATTTATTTTGATGTATTAGTATGAATAAAAACACATATTTGAATTTGCAATTACTATAAAGTTAATATTATTTGACTTATATAATTATAACTCACCTGAATGTATTTGAAAAACAAGTGTAAAAGATTAAGATAGAAATGTATGTAATTAAATAAAATGTGAGGCTTAATATTTTAAAGCGTTACCAAATTGTTGCTTTTATATCAAAATAATACAAAACCAATCTTTGTGAGACATATGTGAGATTTATTTCAATTCAATTCCGCATAGAAATGTACAATCATCCGAAAAATACCGCAACGCTCTAAAGTGTGACACTGAAAAAAATCAATCCCAAACCACGTTCAAACAGAATCGAACGCATTGATTAAGAATCGATTAAGGAAGCATTGACCGGCTTATGAATAATATACAAATAGTTTTTTTTTACACTAATAAGCGTACAAATAGGAATATAAAAATTACTTTGTTATTTATTGTGCGTCGCGAAAGGGCGCGTATTTATGGCGCGCCGTCTTGAATTGCACTGCCGTAGTTATTAAGTGATACTCTTACCCGATTTCGCCTGGAATGTGGGAGATTTTGATTTATCAAATGGTTAATGTACATCGTTTGGAATTTAGTGTAAACTATATAGAGAAAAATAAGTTACAACTTTCTTTTTACAGAAGGAATGTTCCACTTATCAGATTGCACATATGTAAAATGGTTGCAAATAAGAAATTAAGAGTACTTTTTAGAATCACAAATTCTTAACAAGAATATATTCTATCATAAAAGCTAAAAGTTTAAATTACTAATATTTCACTGTATTTAACGTTTTGTAATACAATACGATTACATAAGTACTCATCTCCGTGCTAGTTATTTTTGTAAATAATATTACAACTACATTATTTTTCTGGTACTTCAGATTCATTACTGTGGCAACATTGCGGGGTATGCCGCCCCACGTAGCGCGTAGACTCCGCCCGCTACGCTGCTACGACCGGCGCTACGATGGGCGCTACGTGTAATATGCATTACAGATATTAAATACGGCATTCAACATAAATTGTAACAAATTGTCATACGTTTTAAATGCTGTAATATCTAAATTATATTTCATCACACATTACGGTTTAACCTTATTCGCTTAAAACAAACTAAGTATTTATTTTACTTATTAGTAAATAAAGTGTAAGTTTTTATCTAGTATTGCGATAGTGAATACCTGAAATTAATAAAGATCAATAAATAAAATAGTTGTTTATAAAATTACAGAGAGTATATCTTAGTAAGTCTTAAAATGTGAAATATAATAAAAATATATTCATATTTTGTATATAATAAATGCTAATTATTAATAATAATTACGTATTTCACCGCCCGTACGTAATACTGTACATAGTTTATCATATTAACACGTGTTATATGTTTAACTATTACTACTACAACTACAACTTTAGATGAAATTATCTTTAAATGTCGAAAGTATATTTTTCCCACGCCTACATAGTCCTGAGCAGTATTCTAAGTATAAAATAAAATGGGTCAAGGAAATTATAAGATCGAAGCAAATACAATGCAAGTTGTTTTGAACAGATTTTACAGAAATAACATTTGCAGAAGTATCCATACTATACTATATCACTAGGTGAAGGAAAATAATGCTATTTTCTATCAATCTCTTTTTATCGACTATATTGTCCCTTCTTTTAATAATGTGTTTCTGGCTGATTTGGCGATAGCTGAAAATTTCTAATGACACTAGTCAGACTTAGTTACGCAGGAGTGACCTCTGTCTATTCCATACCTTTCCTACTCCGATGGGTCGAATATCTGACCCTGAATATCTAGATAAGAGAGAAAAAAAGCAGCTCTACGTGCCTAACCAAGTCACGAGGTGTTGAAATTCTAACACCGACAACTAACCATTGATATTTATGATTTATCTTAGTAAAATTGCAATGGCCTATTTCATTTAACCCATAATATAATCAGCAGTTGCACAATAGCAGCAAA